GGGGGGGGGGGGGAGAAATTGTTCTGTATAAACATTCACATGTATATAAAACATAACATACTGAGAATTATTAGATACAAAAAGTAATATACATAAATAAAAACGAGGACGAATGTTCACAGCTGTTATTAAGGCAAAGCGCATTTCTTCATAATTATTAAGTGAAATTAACTACAAATCGAAATTTTTCATTAAAAAAAAAACTCACAATTATCGTTGCAATTGACTCTTGAATAGATAAAGCGAGTAATTACATGAATGAAAGAAGATGGGAAAAGGATGAAATAAACGAACATTTAGGAAATAAATTTGCGAAGAAAAAAAATGAAAAATTCAGATTAAATATATTTCTACGTATAATTAAAAACTAAGGAGGTCTATTCATACGAATATTTACACCTAGGCCGCAGTACGCATCGTGCCGTGTAAAGTTTGCTGAATGAAAGACGAAAAAGAAAAGAGACAAAAATGAATTCTCTACACGGCATGATGCCCTTAATGCGCGCTTTGTATCATAACATTATATTGTATCAGCTATGTTTTTTGTATTTGGTAATCTAACGAAAGAATATCAATTAATAAAGAGATGGTTAAATAGAAAGTATATTATATATTTGAGTAAATCCGTCAAGTGTTAGTATTATCCATAACACGATTAAAAGTTTGTGTGTAGCGATTACACTAATGACAAATAGAATAATGAAAGAAAACAGATGTTTGTAAAAATAGGTGGTAAAATACACATTACAAGGGCTGTTCTGGGTAAGACTTAACGCTCGTTTACTCATAACTTATTATGTACATCGTCTGAGGCAAGGAGAAAAGGTACATTCTTAAAGAAAATAAACATAACCATATATCAAATGTTTTATTATTTTTTTAATACGTTGACCATCTCCCACCGATGAATAAAAACAAATCACATTCACATTATGATAATTCATTAATCATTTTTTTCCAATTGACTGATTAATCGCCGACATCTCTGCATGAGACATTGGCTTGAGCATGAGGCCTGAAACTGGTGGAGTGTGTTCCAGATCTCGAAGCTCGTTCACCTTTACCTTCAAATTACTGCGCAGTTTATTCACCTCGATATCGCAGTTCTTTTGGTCTGAAACGAGTCGATCAGTTTGTTTAATACAAAATTAAATAATGACTTTTAACGCTGATTTTATATAAAATTGTCTCAGGAAGGAAATTCAATGCCGAGGAAATTCAATGGAAAATATCTCAATAGAATAAGTTGTACAGAAACATTAAACTCCAATGAATTTTTTTCGTTCCACCACTTCATCAGTAAATTCATGGCTACCTTGAAGTAGCAGCTCTTCGGCCTCATTGGAAGTCATCTTCAGAAGTAACGGACCAACAGTAATCCAACATTTATCACTCTTCTGCTTCTGAAGTGCGCGCATTCCAACACGATCATCATTTCTCCTTTTATCCAGAGCCACAATTTCCTGTCTGTCAGTTAAAATCTCTCCAGCTTTATCCTCAATCTTCTGCAGATACTCCAGCATCTCCCGCTGCTCTTTCATGATTCTGAAACAGACAAAAATTATTTACAAACTACTAAAATAATGAAAATTGGTTCTAGAGAACCCTCAAGCTGAGCAGAACAATAAGACGATAAATACTCACATGTTTCTCTCATTCTATCCCATTCTTTATTTTGTTTCAGTGTCTTCTTATGCTTAAGCCACTTATAGTAATTCCATGCTTGTATCTTTTCTGGTGTTTCTGTTTCTTGCTTAATGACATGTCTGTTTACTTTGTACAACATAATGTGCAGTTAATAAACTTCAATCAATCAGTTCTTTTTTTCATTTTTTCAACATCAGAAAAAATCAAGAGAGTGCTCGTCTAAGAGCTCGCTCTTTCCTCGCTTCTCTGCTGAGAAATTCCTCTCTATTTTTCCTTCTAAAACTCTTTTCCTTCATTAATCGTTCTTGCCTAACATGTCTTATTGCAGCCACATCGTTGCTTTTGAAGTGTGTCACCCTAGATTTACCTTCATTTTTTCTCCCTAATCCCTCTCGATCTCGTTTTAAAACGGTCTTCACAGGGTACTTTGAGCCACTACCGGAGGGCCCCAGACCCTTCGACTCCTCCCACCCACTATTCACCATTATCTGATACCCTTTATTCCCCTTGGGTATACCATAAATAGGATCCGGCAGTTTTGGGTTTGTGTTAAAAACATGAAGCAAGGATGACTCGTGCTCCTTCACAGTCGTTTCTCGAAAATTTGTTTTGCAGACTGAACAGTAGAATGCGGATAACTTTACATAATTTTCATGTTTTTCTTTTCCATCTGTGGTTCTAGGTTTCCCACCCTCCAATAACGAAATAATGTGATTGCGATGGCTTTTGCGAGCTAATTGCACAGCATCGAGTCCAGCTTTTTCTCTCATACTTTTATCTGCACCGAGTGTCAATAAATATTCAACGATTTCAGTGTTTCCATTGTACGCTGCCAACATCAGTGGCGTCCATCCATAATCGTCAATGACATTAACATTCTCTTTCGTTATATTTTGCTTCATGAAATCCCAATCAGTTTGTTCGATGGATTTCAAAACTGCATTCGCTGTAATTTTCACTTGCTGCGTTCCAGTGGATTTTGCATTTTTTTTCCCCACTGACGTGTGAGATTTTTCATAATGAGAGTGACAATTAGTTGGCGCTTTTTTTTGAGCTTTCGAATAAGTCCTGGTTATTATTTCATCGTAGGCTTTTCTGGCTTCATCTCCCCGGAAAGTTAATTCTCCTTTATATTTATTGACGATGGGCTCTGGATTAGTTTCTGATTGCCTGAGAAATATCTTATAGGATAACATATTGAGTTATGAGAGACAATCTAACCTGTTTGGATAAGCAGAGCCTTGAATTCCTCAATGATTGTCCATTTCTCCGTCTTGAGTGCCCGTGATTGAGTTCAATTTACAAATCAATACTACTGTTTTAGTATTAACAAGTAATTAACGGGATAAATTCGCTCAATCAAGAGGAAGAAGAACTCAAGAAAATCGTTTCAGAACTATTGTCACGCCATCTGCGATGTGATGTCACTAATTTACGAACCACCCCGAATTTGGACGATGGCTCACGACCTTCTTTTACCCCCGACTCACAACCATTACGCATCCAAGAGAGCAAGAGAGTTTCCGAAAGCTCTCCGGCCATCCAGGCACACCGCCATATTCCGCGCGGAACGAGATATAGCGAAGCGTTTTTGCCACGCCATTGTGAAAATTGTTATCACAATCAGGAGTGCTCGCAGCGTGCAAAGGAGTGAGTGGGTTCAAAAGACCTCGATCAAAAGGAGTTACTTCGAAGGGCCAGTGAAGCGCATTAGACGTTTCCGGAGACATCGACATTTTGATGACGAAGGGAACCCGAGGGCCACACGAGGTGAGAGAACAAAGAAGACACCAAAGTGTAATTTTACTCTAAAAATCAGTCTTCCAGTCCTGAAAAAACTCGTGAATTAATACAATTTTCACTTGAGCGTAAAATGAGATCTTTGAACCTGACGAGCGACTCTCTGACTTGGGATTTGAACCCTCAGGCGTCCATAAGGTTCAGCATTGCGTTAAACAATCCAAAGTCGTTAAAAAATTTATCAACATCGTGAGTCATTCGAGAAATAAAACGAATTTTGGATTATTAGTGAATGACAAGTTTAGTTGTGAAATATTGGCACTCGGTTTGTCCTATAATCTTGAAAAATATTTCACGGTGAATTCCCCTGAGCCAATTCTTGCCCAAGATATTTGCGAGGTAAATCCTCCAGTGGGGTAAACAGGTCAATTTCTGGACGATTCCAACTCCCATTGAACATTCCATAAAAAATAAAATGAAAATTCCACTGGCTATCTCACCTTTTCGTAACATTACTCATGTATAATCATGTAATCAATAATTTTTCTACATGAATCGGAGCTCACAGCCCTGAAGATGCAGACTGCAATGTTTGCGAAACGTCGGCGCAATGCTGAAACCAAACGCGAGATCCATCCGCAAGCCAATAATGTCAAAGATTAATTCTCATTACTTTCCAGATTAATTAGTAAATGGACAGCCAACATGTACAATAATATCGACCCATGGGAGCCGGGCTACGGTCCGGACAATCGGCGACACCCTGATTACGAGTACCGGGATTACCGCACCAGCAGGTCCCCGGATTACCCGGACCATCGTGATTTGGATCACCGTGAGCGTGAGCACAGGAGCCCGGACTACAGGAATCACCGCCGCGATCGAGACAGAGAGCGCGACAGGAGCCGAGACCGACGAGATCGCAGCAGAGAGGAGCGTTATCGAGAGAGGGATGATCGCTACAGCAGAGGAAGAGATAGAGACTCATCCGAACGCGATCGTGATCGCGAGAGGGATCGAGACAGGGATCGGGAGAGGGACAGGGAGAGGGACAGAGACAGAGAGAGAGAGCGTTCGCGACGTGACAGGGATCGTGAGAGGGATCGGGATAGACGGAGCAAAAGGGAGGATCGTGATCGTGAGCGGGATGACGATCACAGTCGTGAGAGTATTGAATACGATCACGATCATGGACGTACTTATGGGTCATCCATGGAGGGAGTCCACTACAAGTCACAAACGCCAAACAACACTATTATGATCCGTGGTCTTGCACAGCATATTACTGAAAACGATGTAAGTTGTGTCAACTTGAGTCATGCAAAAGCGGATGGGAATTTTCAGCTAAAAAAATGGCAAAAAAGCATCTAGATCACATTTCAAAGATAATTCCACTGCCTTTATTTGATTTTTTTCAATACTGTGCGCTGTTGTTGTTTTTTACATTATTCTGTTACAAAGGTGTGGATATCCGTATTTATAAATTTTCTATTTATGCAAAAATATTTGAAAAGAGTAAATTTTGAGAAGAATACAAAAAAAGCCATTTGATGAATTCGTCCAAACGAATCTCAAGAACCGCTCTTGCAGATAATTTCCATTTTTTATATTTTTCGACAATCACTCTTTCTTGGCACGAATGCATTTTCACTGAGGATTCGGCATAATGGTCTAAATTTGGACTTGAATATGCCAACGTTGTACAACAATCTATCTCGCATCGTCATTATTATTCTGACATCTGTGATCACAGGTACGTCAAGACATCTTAAACTGTGGACTCATGCCCAAGGACATTAGGCTGATACGGAAGAAAGATACAGGTAATTAATATCATTGTATTCTGTTCGTCAAATGGCCTCATCTCATCATCTTATTTTCATTTTCCTGTTTTTTTTACTTTCCGTGAAAAAGCAGAAATACCGAAAACATCATTTAATTCGTTCATATCATACTTGAGTCGATTATAAAAACTGTGTGATTTCAATGTGATTGAAGGTAAGTCAACGCAGGGGGAGAGGAAGTTGAGAGAAAGACAGAGAGAAATGTTGAAATTTCTCAATTAATAAGTTAAAAACATTGCTCATTGTTTGTTCGACTATTTTTTTAATTATTGAGTTGTGGAAATTTGAGAGAAGTGTTAAAAAACGACGAGAGAAGCTGGAGAAGAGTCATTAAATGAAAGATTTAAACAAAACAAAGCAAGTACAAAGAAATCGAAGAGTAACTCTTCGTTAAAGAATAATACTAAAACGGTCTGTCTCAATGGTTGGTGCTGTGACAAAAATTGCCTGCCCTCTCAGAAGTAGAGAAATACCCAGGCAATAAACGTGGATTAACACTGGATATGTGTGTATTTTGCTCTGTATAGGTGCTTCGCGAGGTTTTGCATTCGTCGAGTTTAACGCGACACAGGAGGCCGCACGTTGGATGGAGATGAAACAGGTAGAAAAAAGAAGTTTTGGCAAGTGGGTTGGGCTGATGTTTGAGCATTCAACCTCAACAACAACAACAACGCACATAGTTGTTTGGCCCACCGACGCCCCGTGGCGACAATGGGGGCAAAGCAGTTCCCAGTTGGCCTTCTACTCCCCCACACATGGCCATTATGCTGTGACCATCTGTTTAAAAGGCTACTTTAATCTACAATATCAGTTATCTATTCTACCTAGGGAGAGTCCAACCCCTAAATATTCACAAGCAAAATGCTAATCAAAATTCCAACACCACTCATATTTCCTTGCATCAGGACATACAAATGATACAACCGAAGATACAAGTCTTGGAACTATATCAGATGACCATTACTGATCGAGTAGTGAAACGTGGTAAAACAATTTGACTCTGGAGCTGTTGAATTATTGGGGGAATAGCGCTGAATAAATCCCAGAATATTCCCCGAGCAATGATTCTATCGTTGACGTCACTTTGTTTTTCCAATCTATTGATGAATTATTCTTCATTCCAAATGCCAATATCTTCGATTATTTGTGGTCGCTATAGCTCCATCATACTTAGTCGGTTTGTTGATACAAAATTCAATATTGATGAAAGAAACTGCTCAGAATTGATGAAGTGAAGTAGATGATAAAGATATTTACCATCGATGTGAGAAGGAAGAGAGGGAGATTGATGAGAAAAGGAAAAGCGGCCTTCGGAAGACCCTGGACATGATAACACTGAAATTCTCTGTTTCAGGGGGTACTGATGCTACAGGAGCAGTATCGAGCGCTGATGCAGTACAGCATACCAAAAGATTGCCACATGGATAAGCCGCCGTCAAAGAATAGTCAAGATTGGCATTGTGTTAAGGTAAATGCATCTTAATTCGACATTAAAGCAGGGGAGAGTGGGACACAACGACATATGGGGCAATGCAAGTAAAAAAAAAAATTATTCATCAACTTTTTTTACTAGTGGCAGTAATGATGGGAATAATAATTTTAAATTGCACTGTTTCATTGTACCCCACTCATGCCAATACCTTTGGTTATTCTTTTCCTCAATTATTGATTATATTAAACGTTTTATGGTGCCAGTGTGGAGCTCACAATTTCAAAAGACGAGAGACCTGCTTCAAGTGTTCAGCATCGCGTGCCGAGAGTGAAGAAGGTGGTGAGGGCAGCGATGAGATCAGTCCACACCCCACGAACACAGTTTTGCTGCGTGGTCTTGACGTCCTCACAACCGAAGACTCAGTCCTCCAAGCGATGAATAATTCGTCAGCAATGCCAATTCGAAGTATTAGGATTGGTCGTGACACATTGACAAATACATCCCGAGGTGTTTGTTACCTGGAAATGGCCAATGTCGTCGACGCAATGTACCTTCACACCGAGTTGACCAAGCAGGGGCTCACGGTGGACGGGCGAAAAGTGGAAATTGCTTACTGCAAACTTCACCAGGTCAGCAGCGCTGGGCTTTGGAAGTTGAACGAGAATCAGCCCCAGCGGTATACGTTAGACGATGTTGCTCAACTCGCTGAGTACAGTGCCAATTTGTACGCCAAAACACCAGCGCAAAAGGCGCATTACATTCAATACTACACGCAGTACTATCAGAATCAAATTATTCAGGGGACTGCCATCACTTTACCATCATTGAATCAAACTGATAGGGTCAATGCTGCTGCTGCTGTGGCACAATCGGCGATACAGCAGCTCCAGGCCTCGAGGAAATTGGGTGACGCTGAGGAGATGAAAGCCAGACCAACTCCGACTGCCCCTACTAGCACTTCATTGGCGAGTGGACGGGTGCCTGCTCATGCTAATGATGGGAAAGTCTACTGTAAGTGGAGATGACCCTGAAGTTTATTTGGTTGGTGTGAAGATATTGGATTAGTAGAGAACAGCAGAGTTTACTTCATTCTTAGAACAAAATGATTACGATTCAACATTATCTCAAATTTAATCATTTTCACACCAACTAAATGACTTGCACAATTTGTAGAACTAATTCTGTAGTGAAGCATTGAAACGTCATAACTCAAAGTTGGGCATTTTCGTGATTTTTTTTTTGTCAATTTTTTTCAAAGTATTTAAAAAATTTTGAAAGAGCCGTTGCTGGATCATTAGTCTGTGTGCAGTCTCCTAAAGGATTTGAGAGTTTATCCTCCTGCCCCCAATGGCTTTTTTTAATTGTTTTTTTTCCATACATCTGGATTTTTTGCAAATTTTTGGGAGAAAAATTTCCTTAACTATATCCTCAATCATAAGAGTTGCATAATCGAGTAGTTTTGTTATGTTACATTTCACAATCGCTTCAGTGCCGAATTATCCTCCCGCACACCGATGAACCGATTATACCTCCTTTTAAAAGCATTCCCATATTATTCTCCTATTCTAGCTGTGCCCGACGTCAGCACTTACCACTACGACGAGTCCTCCGGCTACTACTACGACCCTTCCACCGGTCTCTACTACGACCCAAACTCCCAGTACTACTACAACAGTCACACGCAACAGTTCCTCTACTGGGACGCCGAGTCCCTCTCTTACCAGCCCGCAAAGTCGAATCTCCCAATTCCGGGCACCATAAACCTCACATCCACCTCCGCAATCGCCGCAGAACTCCCAAACCCCACGATAAGCAGTATGACAAACCTAAATTCCCAAGAGTCGAAGGATGACGACAAAAAGAAAGAGACGAAACAGGACAAGGTCAAGGTGGCTAAAAAAATCGCGAAGGACATGGAGCGTTGGGCGAAGACCCTGAATCAAAAGAAAGAGAATGCGAAGAGCAATTGGTCTGCTGAGTACTCGGTGGGTGAGTCCTACCAGGGAGGGAGTGGTGCAGCCGATGCTGGCTATGCTATTCTGGAGAAAAAGTCAATCGTTAATTCCTACCACGAAGAGGAGGACACCGGTAACAATGGCCTGGTGGCAGCATACGGAGGAGGAAGTGACACGGAAGAGGAGATTGAAGATGTTGGACAGGAGGAAAGGCAGCACACTGATTGGACGAAACTTGCCTGTCTCCTCTGCAAGCGACAATTTCCGAGCAAAGAAGGACTCGTTCGTCATCAGCAACTGTCGGATCTTCACAAGCAAAATCTCGAGAGTTGGTACCAGGTCAGAGGACTGGACCCCAATGATCCTCAACAGAGGAACAATAAATACAGAGACAGGGCTAAAGAGAGAAGAGCTAAATATGGAGAGCCAGAGCCCCCTCAACCGAATAAGCTCAAAGAAAAATATCTCAAGACTAGAGTCGATGAGGCGCCAGTTAATTATGATGAGCCCACTAGGGCTGGAATTGGTTCTGATAATGTTGGGAATAAATTGTTGCAGAAGATGGGTTGGAGCGAGGGAATGGGACTGGGAAAAACAAACCAGGGGAGGACCAGTATCATCGAAGCTGAGAGAAGGGTCCCCACGGCTGGGCTCGGGGCTAAATCGTCGTCTTACAGTGCTATGCCTGGTGATACTTACAAAGATTGCGTGAAGAAGATGATGTATGCACGATATCAGGAATTATCTGATTCGTAATTAATAATGTATCGGTATGGAAAATGTGAGGGGGGGGGGCAGGAGAGAACATGCTGTGTGAATTAGTGAAACGTAATAGGATGAACTGCTATTTTATTGATTATGAATGGTCACTAGTTATTATGATTTTATTCTTCCCTTTACCAATGGCATTTTCAGGTAATTATTCGTACCAAGGAGGCTGAAGGGAGGAAAGAGGAGGAGGCAATTATGATTAAGTATTTTGTATAACAAAAATTGCAAAAAATCGTTCTCGTATGTGTACAATAAGAGATACATCAATTATGATATTGAGATCTATAAGGGATTTTGAATAAATTCAGTTCAATTATGTAAAAAAGACATTACTTTGATAGGGAGGCGATCAGTTGTGTACATAGTCCCAGGCATCACCGTTCAATGTTAGAATCACTAAATTCTGATTGACATTGGACGCGGCTCGAGCGGAGCTGTACAGGGTGCCCCAAAATGAAATCGTTTGAAGACGAAAACTCGAATAACATTTTTTCTCCGACGCTTCATTTACGAGTTATTGATACAAAAAAACGAAGATTAGCTGCAAAACACCCTTCGGTGGAAAATCTATGTATTCTCTGTCACTTGAGATGGAGGAATGGAAAAATGGCAATCGATTGAGCATTCAATGCCCAATAGATCATTATGAATTTGATTCCTCTGTTGCCAAAACGGGGCGAGAAAAGCTGTGACAAAATTTACAGTGATGTAAGAGCCATTTGGATCCAACACGCCATGTGACCCTGAAAATCAAAATCCACGTGAAAAATCCATATCTTCTCTCCCATTCGGTATCTACAGATGAGATTGATTGGAATCGATGGGACGATATGATTTCTCTAACGGGGAGAAAACATTTGGTTGGCGGTCCTTTTTTATTTGACAACTCTTAAACAAAGCGTCGGAGGGAAAAATTTTATTGGAGTTTTCGCCTCCAAATGAGCCCCCGAATTACCCTCGCGAGAATGGCGTTTCATTTTGGGATACGCTGTATGTTTGAGAAAAGCGAAATTTTTACACATCTCCACGCTTTTATGACGGAATCAAAAAATATGATCTGCCCGCATAAAAGCGTGGGAATGTCTCAAAAATGCTCACTTCTCTCAATACAGATGGACTCACTCGAGTCGCGTTAAAACAAATTCTTTTTCGATGATCAATTTTTCTCATTAATTTTTTTTCCTGTAATCAATTTCCTGTCATCATGAGGAAAATTATTTTGATTATCACTGTAATTTTATTTTTTTATGTGAACATTTTCTGTATGAAACAGCTAAGCAGTGCACGCATAATAAAGACACTTGCGGATTGCTTGTAAATTTGTTTATTTGATCATTTGCTGAATTTCATTCAACTACCAACAACAATGATAGAAAAAAACATTTGATTATTGATTTGTTCGAAAAATTTCTTGGTGAAACTTAGAGTACGTGACAACATCGTGAAAGTTATTCTATGAATTTAAATCAATGTGAATTAATTGACAGGTTCTCATTTACAGGGGGAAATTGTCAACGCAAAAGTGGTAGATTGAGTAAACTTTACCGAGATTGTATTGCTAATACATCTAAAAATGAGTAGGTCCAGAGGGGAATGTTGTGGGGCCTTTCAATTTTCTACAAGGTAAGAATCTTCGATAAATTTATCTCAAGCTCTTTCCATTAAGACAATCCCATGAAAAAAAATGACGCACCATGAGATTATCAGAATAAATAATGAGATACTAGAGATATGTATTTGCAAAGCACGTTGCCCAACTGGTGTTTCTGGGTTTGTCTCTTAATTCGTCATCCCTTCATTACTAGGTTTCTAATGAGTACTTACACTAAATTAATGTGGCAAATTCAGATTTTAATGGCATGATCGGTCGCTTTTACAGCGTGAACTCAAGTTTTTGGTAAAGAAATTAACTTAGCACAGGTTGATAGATATTCAGCGTCATGTAAACACTTTGAAAAAAAATGGGTTCATTTTAACAACAATATAGAGGGGTTTCATCGTTGTTTTTAGCATTTAATGAATAATTGAAGTTGCTTTTTATAGACAAGTTTTTTATGCAACTTCGAAGATTTTAGAATTTTACTTATATTATTGACTAGTAAACAAGACAGAATAACTGCTAAAGACAACGATAAAATGATTCGTAGAGTAGGAAATTGATTGTTTATAAATTATCTACGAAAAAATTGCGAAATTTGTAATCTTCAAAATTGCAATTTTCCATTTACACTATGAAATTTCCTAGAAATGAAATTTTTTCTTTTTCCTCAGATTTTTAAAATGTTTGATGAATTAAAGGAGAATTAAAGTTAAATTTTCACAGTTTGAATAATAAAATAATAGCAAAATATTCGAGAACTGAAATGGCATTCACATTGGAGCTTTGACGTGCGAGTAATGTTGACAAGGATCTTAAAAAAAAATGGCCAGAGCGCTTGGATATCTTCAATGACTTGAAACCACGAAAAATTGAGCTACGAACATACACTGATTGGCAGACATTGTCTAGACAATGTATCCATCGTTGAATACGTAAAACCTCCGAGAACAGAAGACAATATGCCGTCGCATTCTAAAAAAGGCTTTTCGATTTGATATGCAGTTTGATATACAACTTTGTCCCTACAAAATGAATAAAATTGTCCTAAACGTTTTGATACACTGCAAACTGGATTAAACATCGACCAGTATCCACGAGTACAGTGGACGAAGCTGATGATCCAGTACTTTATAATCAAGACTGTTAAGCCCATCAGAATCGTATCTCCTGGCGCTATTTTCTAAACGCTCGAATCTGGCACTGCTCGGTGGCTCCTTTTTGTGTGTCAACATGTAGTATTGAGCTATGTCAGGTCCAAAACGGGTCACCTGTAATAAAAAATTCATTACTGAGTTCCAAATGAGTGGCAGAACATAAATGAAACGATGCGAGTCTTAAACTCATAATTTTTCTGGTATTTCGTCAATTCAAAGTTTCCAAGGGAAGACTACTGAGTTTTTAAATGAGATTTTTCATGCATTGAAGATCGATTATATATGTCTAAAAATGAATAATTTGAGCTGCAAAGGTTTTTTTTAATTTTTGAAAAAATGTGTACAACAACTACGAATTAGTTTCTTAAAATTCGACCTTAACTTAAGGGTCAGAATAAAGATCATAGGGATATGAGGATCATATGGGGGTTGGCGAGCTGAGCATAACTAGTCGTAAATAAACAAATAAATTGAGAAATCGCCAAATTTGCTCACCTGCAGACCCCTGGACTGCAGTCGACTATAGAAATCGTCATCCTCGCCCCCCCACCCATAAAAAACATTGGAAAACCCATTGACCCACTCGAACTGCCTCCTAGTGAGTGCAATAGCCCCACCGAACAGCCCAGTGTACGGCAAATTATACCTGAAGGTATTGACACTTGAGCTCATGTGCCTGGGCATCTTCGTGCAGGCATAAATATTATCAGGATTCTGCGGAATCAAGTCGATGTCTTGAAAGATGAAACAGTGAAAGTCATTGACTTTTGTGGCCTCCTTGTACCCAACATTGAACAATTTAGCACGGTTGAATTCACGTATGGGGCTCTGCTCAATAACAAATATTCGATAATCCAAGTTTTGTGACTGTAGAAATGGATGTATATAATTCATAAAAATACTGAGTTGAGTGTGCCTATTCCTGTATGGCAAAACGATAGCAACATTGAACAGCGAATGGCAATTAAGCGGTTTCCACTGTCCTCCGGGCAATATCCCAAGCCTCCGGGCCATCGCCACTGGATCCTCCCTCGGATGCTCCTCTGGATATGATAATTCCGAAAATCTTCTTCCTGTTATTGATATTGCACACGAATTGTCTCTGGGATCGTACGACTTCTCCAGCTCATCGTGAATGTCCTCGGTCTTAATGAAATTGTAATGCGATGCAAATCGCCCTGGATGAAGACAATAACAGAGGACTAGTAGCGTTGTGACCAAGTACGATAGCCCACGTGCATAGCTGTTTAAAAATGCTATGAACATTTTAATGAAGCTCTGAAAATTCCGAGACATTTTAACCTATATCACCCGCATTTGGTTATGATAATAGCCTAGGGTTTTCACATTGCGGTGAATTTTTCAGTCTATTGTGAAGCAATCGTCTGTTTCACGCATTCTCGGTGGATGTTCTCCCGCTTCAGCGAGAGTTTGTGTCACAAATGCACTTTTATTTTATTGTTTATGTCAGCGAAACCAAGTCACTTCACTCAAATTCCCGTGAGACATATATATGAGGCAGTTCAAATCTGCTTACCTTGTCACCGCTGCAGTTTTGCGCATGCTCAGTAGGGTATCGTTTCAAACATGGAAAACAGCTATTTTTGGAGAAATAAAAACACTGTGATCTAATTGTCAAGGATGCGACGTTTCGTGGATGTAGAATTCGGTGTAGAATTAATTAAAATAAATTAGGTGTGATGAATCGGGGGAGAGACGATACGACAATCTGATCAATCAAATAGAATGTTATTTTATTTTTTTAATCTTTGCACATAGAGCAAGTATATTTTCCATACTTTTCAAAAGTATAATGCTTATACTCATCAATCATGCAACGATGATTTTCGACAAGTATTCTTCCATCTCAATATAGATCTGTACATTTAACAGAGTTCAGTAGCGAAACCGTAAACCGCTCGAAGTCGAAAAATGCAAATTTTAGGAGAGTCGAAAAACTAAATGTCTGTCCTTTGGTCAATTCTTCCAACCTCAATCATGAATTTCGTTGAGTGTTGAAGAAAACATGACAATTACATGAACTTTTTCATTAATTTTTTCTTTTAACAATTCGTGGGGTAGTATTCTCAGAAAAACTATGTGATTAAAGGAGGAAAATGGGACTAAATTACGTCTAGGGGAGGGTGAGGCAAAGTGGAAAACTAGCGTCAATTCAACTGAACAACCCATTCTCGAAAAAAAAACACTTAAACGTGTTCACCGTTTCGCTACTGAATTTTATTTAATCCTTTGTACTATTCGCTTTAGAATTAATGAACAAGTATTGCTCGTGGTATATCCTCGGGCTTGATTTTCGGAATATTAAGGTCGTGGAAAACATCCAACGTATCCCGAACGAATTTATCCATCATATCCTGAGTGTGACGCGGCGTTGGTGCTAGACGCAGTTTTTCATCACCTTTAGGTACTGTCGGATAATTTATTGCTTGCACATAATGCCCTTTATCACGTAGTAAAGCGTCTGCTATTTGAGTGCATAAAAGAGGATCGCCAATCTGTAAACAATAAAAACGAGCAATTAGACAAACAATTTGCCCTTCAATTCCGTAATGAAAGTGCAAGCAAAATTTTTTTTTAAATATTAAAAAAATTCCCACGACCCCATGTGCCACGGTAAATAAAACATTTATGATTTTCTCTTTTTTGCCTTATCTCTCAATAAAAATGAAAACCGCTCTTTCAAAAATATCATATTTTTCCTTTTTTTCCGCATCATTTATATTTTTAGCAGTTCTGTGTCATGCAAAACCGAATGGGAATTCTCAAAAATGGATCTAGACATTTCAAAGATAATTAAATCTGGGCCTCAATTCTTCTCCCCTCCTACCACTTCCCACCACAAATCCAAAAAAGTAAAAACTGCAATTACCTTGATCGGTATGATATGCGACGGCGACTCTTCAAGCGGAAGCCCAGCGGCAGTAAGTACAGACTTCATATACCCAACATTCTCCTGGTGTTTAGCCCTAAGCCGACGCCCCTCATCAGAAGCCAGAACCTCCACAGCGGTGAGGGCGCCATAAAGCGTGGTAGGCGGTAACGAAGTAGTGAAGATAAAGCCAGCAGCATAGCTCCTGACAACGTCAATCAACCTCTTCGAGCCCACAATGTACCCCCCGACATTGCCAAAAGCCTTCCCCAGAGTGCCAGAAATGATATCCATTTTATCCAGCACCCAGTCCCTCTCTCCGATTCCAGCCCCCGAGTAGCCATAAAGCCCAACAGCGTGGACCTCATCAACGAACGTGAGAGCCCCATATTTGTGGGCAATTTCGCACATCTCCTCCAACGGACAGATGCTGCCATTCATGGAATGTACAGTTTCGAATGCAACGATTTTCGGTAATGAGCGATCAACGCTTGCCAGCAACTCCTCGAGATGCCTCACGTCGTTGTGTCGAAATATGTGCTTGGGAACTCCGCTGTTGCGTATTCCCTGGATCATGGAGGCATGATTGCCAGCGTCGGAGAACACATGACATCCAGGCAATCTCTTGGCTAAAGTGAACAAAGTGGAGTCATTAGCAACGAAGCAGGAGGTGAAGAGGAGGCCAGCCTCCTTCTGGTGTAATGCAGCCAAACGTTTCTCCAGCATCTCATGGCCCATGGAATTGCCAGATATGTTTCGTGTACCACCAGCACCAGCTCCGAACTTGTCCAGCGCCCCATGAGCAGCTGCTGTCACCTCCGGATGGCGTGACATGCCCAAATAATCATTGGAACACCAGACGGTTATTGGCTTCTCCCCGCAGGAGTACTCCATAGCAGCTGGAAATTCCTGGGCCAGCCGGTTGACCTTCTTGAAGACACGGTAGGAGTGATCCTCTTTCTTCCTCTTTATCTGCTCGCTGAAGAATTCCTCGTAGGGGAAAATGGCTGGCTTTGGGTAGTGGCCGAGGTTGATAACGTCTTCCTCGACTGCTGAGCTTGCTTCCTTTATCGCGTCTTTCTCTTTCGAGAGGAAGGGGCATTGTTTCACTGGGGGTGAGGCCTCAGGTGAGGCCTCAGCTGTTTCGGAGAGGGTGCTCGAGGCTCGCGACATCACTGGACAGTGCTGACGGTAATTCATTAAAAGAGATGCACCATAATTGCGCACGTAATTTGCGGAGAGACGAGTCAAGAACGGACACGGCATTTCTAATAGTTTACCTGAAAACACAAATTCAGCTGTCATTACGGCCCTCACCCTTTTGGTTAAAAAAATTATATATGAAATGTATTCACATACAATTTTTTTTTCAATACTTCATTCGTTTTTTTATTTTGCAGAGGACAATTGAACGAAATGACTTTTGATTATCGGTTCGATGTTGAACTGATTAGAAATATCGCAATAGCGAATTATTATTGGTTATGTAAAGAATGGTGCAATGCCAATTCAGAAAATAACGTGGAACGAGGCTAAAGCACTTGGAGGACATTTGAGGGAAAGTTGGTCACGACTGAAAGGAAAGTTGAAATCACCTGATCACAGGGGTAAAAATATATGGATTGAATAGAAAAAATAAGGAATGATGCTCTCACCTCTCCTGACACTGACAATGTGACGACTGGCCCTCCTAACACTTTGTTGTACGAGCTGAAACCAGAATTATTGGTGATCGATTGTATCAATATTATTCAATCAGGGGCGATTCAAATGGGCCAACGGCCAAGGACGTTCAGTGCAATTTTTTTGGTGAACCCCTCCGTGTGCGTGTACTCTGCGAACTGAGTAAAATTGCTGCGCTCTGTCGTTTCAGTCCGTAACTCGTGGTTAAGGTGCTTCTTGCCAAAGGAGTAACCTCAGTCGTATACCCCCACTCCGTTCGAGGTTACTTATTTGGCAGAATTCAGTATAGGGGCGGGTGGGGTAAAGTGGACACTAGACTTTTTTTAATTATTCATAACTCAGAAACAAATTCATCAATTGAGCTCAGGTTAGGCTCGTCTGGAAGGGAAAGAACTTTTCTTTGTACTGAAAAAAAAGTTATTGCATTTCATCAACATTTCAACGCCTCATTAACATTTTTAAAAAAGTCGAAAGTGTCGGTTTACCCCAACTTCTATATTGTAGTACCTAATATCTGATACCGGTGGAAATTAGTGTACGCTGAGGAGAAATAAATTCGTCACATTTCATGAAAACTATCTCATCTCACAACTCTGGATATGAAACGTGGGCTTCACGAAGACGCAAACGAACATGGATTGCAATCAATGACAGCGGGATTTCATTATTCGTTTACGTGGAAATCTATTATGAAGTAATTAAAACACCAACACTTGGACCTATCCATAAAAACACAAAAAAATTTGCATCTTTGGATTCACCGGAAATGAGTAAACAAACCTGTTGTCAGAAGGCGGAAATGATGTGGTACTTCATTTGCACAAAAATTGGAGAAGAATTGGCACTTTCCTTTTATAAAAGGGATATAATCAGTAAGGAATGACAACAACTTTAATATGCTGAGTGAATGTATCAGGGTATATAGGGGAGGGTAGGGTAAAATGGACACTTTTGACTTTTTTATTAAAAATATTCATAACTCAGAAACAGATTTATCAATTGAGCTCAGTCTAAGCTCATCGCAAAGAGGAATAATTGTTTTTCAATTGGAAACCAAAATTATTCCATTTCACGAATAATTCAACGCGTCATAAATATTTCAAAAAAAGTCAAAAGTGTCCGTTTTACCCTACCCTCCTGCATGTGAACTTATTCAACGTGAAAATGTTGGTCAGTGCGAAAGATGGATTATCGACATGGTTTCGAAAATGGAAAATATTAATCTAAACTCTTCCCGATATTTTGTCCTTTCCACCCGCTCTTACGATGAATTTAATTCAAATTCTCACGGAAAGAAAAAAAACAGAATTAAGAGGTTGATAATTTTGAGTTTCAACATTACGCAGCAGTTTTAGACCGCTAATTACACAGAAACGTGATTTATTTTTCAATTTTGCATTTTCCAAACAGAAAGGCCACCGAGAATTAATCAAAAGATTTTTATACCGAACCGCACGATCTAAAGTTTCTCGACACAATTCTCTGAAGCCACTAATTTTACCCACATCCGCGGGATAATGTTGATAAAACTCATCTACTCGTTCACTTTCACTTTGCTACAGACCTAATGAATGCAAAATTCAAGATGTTGGTTTACCATGTTGCAAAGCACTGGTGAAATTTCGAGCCCTAACTACAGGGGTTGTTGGATCCAACTTGTTCTCGTCGTGATCGTAACTCGTATGAAATAATTTACACTGTCACGATCGTCTTATGACCGAGCCTAAACCAATGAGCAGGCGACTTTACGTGTTCGTTGCCACAATCACGTCAAACATTCGTCAGTGGTCAACCTTCTTCCTGTGACTATCTAAATGATCATGCAAGTTACGTGTCGCATAAAAACTACTCGTTTGACTGTTCATTAGAAGGGTAACACATTAAAAATTTGATGGTGATCGATGGATAAATTTTTATCTTTACTCCTTCATTCTTTCCACTTTAAATCATTATTTTCCCATATGTTATCCATTTATTCTATTTGATTCATTTTATCTATTTTCGATCGCTTGACGGACCTCAAATTGCCCTTAACCATCTGCCCAACTGTCTATCTATTGGTCTGGTTTTCCTAACTATTTAAAAGTTTAAATATTTTTTCAATGCAGGAGTTTCTACTGTGTAAATACAATAGTTCTTTTTGGTGATTCCCCGCAAGTACCGCATTACAGAAAATCGAGTACCGTCACAAGGAAGTCCTTATTTTCCGTGAGATGACTCATTCCTTTTCGGGGATTCCCAGAGTACCTAGGAATCTATACAATAGAGAGAAAAAATTTTTAGGTTTCACCTGTCGTAAACTATCAGATTGTTTTACTATAGTCTTGCGTCTGAATTTGCTCAGTAAATCCCTAAACCATCGGAAACATCAGTCAAGTGCATAGTGAACGAGTCAATATGAATATTCCGTGACAGATTAGCCCACATTAAAAAATATTCAACCGCTAAATTGAGTGAACGAATTTCGCGAATTGAGAGCCGTTTAAAATAGAAGAAATTGCAGCTCCCTTTAAATTTTACAGATTGTTCCGCCTCCATTAGCTGCTGCCAGCGGTGGACTTTAGATGGCAGGCCCAGTGCCTCGGCGAAGTGTAAGTAGAAATGCAAAATGACGGTTATTTTTTAGACTGCGTCATATGACCAAAAATGACGGTTTTGTAACGGTCATGCGTCGTAGAAATTTTCCAACTAAATATGAGGTCACATAATATTCATGAACAAGCAGAACATCAGATATATCTTGTTCTACTATCTCAAATTATAACATAATTATAATAGAATTGGTCGATGAGATTGGTTTCACATTTTCTTGAGTATTAGAAAAATTTTATAGCTCTAATAATCGCTAATGAATTCAAACCTCTTTGAATCATCTCATATATTATCATGGATTGTCACGTAAATGTACGGGACTTGCCATTCGGCGCCTCCTCCAGAAGGCAAAATTATTATTTACATTAAGGTATTAAATTAGCGATAAGAACCCCAGAGGCCCGCGTCATGTAAATCTATAATAATGGCTGTATAGAGACCCTTCCTAATCGAGATTCATTGGCGTTCGCCTCTAGAGAGCATAAAACCATTTAGAAATAGAAGAAGCACTCCGAACGCGCCTATTGGCGCCACTAATTTCAATTTGAAAACCGAAACAGCGGACGAGACTCAAACCATCGACGCAATTAAATCATTTATCCTTGCAACAATAATCTACCGCGATTATTCCATCCACAAGTCCAATCTGTTAGATCCAAACTTTCGATTTTGGCGAAGAAATTACAGTTAATTGATGTAGCATGAAAAATTAGTGATTTTTAAAGCATTCATTGATGAACTAAGGAAAATGGACAAAAATGCATCGAATGGCACTGACACGGACGAAATAAGGACGCATGTGGTATCAAAGAAATTATTGACTAGTCAAAGAGCCTTGGCGAGGGGAAAAGAGAGAAGCCATGGAGTCGGCGCGTGAGTAACGACTCGTGATGCGCCCTCTCTTCTTTTCTTCAGAGGAGATCCCAGACCCCCTCAGGGTCGTCCATTGCGGACATCGAGAATCACGCAAAAAACTCCCTGCAAACAGTTGCAATTCTACTCAACTCGACATTTCAAAAAGTACAAACGCGGCGTAAACTTGAATAAAGAAATTTGTGAACCCTTCGGTCTTGAATCATCGCTCCTCACGAGAGCGCCGGCTGAGCCATTCCATCAGTCGATCTCTATCCAGGATTATTAATTTAAGTAAGTCTTCGTGGCCGTATGTTTCGTTAAAATTGCACGTTTTACAATGATTTTATGAATTGCCAAGTTTGCACTGTCTGCAAGTATTAATTTTTCCTTTGTCTTGAGCTGTCAACGCTTTCTGACAACTGGCTATTTTAAAACCACTGGAACTACGTCATGCGGACAAACCACGATCAATAGGTTTCTTTGTTGCTTCGTTGAAATGACGGAGAAAAAACAATTTCCTTTGTCAAGAGTCTTGTAACAGTCTTGTACAGTTGTTCCATTAATCTACTTATTTGCATGCATCTGAAGCTTGATAATTGTTTCTATTTATGGTGAATGATTCTCTTTGATTCGTTGTTCTGCGCTCTTTTACGAAACGCTTCCGTTCATGGAATCGCTGTCTTCTCGGCGGATGTTTCATAGGTCCATTGTTGTAGAAGGCCCTTCACAGGTTCATGACCTGAGTTCAACGTCTCGAAACGGTAGACCTGGATTCGGGGCGTAATGAAAATTTTGATTGAGATGGCCGCGACCATTTCCCCGTTCGTGCACGCATTTCAGATGTCTCAGCACAATCTCATTCAGATCTCTTGGTGAATTTAGCTGTCCGGTTTTTCACGGAAGTATTGAGGAGAATTTCGCTCTAGTTACTGTGTGCGAGGGTCGTCACGGTTCAATTGGCGAATCGTGCGAGGCTTTTATATGAGCATTCAAGGTGATGTTGATAATCAGGCGCTGCGCATTTTTGAAGAACTGATCGGCGGGTAGCGCTTGTCGAACCCAAAATGCCCGAATTTTTATAGATTCATTTAGACACGTCGAATTGGAATTCGTCGCATTCGAATTCGTCGAATTCTTGTAATGGGACTTTCAAATCGATTGTTGATTCGCCATTTCTTTTAACTTACAATGAATTTATGGGTACAACTGTGGCGAAGTATTGCGGAATATTTTGTCCGGAAAATTTTGGGAAGACTGAAAGAAAATTTTACGCAAAACTCTCTGAAAATAGAAGCCTAATACTTACTGATGGATAATAGCTCATGGAATTCGCTGTGATATAAGAAGATAAGTAAATATCTCGAGATAAATTTTTAAATTGTATTTTGCACCGTTCAATTGAGCACAGTGCAGCATAGAACAAAGTGCGAGTTGTAAGATGCCAATCTAATCGTCATAGGATCGACGTTGCACCCAATTAAGACCAATCTGCAGCAATGGTCGACCATAGAATCCTTTACATTGCGTAAAAATTGAATCTCAAATATCGTCGAAGTCGATTTTCTTGGAATTGGAATATTCCCTGATATCGACATTTCAGATTTCCCTAATTTTTGTGTTGAGTTTCTGATAATTGTTAGGAAACAACGGAAATCAGGTTTCTGACTCTCTCCAACTTCTTAGTGACTGAGATCGCCATTCACTTTTGTCACTGTTCCAACAAGACTAGCACTAACAAAGTTTGAGGATATTCTCGGGTTTTGTAGAAAGTTTGAGAAAATCCTTTGGATTTACAGAAAATTTTGGGAAATTCTCGCGTTTTCTAAACAATTCGAAGAGGTTCTCCGAAGTTTCCAGAAAATTTGAGAAAATTCTTTGGTTTTTTTCTGACCGAAAATTGTCCGTAAATGGTCTTTGGTCAGTGACGAGTAGTTTACGTGTAAAATGACGATAAATTGACCGTTCAGCTCTGTCCATAGCCCATAACACAGTCGGCTTTACCGGCTATTTTTACTTACATTCTCCCGAAAACTTTACACTCGATCATTTCTTCAAGTATTTTCACAGGGCTTTGTTGAATCATTTTTTCACGGAACCCTTTCGTGAATCATAGTTTATTTCAGCGTTTTTTATCTCTGCAAGAATTTTTAAACCGAATTATTCGAAGAAATGGCGTGAAGACTCGTCCTTGCATTGTCCACATGTTTCCATGTTTTTATATTGGATTCCTCCAGCGTTAGATATAACCGAGGCCAGTGATTTGTTGATGTCCATCATCGTAGTATTCTATTTTTAGTGCACATCATATATATCACTTTTAGTTGCGTATTCCTACTCCAAATGCCCATAAGATACGATAATAGAGAAGAATCGAATTCTGACTAATGAAATTTTCTAAAATCAGACTGTCGATGGGGATATATAGCATCAAAATTTATGTACTAATTACCAAAATCAGAGAAGAATTGCAGGTAGTTCCAATAATTGAAACTTGATATTTTTGTTACTTTAGTTGGAGCAATCATTATTCCTCTTCATAAATAGATGTTTCATTTGGTCAAACATTCGCCGACCTTACTCTTTCCTTCAAGGAAAGAATTTCTCAACGAATTGAACTCTCACATTGCCCAATTTCTATTACCTATTCTAGAAAGTCAAAATTAGTAAAAATAGGGAAAAACTATTAAATTAAATTCATCGAAAAAACAAACAGTTTGGGGCGGTTTATTAATTATACAACAGTATATATAATAAATACTATATATTATATAATATATACATATATACAATTTTTTTTACAGAACGATATTTTTTTATTGCAGTAAAAAATGATTTTTTTTTGCAATTACTCTAAACAAAAGATTACAGTACATTAAAAAATACACATGTACATTATACTACATGACTTGATTAAAAGTGGATAATTTCAGAGATCGACTTGATGCGTTTTACTACAAAATTAACGAATGAGAGCCCAAAAAGTTTGCGGGAAAGTCTGTTCATGAAAAATGAATTCTCCTCAAGCTCAATTATTTCCCCTAAAATGAAATTTATCGATGCATAATTCCATAGTTATGTTCCATTCGCGTGTGCCGAAAATCCTCCAAAAATTTTCCACACAGAAAAAGAGAATTGGTTCTACGAGTAAACACGTTACAAAGCTCAAAACCGTCTCTGAATCACCAAAGCCGTAACTCAGAGTCGTCCACCCGGGGCTTCTCATTCCGTTTTGTAGGAAAACACCTGGGTCATCCCAGTCCCCCCTCCAGTCAGCGTTCAACGCAGGTACATTTCCCCGGGGCCAAGCCGACGAGTCAGTGAACGCTCACGGGAACGTGATAGCGAAACGAGTTGCCACAGCTACAGCACTCGAAACCCACAGACCAGAGCGAACAGCGAACACGCGGATCCCCGCTGATGTCCACGTGATCCGAGCATGCAATCCAACAACGGCATCGACCGTATTTCCCCTTCCCTTCCACCCTCGACCCGCCGGGTCTCTTCATTCTGCGTGCTCGCACCATTATTGTGCCCCGTTGCACTGGCCCTGTCCCCTTTATTTTTTCCCCAGTTATGTCTTCCCATTCTCATTGTTCTTTCTCTTGATTTACTGTTTTTTTTAGCTTCTACCATTATTCGATGAGCAATTCAACTGTTGACTTTCGTCGTCACCTATTTACTTCAGTCCATTGTCTTAGTTTTTTTATGACTTTGTTTTGCGTGAGATCACTTCCAGCATTAGATCTAAATGATAACGAGATTTTCAGATTTTTTTTTGTAAATTCAGATATCAACGGGAGGGTGGGACTCCAGATTTAAATAATGAGTTGAGTTGGATCAGATCTGGTCCGACTTCACCTGAAGTTTATAAAAATGAGCACATTGTCACATTATTTTATGGTGATTTCTTCTGTGAGTAGAAAAATAACCATCTCACAAATTTCGCAAATGGACAAATTGAAAAAAAAATAATTTCAAGCTACTCTATGTTTCAAACTTTACTGTAAAGTTTAATAGAGTTGAAGTTTGTTAATATCTCTTTACACTCGAATTTCTCTCTATAAAAAGATACCGACACGATTCTGTGGGAAAATGTCCGTCGAAAATTTTCTTTATGTTTGAATGGGATCAACTTATTTTAAAAGATTCGATTGTTGAATTGTTCGGATTCATCAGGTGTCCATGCTGATTATTAAATACGTACTTTTCAAAAAACTTTATTTTTCTCAGTGCACCACCTTTGCTAGGTCAAAATCTCGATGGAGAAAAAAACGTCTAGACTTTTGTAAATTGAAACTTCCCGGTTCCCTCGAGCGAACCAAACTCCATTGCTCTCGAATGGAAACAGAGAAATCATAATTACCTAATTCCCTCGCCAAACAATGAAGATTAAGATCTAATCTGATTGTCACTGAAATTTCGAATATAAAAATATAACAATGAAATAGTTGATCATGAGCTCATTTCGAGGCCTCCAGCAGAAAATTATAGATTTTTCTTATCATTAGTTTACTGTATCCGATAATTAGCCGGAGAATCTCATAAACAAGCGATAAGCACATGGCCTACGAGACGGGTGAGAAATATACAGCCATGTGCGCATGTGTTCATTACACTTGACCGGTATCAGACGAAAACGTGCTCTAATCAAAAAACAATATTATTGATCTAATAATACTAGATGATAACATAATACATAAGTAAATACATATATACAACAGTTTTTTTATCGCCCAGACAGGTTTGTTTGTTTATTTTGTCCTGCGTGCTCACTTCGATCTATTTGTTTGCTTTAGTTATTGCTTTATTCCGTCTACCTGTTGTACTTAAAAGATAATTGGCTCGTCGAAAATGGACAATAAGACTCTTGTTGATTATTCCGACATAATTGGAAATAACAGATAGATCGTGGGCTCCGATTTTTATGTCACCATTACTTTTTGTATTCTGTTTTCGCTGAATGCTGAGGTGTTAACCAGTTGGACAACAGCGAGAATTGCCATTTCAAGGCTCCTTCTCAATTTCTAATATCACATTGTAGTTTATCCACAATTTTTGCGTTGCAGTTTTCAGAAAAGAGAAATAATTAAGCACAGTTTCGGAAATATTCAATTTCGAAGAGTTTTGAGTTTTCGAACTTGAGAACGCTAAAACTTATTAGACAAGAATGCCGAACTTTTTAGACGAGAAAGCGTCGAAAGAATGGTTTTGAAGCGGCAAACCCCACATCACCGAGGTGATTTCATTCCGGAACAATTTCAATATATTTTGCATTGCGTCAAAGTCGTGATTGTTCATTTGTCATTAAAAAGAAGTATTTAGCCAACTGAAAATAAAGCAATTTTAACTTTCCGGGCAGGGAAGTTATTGTAATGCCCCCGAAAATGAAAAATCGATTTTCCATGATATCTCCACGTTTCAAGGTGTTTCTAATGTTTCTCGATAGTTTTTAACAAAATGTCTGTGTGTGTGCGTGTGTTACTTTGTACGTATGTGGTCAAAATTTTGGTCAACGATTTCTCGTGAACGAATGGTCCGATTTTTATATATCAATTGCGCTGAAGGAGAATCGATAAAAAAGTCTTCCCGTTTCATCAGACATCGCTTCCGTTTGTACTTCTATCAATTCATATTTTTTTTGTTAATAATACATTGGGCCGAGGTGCTTACGTCGTCAGATCACGACTCACACCGGGCTGCGATGCGTGCTGTGGAACATGAAAAAACAGTAGGTGCACGCGCTCTCCGAGTGTTCGTCCAGTTCATCCCCACCCCAGACATCCAATGTTTTCCCCTCTGTTATTCAGGGGAGTCGTATAAAAGCGAACAAGACGGCTGGCCTCCGATTAGTACACAACGCTCAGCTGTTCGAATAATATTTACACGTTATAAAAGTTCCTCAAACCCACCGATTTATAAAAAATCTATTCAAACGCATTTACTCACAGTGATTCAGAATCGGTTGAATTGTGTTATTTTTCTCGCGATTTGCTCCATTTGAGGGGGACAAGGACACTGATTATTGCTTCGACCTGTAATCTAGGTGAAAAAAATGCCTGTCGAGGTAGCCGCACCTGGGCAGCCTGCTCACACAGCCCACAAAGTTTTTAATGGGTATATTTTATTTCATCAATTTGTCATTTCCTTTAAATATACTTTGATCCTTCAATAACCGTTCATTATCGATCTTCAATATATTTATTTATTTTCAATATATTTATTGCAATTAAATAAATGAACGTACATTCGAGTTGAATCGAATTAACAAAGATACACCGCCAAATGAGCTAAGTCGCTCTACATCTTCACGCGACATTCGTCCGACTACAACTGACTCGCGTCATTCCCTCATTCGGGCAAAACACTCTTTTCCTTCTCTATTTCAAAAATATCCTCTCCCTCGCACTCATTCCTAACGAATACACCTTTGTCCCAAAAAAACCTCACTGTTCGTTACACAGGCCACCCTCAGAAGAAACACCTTTTTATCTATGTGAACACTTTAATTAAAAAATCTTCAAGACTCTACCCAGTCAGAAGGTAGTTGACACTATGAATATCTACGAGAGACGAAAGATGGTTGCTAGTGAGGCCCAGGATTAATATAGACCCAGGAGGGCAATATAATTTTCTGTACTGCTTCTCACGATTTCTCGTCTGGGAATTGGTATTACATACTTCCCAAACTCGAAAACTTGAAAATCACTACAGAAAAATATTGTTCCTGGGCTGTTGCGATGGAGTTTTTTTACTCGTGTGGTTGACCAGGCCTCGCCTACGGCTCGGACGCCAACACCACACGAGTAAAAAACCCCATCGCCACAGGCCGGAAAAATACTATTCCACCCCCTGAAGCAAACGCTCGGTCTTTCTCTCTTGACCCCGCCTGCTCGCCAGGTGTACTTGTGGGAAAAACCCATCAGTAAAAGTCGCGAGAGGACTGTTCCCCATTTTACACTCTCAGGGATGACCCCCTCGCAATATAAAGCAATAAACCTTTCCTTAACATAAAAGAACTTGGGAGAGTGAATTTTGATCTCGGGGAAAACCCCGAAATCCAACTGTTGGAATTATTATATGAGTGAGACGTAGATGAAGGCAAAAAGTCATCTCTAATGAGTTCATTTTTCTTGGTATGGATTGTATGTTTAATAACACCGGAGTCAGGAGTTTATAAGAATTTTGTTTAGTCTCAGTAGAGTGGAGGAGTGGGATGAATGCCTCTTTATGGATCAGATTTTTGACCAGAGTTCGTCACCAATTTCTTCGTCTCGAATCAGTCTCTCGGAGAGCTTTGAAAAGTAAAGACGTGCCCTCATTAATAAAACCAGTTAAATTCAAATAATCAATCACGAGTGTCTTCATTTATCGCCATAATCCTAATACCAACACTTCCAATATCTATAATACCACGTTACCGATTTTTCCAGAGAACCCAAGAAGATGAATAAGCTCTGCCGTCAGCTGTCAATTGAGAGTCCAAGTATAACGGGACGTGACTGTGTCTTCAGTTTCGACGTTCCTGTCCCAGATGTGCCCAGCCACGGTGCTAGAATTCGCGTAGTGTGCGCCGGTGCCTGCTACCACCCCAAACGTTCCCCAAGTCTCACAAGTTTGACATCAGTATCGAGTTCAAGCAGTTTGGCAACTGAGGCTTCTCTAGAGGGCGATTTTCCCGTAACTCTGCCGCATCACGGAGTCCGAGATGCATCTCTATTCCCCGGCTACGAAGTCGCTGGTATTGTTGAGTCACTTGGCTCTGGACTGAGTGACGACTGTGCATTTACTGTCGGCGATCGGGTTATACTTTATCCCTACGAGGGAATACCCAATGGTTATGTGGAGTATCTCGTTGTTCATGATCTCAAATACCTCATTAAAATACCAGATAATGTATCACTGAGTGTCGCTGCTATGCTCCCCGCCGGTGCTCTACTCGCTATGAACACTGTCTTCGCGGCTCACGAACACGTACAGGTATGACGAATATTTGTAAATAATTATTTCTTCCCATGCGCTACGGGATACACCGTTAGGAAAAAAAATAAATTTCGTGGACGGTTGATTGCGAATTTTCAGGACAGTGATATCGAATGCGATTTAGGGGGGGGAAAATCATGAAATTTCAGGTTTCAGTAAATTCGATAGCAGTTGGGAATAACTTCTCGGGGTTGCGGGAATCCAAATTCCGAGCAGCATTCGCTGCGGCCACCGACGGTTCTCACATTACGTTTGAGTTTATAATGGCAACTCTAGTCGGAAAAAAATGACCTGTCAGGGTTTTTATGTACATGATTCGAACATGCCCAGTTCTATTTTCTCTCAGTATTTTAACGTCTGTCTATATTATATTTGCTTATTTTGTTTGGCTAAATAAAATAAAATAATCCAGAAATAATTCGCCGGGGCCAGGTTGCGAACCCAGGGCCTCTGTGTTTTGCGCACACTTTACTTTTATTTGTTATAAAGTTTATTTATTTCATAGTCAGAGCGTGGATACACGAGTAATAATTATCAAAATATATGAATTTAGCGGTAAAACGTCATCTCTTTTTTCAGCAACTTGTGAAAGAGCGTGGGGAGAACAGTGTCTGCAAGATCCTCATCGTTGGTACCGGTGGATTGGCTCTTTGGGCCCTGCGAATTGCTGCCTATCATTTCACGAACATGCGAGACAAGGTCACAATAACAATAGCTTCATTGAAGGACGACGGATTAAAAATGGCACAAGAATTTCAACGGTAACTATTACCACTAAATCCTGACAATTATGTTGTGGGATAGATTCACCCAAAAATAGAGAAGTTTCTAGCGATAAAATTATATTGATGTCGATATTCAATTTGGATGAAATTAGAAAATTATCAAGATTGAGAATGGGTCCCATAACAGTCTGTCTGTCCGTGTTATTCACCTCTATCTGAAGTCTTCTATCTGTCCCCAATTAATGTCAACAACACGTGACCAATAATGAATTGATCGCGGTGACTGATCGCCAGTCGTGTCTTGATTTTTATCGAACTCATTAATTTTTGGAAAAACCCTTTAGATATAAAATCCACCTCAAGCCATTTAAACTCGATACTAACATATAGAATACCATCTAGAATATCATATCAAACAGTTTTCCCCCCAGAGCGCAAGTAATCATTTTTTCAATCATAAAGAAGATTAACATCGATCTGTCAGTTCATCCGTTTTATTCACAAACAGTAAAAATGTGATTTCCAGGGTGAACGTAGTAGAGTGGAACGAGGGCCTCTACGAGAAACAGTTGATCGAACGCACAATGGATGCGTGTCGCGGTCAAGTGGACGTTGTCATTGACTTCGGCACAACATCCAGAAGCCTCCATCGCAGTATGCAATGCCTAAGTAAAGGTGGAGTTGTTTTTGTGATGAAAGAAGTGGCAGATCGTTTGTTACCAAAATTTAGCCGACGAGCGGAGGAGCGCCAAATAAGCATAAAGTCCGTGGAGCTTGGTACACTGGAGCAGTTGACTGAACTCGTACAATTAGTGGCGTCCGGTGAAATAGAGCCACCACCTCACACTGTTTATCCGGCTGAAGAGGCAATGGATGTTGTTCACAAACTCTGTCATTCACAAATTCAAGGTAGAGCCATTCTTCGCTTCTACCCCGCGGATTAGACGCGGCGATTAAGGTTGAAAGCCTGAGGACATCAGTTATCACTGATTATTGATGATTCTCGATGATCGGCGCATCGAAATTCATCCGAAGAGAGTATATTATGGAGTGAAGACGAATGGATGGTTTCGTTTTGGATGAATAACGTCAAGTTTGGGATATTGGAAAAAGAGCAGACTTATTTGACAGAGATTAACCATATAATTAACATGAGTATGTAGAGTGATAGTTCAGTTTAATTATCATGATGAACGCATACAAAGTTCGATATAAATAATGCGTATTTGCGTGAATTTTCAAAATTATTGTGACGAAGTGGTGAAAGGATTTCAAGAATACTCTGAGAATTGGGAGAATTTGAGGAAAAATATCCGAAGAAGCTTTCAGTTGGTAGAATTCTTGTTGAAGAAATACTTCTTACACCTCCGAACCTCTTTCTGTAGAAGATTTTCGAAAAATCAGGTACATGTCGTTCACCACTTCACAATTTATCTGAGGACAAATGAAAGTAGTGGGATATGTCCTTTAACATTACAATATGTTTTGGATATTAATAACTGTTGAAAGGTCTGGTTAACTTGAGATGGGTTCATAAAAACTTGAAGCAATATCGAGGTAGGAGAACTATTGTTTTTGCATGCTGAACCAGTTGTTCGGAATAAAAATTCACTGAAGGCTCGAGTGCGCCTTAAAAATCATAAGCCTTGTTGAAAATCCTAGATCAGTATTGCTGTGTTAAACTTTTTTAAGACTGTAAGTTTTGTTCAGGAGGTGGTCATTTTTATTTTTACTCATCTTAAATGTAATAAGTCGAAGTTAACTTGTAACGCACCGCATCGTAATGGCCAATGTCATAACAGTGATGTATTATACTATAAATCTTCGTAATATAATCGATATGTTTTTATTTAAATGATGATTGTAGTGATATTGTCCTCTCCTTTTTCCTGTTGTGTTAATTATTGACAGCATGTGACTGTTATCAGAAAGACAGTGCGACTGCTTAAGGTCCAAATAATTTTATTCGAAAATGAAACTATTCATTCTCTCTCATTTTTCTGAGAACTTGAGTCGGCATTGGTTGAAGAGTGGGGGCCAGTGAAAAGTTCTTCATTTCAGGGAAATGGTACCCCTACAGCCCTTTCCATGAGCAACTAGCGAGAGTCTACTGTATCCTCTTCCCATGAGCCTTCAATTGAAAGCCCGAGTTGAAGACTCGAGTTTGTAGCAAAGATGTCAGACAAGATATGAATGTTTTTTTGAGCTCAAATGAAAGAGCGGGTCGAGAAATGGCGTGCTAGGACCTCTAAAGATGGTGTTGAACCAGGGGAGACTCCTAGACCCCAATGTTCTATACATACTCCTAGACCCCATTGTCCTCCTAGACAATGATGTCACAACTCTGCTTTTCAATTGAAAACAGATATCATCTTTAGAGACATCTCCTATGTGAGGGGCTAATGAGCTAGTGCATAGCCACCTGGCGCTATCTACGTCAACCTTGCGAGAACTATCCAAATTTTCTGTATACTAGAGCGCTGCAACTTTATTTGGCGTCACAACAAAATTCACAGACTCCTTATATTTGTTTACAATCAAGTTTAAACTCTCAACAACTGTTCAACAATTGGAAATTCAGGTCTTCCATTGAAATTGAAGTCTGTGTGGCTTGAAAAATACAATGTCCAGTGATCCGATTCAGTACTCTGAGAAATATCAAGATGATAAATATGAGTATAGGTTAGCCAAGGCTGCGATGTTCAAAAATCGAGTGATTCCACAAAATACAATTTCCTGTGCAATTTCAGGCACGTCATATTGTCAGCTGAGATTGCCAAGCATGTTCCTAAGTCTCACTTAATGTCAGAAACCGAGTGGAGGAACCTCGGAGTCCAACAGAGTCCGGGATGGGTCCACTACATGATGCACGTACCAGGTAAATAAATTTTAGAATGAAACAGTCGATTCTGTGAATATCAAATTTTGTAATTAGTGTAGAATTTTTTATAATTTAATTGTGGGGACCTGAATTTGTGCGTGATTACGAAAATTTAATCTGTTGTCGAAATAAATTCCCAAGTGTCTGACGACATTTTTGTGAGGGAGCCAGTCCCATACTCTAATGTCACCTTTATGATATTGTTCAATCTTCACTACTCGTTCTCATTGCAGAGCCACACGTATTACTATTTCGTCGTCGAAGAACTGACATTCCATTGGTCGTAAGAAATGGTCTCAATGAGTCGACGGCCATCAGATGCAACTAAATTGGACCAAAACATCAAGTGAAATTTACAGGTGAATGAAGTAAAGTAAAATTTATTATTCACATAATAGACAGGGAGGTACATTATGACAATCACATTACAGTGCTAAAGCCCCTACGAGACCACCCCAAGAGGAAAATCCCACAACTGAAAAATATCCTACAAACTCTATTTTTTGGCAAATTAAAAAATGGAATAGACATTAATCCTAATCTACCGGCGATTGTTTCAACGAGCCAGCTGTGTTATGAGGGCTGCACACATTTCAAAAAATTCCATTGTATGGTGGCCAGTTGATTGAGATGGAAGAGAAGTAGGATCTGCAGGAAATGTTTAATTATTACGTATAAATTATTTATCTCTTGTGAATTTTCTAGCCAAGTGATTCAAGTAGGCGAACCCATTTGCAAATATCTCTAAGATCAATTGGTTTGGAAAAAATGTTAAGCCTTTTTTGTTATCCATCAAATTTTCAATCAAATGAGTTTCTCAAGCCAACTCTCCAAACCATCTTTTAAAGACAGTGGCAAATCCGTTGTGGGCTTACATATAATCAACATAAAATAATAAACAGTAAGTACCTTTCATAAAATCATCTGCTTCATCATTCGCCAGTGACTTGAAATCTAAGAGGTAGCTTTTGTAATCAACTTGATAAAGTTGAAGGGACATTTTACTGTGTCTATTTGCCAACTTGTTCTGCTGTCTAACGCGAACACTGTAGGCATTTATAATTTTCCATTCGAAATTCAGAGCTTTCATGGCTCGATAAACTTCATTCATGATGTCATTTGGCTTTGATTGAGATCTGATGCCTAGATGCCATTTTGCTCGCTTCACGGGGGTTCCTCGAGCTCCTTGAGGTAGAGGCTGCGTACTCGGCTGAGAGCCCTGTTTCTCACGAAATGCTGTGAATTATTTAATTGAATTATTAAAAAATACTGCATTAATGGACGATGTGATAAAGTGGTGAGGAGAACAAGGAGATGATTTTACGTTGCATTGGCAGGTTATTTTGTTGGTCTCTCATCGAGGTAAAGGTTCAGGAAAATTTATCAGAAAGTCTTTTTCGTAGAGAAGTTGATATAATACAAACGAAGAGCCTTAACTTTGGCCAGCTGAATCTAATAATTTCAGATATTTCAGTTTTGATATGGTAAAATCACATAGAATTTGACGAACCTCTACAGAGCTTTTATCTGCTAAATTTAATTTGCGAAAAGGCCTGGTGTTTTCCCCCTAAAAAGCTCTTGTCTTCATAATATTGCCATAATTACAAAAACGATCTTCTCAAACTTAAAATCCACGAGAACATGAATAAATCATAACTAAAAACTAAACAGACCCTTACGTGCGATTCGTTCTGGATGTGGTCTGAGGGGGCTGCTAGAATTATCACTGGGGCTGAAGGCAACTGGAGGTGGGCTGGAGGCTACATAAAAGTCCTTAATCTCAGCCTTGGCAGCCTCATCCGCAATCCTCTTATTATCAATGATGAGATGATAAGCGATTGCCAGTTGATCGTGAGGGTCTCCAGCTAGCAATGCAGAGTGTACCTCAGCCTCTTTAACATTGAATTTCTCACAAACTTCGTTAATTGCGTCAATATCAATGACCGAAGAGTCCTGTTCAACTGGGGATGGGAAGAGATAAGTGGGTAAATCCTTCTGGAACCACTCGTGCTTCTTTATGTCCTCTATTGTCGCACGTTTCATTGGATCAACTTGGAGCATGTGGCATAAAAGACTGACTACGGTTTTGTTCAAATACTCGGGGATTGGAAATATTCCAGACTTAATTTTACGAAATAATGTGGGCACATGTTCGTCGTCAAACGGTAGTGTACCACAGAGTAATGCATATAAAATGACTCCACACGACCAGATATCGACCTCCGGACCTGCGTACAGTTTGCCTGATATTACTTCAGGTGCTGCGTAGTTTGGAGAGCCACAGGATGTTCTCAAAAATTCACCATCCATCATCATATTTGAGAGGCCGAAATCAGCAATTTTAACGTGCAAATTGTGGTCAAGCAAGAGATTCTCAGGTTTAAGGTCTCGGTGGACGATCATGTGTCGATGGCAGTAATCAACACCTGAGATTATCTGCTGGAAGAATCTGCGGGCCTCGTATTCCTTCAGCTTTCCATGTTTAACGATGTAATCGAATAGCTCTCCGCCTGACACATATTCCATTATCATGAATATGTCCGTTGGAGTGCTGATAACTTGATACCTGGAGTTGTTTTCATTATTAGAGGCCTGATGGAGGATCAGTGGTAGAATGGATTGAGAGGTGTATGAATTTTTGTAATTGTGAAACTACAGAAAAATTCGGAAAAAAATTAGGGACTGACCAATTTGACATGGAATACCTCGTATGCGACAACTACATTCACTTCAACACTTCAATGGTTAGAATATATTTTTCTCTTACAATTTGATGATGTGTGGATGTCGAAACAACTTTAGATTCTGGATTTCTCGTCTAATTTTTCCGACGACATCTAAACTCTTTATCTTCTGTCGATTCAGAATTTTCACTGCGACTTTGTGTTTCGTCAGAACATGTTCTCCAACTGAAAACAAGTCAATGTTATCAATTGAGCCTGGAAATCTTAATTTTTTGTTGTAATCACAGTGAGAGAATCTGAATTCAACACATACTTTTAACTTTTCCAAATGTACCAACTCCGAGTGTCTGTCCCAGCGTATAGTGTCCAATTTTAACAATTGGCTGAGGCTGATTAGTCGCAATTTTCTCAGCCATTTTGACAAAGCTCTAAACAAAAATATTTGTTTTTCCTGTTGAAGAGAATATCGAGTATTTTCATTATCCCACAATCGTGTGTACTTACTCAAGAATATCACTTAATCATATGTTAATTGATAGATCGTACGATGGCGAGAAAACTCCTTAACCTAACAACAACAACTGCCGCACAACAGAGAATTACCTTGAGCAATAATTTTATTTTTCACCAGTGTACGAGTACACGAGTAATTTTCTGCGTTTGTGTCTTCATTTATCGGACCCCCCGCTGTATTTAGCTATCGCACATTTACGGTCTTGGATTCACCACTTTGACAACTACCGCCAATATCATATGAGGAATTTACACTCAAAATGGAGTTGTTTACGAGAATTGGTCACTTAACAAATTCTAAGGCATTCTTTGATGTTTGTCAACTCACATAGATAAGGTTGTGCTGTATCGTGTATCATAATTTTATTTCGTGATATATGTATCGGCAGGGATCTGCAGGAGCTGGTTCTTCGTCATTCCTTCGCGACTCATATTCAGTAAAACTTTTATTTTCAAATTGGAACTGGGAAATAACTGGAATTCGAACGCGAATGTCTAACGAATGACAAGATTCAGAGAAAATAGGATTTCTCGATCGAGGACCGATTCTTTTGACTCGATTAGTCGGTTGGAACGATCATTTTCAGTCGAGATCGATCCATTCGTGATTTTCCCCCGCCAAATACTAACTCATAATTTTAAAGATAATTGAATAAATTCCATTCGAATTATTAATCAAACATGAATGCTTCATGTCATGTCGACTTCTTCATATTCCTTCAACCCTGTTTTTTTTATTATATTTTTTTTTTAAGAGAGTGGAAGAAAAATTGGGATATCGATGCTCCACGAATCGATTCGTTGAGGGGAATCGAGAAACCGTAAGCAAATTCTCTTATTTCACTCGGCGACAAAAACTCGGTTGATGAAAACCCACCCACACGTTCACTTGCTGCCAAAGTGGCACTAGCCGCAACAACAGTCGTATGACGTCAGTTTATATGCACTGGGCGCAGAGACACCGGTTCATTTGTTAAAAAAGCCTGTTCATAATGATTCGTGTAGGTAAATTAATTTTGATTTGTTTAGCGTGTGTTATTGCCACAACTAGTAGTACAAAATCTAGAAGAAATGTCGAGGAGCTCAACGAGGACAATTGGGATCGCATGCTGACTGGAGAGTGGATGGTGGAGTTGTAAGACACCTTGAATTTTATTTGAATCTCTCATTCCTCGTTCATTTATTGCTTACTCGTTAATTTCAATTTGTTTGATGCAGCTTCGCCCCTTGGTGTCCGGCGTGCAAGGACCTGGAGCCTATTTGGGCGCATTTAGGGGATAGAAAGGGAGAGCTTGGCATTAGTGTGGGAAAAGTCGATGTCACCGACTCACCGGGGTTAAGCGGCAGGTTTATGGTCACCGCGCTGCCCACGATCTATCAGTACGTTCTAGAAATATGAAGATTTTGTTAGATTTTTGGTGATCTGTGAAGGGATACTCGTGGATGAGGTAGTTCATGCCTAATGAGTCAGTGGCTGATGATTCGTGGAATTTCGAGAAGAAAAAATTGAAAATAAAATAGATCCAGGACGAAACACAACTTGTATGACGACTCAAAATACTTTTTAATTGCAAGAGTTGCTGAAGAAAAAACGAGAAAAATAAAACGATATTATTTTGGAAGTTCAAGGTTTTCAACTTTTTTTTGAAATTTCGGGATTATGAGCATCTACGGGTCGCAAAAAAAATAATCTAAATATTCTAATAGATGGTAAAAAATCAAAAATTTTCACGTGTCATAAATAAAAATCGGATGAATAGAACTGCAGTTATGGAAAAAAAAAAATCATATCTCTGAAATGGGCTGTTAAAAAAATCTGAAAAAAATTTTCGTTGACTCATTTCACATGGAATAGCTCATATGGACTCAATCGAATTTATATTCCTGTATTTTCAGCGTTAAAGATGGGTTATTCAGGCAATATAAGAGCCCCAGGGATAGAGATTCCCTAGTCAACTTTGTGAGATCCAAAACGTGGGTGAAAGTCGAACCGATCTCCAGCTGGAAGAGTCCCACCTCCATCCAAATGTCGATTATCAGTCAATTTTTTAAAATGTCCCAAGTTCTGAGGGTAAGTTGAATTTTTCCAAATTGTCACATTTTTTCTGCTCTTTTTTTCGAGGCCCAAAATTTAATCACCAATTCCAATTTTCGGAGCGGAGTATTTTGCGAATACGTTCACAATGGAAAATTTTAGGGAAGATGAAGAGAAAACCTCAACGTACAAACTTAGTACAATTCGTGTAAAAAATTTGCAAATAACGAACTAGCCTTATATTATCCAGGCAATTCACACAAAATTAATGGAAGATTTCGGCCTGCCAACGTGGGGAAGTTACCTGATTTTCGCAATCGCCACGATAATCATCGGTGCAATACTAGGACTCCTGATCGTGTGCATAATCGACTTCATCTACCCACCAAAACCAGCAAAATCTCAAAATTACACGAGAAAGGGGAAAGAGTCTGGGGATCGGAAAGACAAAGCTTCCGATGATGAGGACTTTATTGAGAATGTGAAGGACGATTTGGTCGACGAAGAAGGGAGTGAGTCGGGCAAAGAGGCTGAGAAGTCGGAGAAAAGTGAAAAAGCGACTGAGGCCAGTGCTAGCAGTCCCAACGCTCGCAAACGCAAACCTCGCAAGGCCGATTAAATAGACTCGTCATTACCTTCTCCATCGATACCTCCATTTTAATGCAAAGAACTCAATAGGTCTTTAGTTTTTTTATATTTTGGCAGTTATTATTATTATCATTATTACTATTAATTCTTTCGTAACGTCAATTCCTCATTTTTTATCATAAGAAGAACATAGGATTTTATAATCGAATTTAGGAATTGTAATGAGATTAAATATTTCCATTTGGATGTCAGAAAAATTGAATCATCCTGTAATGAAAAAATGAAACGTGATAAGTCGATAAATTTTCTTCAATCTGCAATTTTTTCAAGAATTTGTGATTTTTTGAGTGAAGATTCTGTTATTCACTTATTACGTTGTACCCACTCCAATTCATAATTATTTCTGTTCAATAGATATTCATTCCAGCTTGAGTGGCATTTTTCGAATATTAATTATACATTGAGTAATATAATGTTTTCTTAATGAAATAAAATTTGATATTTAAACAAACAATTGGTTAACTGTGTTCGTTCTTGGGGCGTCAGAAGAATTGGTTCAATGATAGACGTTAATTCAACTGTCATAAGCAGTGTTTATTCCTTTCCTTAATCAAATTATTTTCAATACTTTAAACGAAAAAAAAATATAAATGAGTACAATTTTCCCATATTTGTGACTGGAGGCAATCGAGTTACATCCTCTCATCTACAATCATCACATCTGATAAATCAACTGAGTAGATAAAAAATCGAAATCAAGGATTGACAAAAAAATGGACTATTTAAACATAAAGAGATCAAACATTTAACTGTCACTTGAATATAAAATTAAGACCTTATTTTCATTCTATAATAAGAACTAAAACGAGTATGGGCAATGATAAAAATCGATAAAAATGCTTTCGTGACCACTGAGTCGATTGATTTCATTGCTACGTATTTTTTTCATTTTACGTAATAAAATCATTCATCATTCACATATACACATACAATGCAATCCAAGCAAGCAATTCCATCACTTCAGCACAATTTCTTTATAAATAATAGAATACATCAAAATTGCAGATTAAATTAATAAAAAACAAAGTGTGATTCACGTCATTTTGATAACAAGGAGTTACAGCGTACATTAGTAGCTTTTCTTCATTTATTAAGTCCTTCTTGAGCTCTCGATTCTGAGGATTTCAAGCTCGGTTCGATTATCTTTCAAATTTTTTTTTTATCGTTATTTTACATCGCTTCGACCCGGTTAAGGTATACTGCGATGGTGATCAAGACTTTAAATGGTTAGTTGAGGCAACGAACTTACCCATTGTGCCAAGCCACCGGGATATCTGTCAAATATGATTTAGATCCTTTTTTTTCTCAATTTTTTAATCTGGAAATTTCCATTCGGATTTTCATGGCGCAGAGAACTGCAAAAGATATAAATGTGTGCTCAAAAAAGTAGAAAAAATTGAAGAATTTTAAAACAGCGTTCTTCATTTTTATTGGGGAATAATGCAAAAAATGATGAAAGATAATCCAGCCGGGCTTTAAATTAGTATATTTAGATACGAGCGCGTAAAAGAGTTTCTGGACCCCCCAGGGGTCAAAGAGCGCTTTTCCGAGTGTCGAACCCCATTTTTGATCACAATGTGTGAAAAGTGGGATTTCATTTTACGCACAAGTGATGAAAATAAACTTTTCGAAATGTGAGACGAGGTTGGGACAAAATGGATCTCCCGAATATTCAATGATCGTCATTCTGTCAATTTTCAATTGCACAGGATTAAAAATAACTCGTTTCACCAAGCTTTTCTCTAATGTTGCAAATTAAAAACATCAGTGACCCTATCTACGACAAATACCTGGTGAAGACACCACGAACAGTAAACATGATTCATAACACGTTGTAACTCCTGTCGTAAGCCGTCCTTGATTTTTGGTCTTTATACAATAATTCTACAAACTGAAGTTCGTAATTAGTAATTAGGTCATAATTAATATCAATTGATTGAGGAATGAAACGGCAGAATTTGGGCCTTCCCGTTATACCTGTAATTCTGATCGTGGAAGAAGAAAATAAATCAGTTCTGTAGGGAAACGGTGAAACGATTAGTCAATATGATTGCCTCTGCAATAATGGAATTATTTTGGGAAGGAGAGGCTGGAGGGAAAATTTTTTGAAGTCTTTTTCGACGGAGAATCTTCTCGACATTTTCCAAGATCACTCATTTCCAAAATGATTCCATCATTAACAAAGAGTTTCCTAATGTTTTACCGTTTCATCGCTTCATTACATTGATATCGATTGAATTTCCCTTCCGTTATTTTCAATATATTTATTGATATTTCTTTCAATTCATGTCTTATTGCCTTCAAAATCTATTTATTTTCTGGAGATTCTGGGTTTAAAGTAAAAATTGACACGGCTTGGTCATTTTTGAAAACGTCAATATGAATACAATGGCAGTCTATGCTCAATTATTTTGTGTTATTTTTCTCTTCCAAAATGGTTTGTTCTCAACTGTGCATTATTGTTATTTTCGATTCAACTATTGTCGCTTTAACCGTCAGCCCTCCATTTTTTTCTTATGAATGTATATAATTGTATAAAATTATTTTCACAATTGTTTCACATTTTTCTTCCGTTTTATGAATTAGAGTAGAAATTGCCGAATGAGTATTTTTGAATATGAAATATGACCATGTGTACTCACATTATTCAATGATTCTCCGCCTAACCGCAAAAACAATATACCTTGAGCTTGGACAAATAATTACATTGAATTAATTCTAATCTGAATGAAAGCATCAGGGGTATCTGTAATTCGACAAAATAATTATCTCGCAATTACTTTTAAGATCCACGTGATTTTTTTCTACCTATTATTCAATTATACCTCTTGCTTCGCTAGTGTTCAAGAAATGCATTATGATACAAACATTCATGCAATATAGTACATCGAGACGCGATTACAGTCTCTAAGTCAGTTCGATTGTATAATGATTATCTATATTTACTGAATCCCTTCACCTTTGACAATATGAAAACAACATGACAAAAACACTGAGATTGGACGAATAAATCAAAGAGGCAAGAAAATAGTAAAGGGAGTGAATATCTTCAGTTCAAACGAATCTGGAAAGATTGTTTCAAATGAAATTCTTTGTTGAAACTGCGGTAAACTACACGAAAGGTCTCGTCACAATTCTCAACACACTAGTTTCCGAGATTATTTACAAAAAAAATCTGTACAAAATTTCGGAACTCTTCTTCCGTTTTAATCGTTATCATGAAAAAAGGATTTGAAAATAATTTCAAGTAGTTCGTGTTGAGTTTAAAATTTATCAGAAGGTGACGAACAAATAAAATCCTAACAGGGGGAGATCCACTTCAACAGTAATTGTGAACAATAAAGAAAGAATGATAAATGCATAGAAATGCACCAATCATATTCTGTCAATCCTTCTAGTGGAAAGAAAAAAATGTGGGAGGAAGGCAAAGGTATCTAAATGGCATTCAACAGCCTTATAACAGAATTGTCATCTCTGCGGATCAATTCGACCGTACTTTCCGCCTCGAATACGGCTTGTTCATCTACACTCAACTACGAATGAATTCTTCTTATTAACTACATTGATTTTTTCTTTGTATTTGTTGAATCATTAGCGCGATAAAATAATGATTTTCATGTGTTTTGTTCTCCTTATTCAATTATTACGAACTACAATAAAACGCCTAAGCTTTATATCACAAGACATTCTGTGTTTCTTATCACGACTCAACTAAATTCTACAAATTTATCAATAATTTTCATTTCCATTTTTCCTCTCTTTCTTGTGTCCTCTCTCCCTCTCTCGCGTTATTATTTCTCACGTTTCCGCAGTCAGTATATAATTTATCATGACACTAGTCACGTAATCAGTACCTGCATTATTTCATAACAATTTCTTCTTAAAAATCATTATTCAATATTTATCACTCCATTGTCATCGATCATGAAAATCTAATCACCGCTAGTAATGACAAACAGACTGATATCTAGAGATATAGTGTGCATCAGTGCAAAGTAAAAAAAATCGAATAGAGAAAAATTATTTACAAAAACAGTCTAATCGCTGAGTTGTACAATCCCTGCGTGGTTTTGAGAATGTCATGGGAATTTTTATGATCAACGCAATGGGAAAATCATGGGCAAAATAGTTTGATAAATCATCTGTATTTTTTTAACTAATTACGGAAAATGATTGAATGCCATGCAATTCCAATCGTTTGATTCCCACGCGTCCTTTCCCAAACTTGAAAAAAAAAATTTTAATTGTTCTGAATATCTAGAAAAATTAACACAAAGTTTGGCAGGCGACAAAAAGTGCCCTGAAAGTGTTCCAAAGACGAGAAAACTCGAAGCTAATTTTGCAGCTCGAGCAATTTCCCCTGGAACTCCATATGACATTCTCAAGAGTTGCTCATTCTGCTCCCTCAACATCATCAAATGGCACTATGGTCCATTGCCCAGGGGTAACTACCCTGTGAGAAAAACGAACAAGTTTCCAAACAAGTCTTGTTTCGGCCAAAAACAAATTGTTTATTTCGAATGTGAAAGTCTCAAACATGAATAATTGCTCTGCTTTCAACAACGAAATATTTGGCTTTTCCGGATAAAAAAAATTTTACAGAGGGAAGTTTATCAAGAAATATTTTGTCCCAAAGTTGTAAGATTGCAAGAATAAAAAAATTCAATAGAAAAACTTTGCGAATTCGATAGAAAATTCTAGGGAATTCTCGTTAAAATTCCATTTGTTCTTTGCGCTGAATCTGAGCTAATTGACAGGAAAGTCAATAGATATCGGTTTTTATCATTATTTCATTTAACAATTAATTTTTTGAAATAGTGCTAGAAATGCCATTTCTTGTTTGCGCGAGCCAAATTTTTTTTGAAAAGACAGGTAATTTTTGCAATAAAAATGTTCAGCTCAAAAAAATGCTTTTTGATAATTTTCAACACACAATTTATTACGCACAAGTACGACTTGCTTGAGAACTCCGCTGTTCTTTTCTCAGTGTATTCTGCAGGAGAACGAAGATTACATTACGAACCCAAGATGATCAGAGATTTATCGCCATAAATCACTGTCTTTAGCAACGACGAATCTGCTGGATCCCCCCGAGGAGCCATGTGAGCTGTGGCTGTCGTGCGACGATTCATGAGACCCATTGTGCAAATGATGATGCGAGGGATTCGATTGTGTTATCGACAATTGATTGGACGTGATTGGATGGGCGACAGCAACTGGAAGATGTTTAGCTTGAATGGATGACCGTTGATCACTGATTTGACGGATTTTGTTGGTAATACCAGCTGATCCCACATTAGTTTTACTGGAGCTGCGACTACTTGAGGCTGGTACAACGGCAGTTGATTGAACAGACTGGCCATCAGTCTTGTCATCTGGAGGTTTGGGTAGTCTCCGCCTCAGCCATGCGTGCCGGAGGGCTTTAGCAGGTGTCATTCTTTGCTCCGGATCCCACTGAAGGCATTTGCGAATGAAATCGAGGAAGAGCTGATCCTCACAGCCCTTCAGAGCGTCTTTGAGGTCTTTCGAGGCAGGTGGACCTCGCAATTTTCCTCTTCTAGATATTCCACCGTGGAGAAAAGTTGTTCCATTAGCAGTTGTCATGGCTTTGCAGTACCTGGGATAACCCTTGGAGCTGAAGAACTGGCGGGATCGCTTCGCATTGTCTATCATCTTCCTTGGGGGCATTCCAAGCAGCTCGATTATACAAGCCAGTTGGTCAGCCTCGTCTTCGCCGGGGAGTAGAGGGAATCCTGTGAGGAGTTCAGCGAGAATGCAACCCAGACTCCACATGTCTATCGGCATTCCGTACTTTGCGCCCAGGATCACCTCTGGCGCACGGTAGAATCTACTCTGGATGTAAGTATATACGCGCTGGTCTTCGTAACAACTCGAGCCAAAATCAATTACCTGGAAAATGAGAAAACTGAGTTCATCCATTGATGATGAATTAAATATTTAATGATATTCAACTGTAAATTTTTTATCAAGTAAATAATACAATAAACAATTTTTTTTGGAACTAATTATTCATTTTTAAACATGTATAATCCATCTTCAATGCACGAGGAATCTCACTCCACTAGCTCGCGATTTTTAAAACTTATAGTAGTCTCCCTTAGGAAAATTCATTGCCCACATTAACGAAATTACCGACCTGACAAAAAAACATTAATGCATCAGAAGGACTTTTTTCTCCCCAAAACTCAATCTTCATAAATTTCCGTCAAGTCGGTGAAGTTTGTCATTATTAACGAGAGGAATAATTTCCCTTGTTCCGATAATACATTACCTTAATGCCACTCCTCCCTTGCTGCTTCAGCAATACATTCTCTGGCTTCATGTCACAATGAATAATCTTGTTCTTGTAGAGTGCATCCAAACACTGCAGCAACGAGTGAGAAAACTTCCTAACTAACTGTAGGCTGAAGCCCTGGAACTTATTTTTCTTGATGAGCTCATAAAGATTGATGCTGAGCAGCTCAAAAGTAATGCACATGTGATTCCTGAAGGTGAAAGAATCAAACATATGAATAATATTCATGGTATTGTCTTTATCCTGTTCTCTCAGATTGGCGAGAATGCGTATTTCTTCTTGTGCTTGTCTGTGAAATCGCCTCTCGTTTCTCACCATTTTGAGGGCAATGTGTTCATGAATTTTATGGTCATAAGCTTTAACAACTTGTCCAAACGATCCTTTCCCGATAACTTTGAGAACTTCGTATCTGTACGCAACATGATCATGCGGTGTGTGGATGTAACTCCCCTGATCATTATCGTAGTTATGATTATTCGGTAATCCAAGAATCGCCGGCCTCTTCTTCGCATTAGCTCCGATGAAGTAAATCTGAGGATAAGTAAATATCTCGTGCTGCTCATAGGGTGTCAATTTATTCATGTAAAGCTTCATAACAATCTCAGGTGTTACTGCCATTTTCGGTATAACACGACTCGAATTATTACCCTCTGTCCTTCCATTCTTAACAAGTGGACTGTTCGTTTGACTATTCGACTGCGAATGAGGATTGTGATTCGAATTGTTGCTGTTGTGACTCGTGTGCGAGCTCAAACTCAGGTTCAAGCTCTCCGAGTTACTCGTTAAATTTTGTAAACTATTATTTGCACTTGAACCCAAACTTGGCAGATGTGTACTACCACTGTGGGACGAGTGGGTGAGATGCGATGGTGGTGATTCCCCGGCTTTCACCCCATAATTGCCAGATTTTAGAGGGGGCAGATGATTATTTTCACTCGTTGAGATGTACGATTGCGTTGAAATTGCGCTCATAGGCACGAACGGATTTGGTAGTGACAAGGGCATCTCGACTGCGCTAGACATTTGTAATTATCCGATAAATTATCACTTCATCGTCTTACTTCCAATTGTTCTACTAGCAATACCTCGTTTATCTCCTCCAGTTGCTAGTCATTTTGACGTCGCCATTGATTCCCTCATTACTTCATTATTTTCAGCTGATAAGACCCTCGGAAGAGTCGTGACAATCTCCATTATGAGATCAATTCTTAATTTCACTCTTTAAATTCAGAGATCACTCGACATATCACGATTCACAATTTTTCGTATTTTCCTCAACGAAATATTCATTCGTTAAAATGCAGTTGGACTAGAAAATAGTTTTCTAATTTTCTTTGTTGCTTTATTCGCTTGTTAATTTTTTAATGAATGAGTCAAATGCGGAAATTTAATGTAAATTAAGTGAAATCTAACTCAATGATTTTTTCTAATACTTTATCACATGTCAGTCATCTCGTTTGGCTCACTATCGACCTTCTCCCTTGTACGTTTTATTTTTCTCACTCTCAAACGTCTCTTCGTTCGTCTAATTTTACAGTCTATCGTACACGAGGACAAACACATTATGAGTTCAGTCCTCTAGTGTTAGAGGTTGTTGGCACTTGGCCGACGAAGTTTGATGACTCCTGTTCATTCGGCACACGCATTCATTCATTTGTATTGTTCATAAATTGAAAAAAATGCCTAATTACTGGTCATCGCACAATTAAAAAAATTAAAATGCTCACATTCGGCCCATTTCCTCCACTCCCCAGTTCAAATCCTCCAGATCAATTAAGACTCCAAAAAAAATCGTGTTCTCCAGTCCGAAGAGTCAACTAATCATGTAACTGTGACTAGCATTACTATTACTACTTTCTTCCTCATTTTTCAAAAGCTAGACTCGTTTACAATGTTCTGTACACAAACATTAGACTGAAAATCCTCCATAAAACCTCCATTAACAGTCGAATGCACCTTCATCTCATCGACCAACGTCGAAACATTGACGTTTTCACCCAAATATTTCTAACTACACTGAAAAATCCCTGGAGTTCCTTGTGTTTTTAATGTTCACATCAAGTATTAAAGTCTTCTCTTCCTGTCACTTCACTGTAACTGAACCATTCTCCCCCTTTCCCTCAGCAGAGTTTCGACAAATGCAAATTACAAGGGAACAGTAACCTTTTCATTGCAAACAATGCCATCACTATTGCTGTGTGCACGTGCACATTGCAAACTTGCGTGTAATTACCCCGTGTCCTTATATCACGAGGCTCGAGGCACACTAAAAAAAAACCTCCAGCAACACCAGGAATTCTGATAAATAATTATTCACTTTAAACTTTTCTTGAAAAAGAAACAAAGGGCTTCAACAACGGCGGCAGGAAGGCTCCAACAATACAAGGGGTAAAGGAGGCTCGAGCACTTGTGTCTTCTGACTCATACTCAGTCGTCAAGTCGTTGAACTCAATTCAATTCGTTCCATCGACTGTACCTTCACCCAATAGTTAAAACTTGCGAGATTCTTCAGTGAAAAAAAACCTCAGCTGACACCACCGGTGGCTAGTAACCTCCTCATTACATCTCTGGGCGTCAATTTTCCTCTGCCTATATGTTTCCCTACTTTTTTTTCAACACTTCTTCACTCCGTGTTTCATCTAACTGTATACATCTGACATAGGTGACGCTCAACCTCCCTTAATCCAGTATTCAATCGTCTATTTTCATAGCCCCAATTTCTCGACCCCACGATGCAACGATTTTACGTAAAATTAGACGACTGATTTTTCAGAATTTCGGACGGTCGGATTTATTCTCATGTGCATATGAATGTGGGTGAATAATTCACGCGAATAAATATGACTAATTTGGAGACACTGGTGAGAGTAACACCCACGCGTGCCCACGCGCACTTGCGCGATCATATCACACGTCACAGGAATATTAACGTGGAATGGGTAATGTGTAGGGGACTATTACTGAAACTTTGGGTAGCACAGGGTTGAGTTGGAGTCACCAAGTCGGATATGGTCTAGGAGTGAAGCAGTCTGTTTCCTTCAACAATGTCCTTTATTTCCGATTTTCGGGGGGCTGAAAGGGGACAGTGGTGGCCTCTAGCAGTTGTTCAAAACACTGCATTTCAATAGTTCAACGCCACTGAAGGGGTAAAATAGGTACAGCATGCATTGATATTGATTGTCACATCCTTTCGGATTTGAATGGTAGTTCACGTGTAAAAAAATACCGTAGGATTGCCTGCAGCAATCCTATGGGGAATTCGAACATTTACTATAGGATTTTCCAAATAGGATTCGCTATAGGACGCCTTATCAGGGTTTTCCTATTGTATGTCATGATTAGGGATCATATGGGGGTGTATATTGGTCATAAAGGGTCATATTAGTCATTGAAGGGTAATAGGGGGTCATATGATCCTCCACATGACCCTTATACGACCCTAATATGAACCCTTATGACCCCCATGACTCTTTTGACCCTCATTCTGACCCAAAATTTCATAGGAAATCCTATTGAAAATCTTATAGGATATCCTGCAGGAAATCCTGAGACATCGTGTAGGAAATGCTAAAGACATCCTATAAGATATCCTACAGGATATCCTATCTGAAAAATTCTATAGGAAATGTTCGATCTGAAAAATCCTATAGGGGGACAAAGCCCTAGTAATGGGATTTGTACCTTCCTTTTCACCATGGATTAGCCCCCTACCGATCGCTCTGGGGATTTTTAAGAAATTGGCTCATTACGGATTGTTTGCAAAGCTGAAATAGATGGCAGCAGAGAGTCACCCACTCCCTTTGCCAAAGGCACTGAACAAGGATAATCAGATGCATGCCATTCCTGTCTGACCCATTGCAAAGTGAGTGGCCACTGGGCGCCGTTAGTTCGTGAATTAGCCGAAATTCCTCGTGAAGGTCATCGCAAAAACTTCGATATCTCCCTTAAATTCAGAGATATTCGTCAAAATTCAACTCAGGGTTGATCACCGTAAATCGTTTTACCGCTTTGCTGTCGATATACGCGCGGAGTGTGTGAACCTTTCTTTTTATTCCAGAGACTGTAAACCTGAGCTTGCACTCGTTGCGTTATCTACCATTTCATGAACCAATGACGCATCAGCAATCAGCACAGTTCGTCTACGGTTGAGTCCTGTAGCGTGTTCCAACCACACCTGACAGTATTACTACAGACTGAGCATCACTGGGATGTATGTTTTATTTTGATCGCATCAAATATCGGTTCAATCGTGTAGAGTAGGGAGATATCCACAACCCAGCTGAGTGGAACCTATACAATTCTCAGCTGACAGCGAAAGTGCGTCGTAGTTTATAAGTGCTTTCTTTGCGAATTTTTATTTGAAAGAGATTTAACGATAATGAGCTTGACACCGAAATCATTCAAGGAAAAGAGATCATTTGGTAGGTTTCATCATCATGTTACAATTAATGGAGAAATCTTGTCAGTTGCGTCTCTAAATCCATGGGAAAGGGTCATACACTCGTGTTTTTCATTCGTTCGCTATAATTTTTTCTGTTATCGCTAATTTCATGCCATTTTTGCATTTCATTCTGTTGGTAAGCCTATTGTTTTTCCAAGAACGAAGTTTTGCTCACTCATTTGTATTGATTGTATTGTTACAGCACAAAGAGTTGCAGACGTTGAATTAATACGTGAACGTCATCCCAATAAAATTCCAATCATTGTTGAGAGATATTATGGTGAACGACAATTACCATTGTTGGATAAATCCAAGTTTTTAGTACCTGATCACCTGACTGTCGCGGAATTGATCAAAATTATAAGGTATGTTTGAACGAACATTCTGATTTGTAATTTTTTTTGGCTGCTTCCCTTTTATTTTCGTGGGTTGTAAGTTATTTGTTTAATTGTACTAATCGAATTTAAAAAATAGTAAAATAATTGATAATCTAAATGTTCAATTGATGATTAATTAAATATTTAATAATGTGGAACTGTAAATTTTCTATTAAGTAAATTACACTCAATTTCTTAGAAGGGATTTTCGATTATTCGAATAATTGTCAATGTTCCCAACTAAATTACTGATTAATAATAAATTTGTAATTTGAATATTTAAAGTGATGTTTACTTCAATAACTAAAATTTAAGAGGGATACCAACGAATTGACTATTTAATAATTTAACGTTAATTGTAAATTATGGATGTGGCTGTCCCTACTTGTAGAATCATGAAACTTTTTCTACAAGCATATTGAGAACGGGAAATAATTGAATTATTGAATTAAGAAATGGTGAGGTCATGAGTTATTTTAGTGATTGTTAAGCCATCCCGTTCTGACCGAAGTTAGAGAACACAGCAAAATCCACACTATCTCATGGTTAAATATTTTTTTCGAAGTTTCGATTAAAATTCAATCTTCATCAGCCTCTAGAAATTAATTACGCGAATTCATTAGTTTAAAAATATCCACATAACCTAAAATTACATTGCGCCACTTAAAAGAACTAATAACAATTCAAACTCTATATTCGAAATTAGTAGGAACATAAGCCAGGAAATTTACTTTCGAAATAATCTGCTGAAGTATTTTAATTTATATCATTTTAATCCTTTACTAATGATTCAATTGATTCATTTACTCACTCTCTTATGATAGACGGAGACTACAACTTCACCCAACCCAAGCATTCTTCGTGCTAGTTAACCAGAGGAGTATGGCTAGTGGTAGTATGACAATGGCACAGTTGTATCAACGTGAGAAGGATGAGGACGGTTTTTTGTACATGGTCTTTGCGAGTCAAGAAGTATTTGGATGTTAGCCTGTCAGTGATTTTGAATAATGATTCTTAATAGGTAAGTCAATCTCCTGTGAGAATACCCACAATGCCGTTATCTTCAGAATGAATCAATTCACGAAAAAAAATTGAAGACATCACAATATCATATTGTGTTGTCACTGTTCGAATCCTCTTCAAGATAATACTTGATTAATTACCCTGCTTATGTTCCTTTCCAGATAATCATGACAACATTATATTACGTGATACTATGGTTAAATGAAATAATAGTAGAAGTTAAGCAGTGAAACCGACGTGGAATCTGAATGAAGCAAGCAACTTGGGCAGCTCTGGATCGAATTTTTAAAAAATTCATAAATTTGAGAAAGCTTTGGTATTTGAAGGAAATAATGGTGCTTGCGACGTTTAATGATGGAAGTTATGTGTAACACATGAAAATCGTAATGACTGGATAGAAATACGGGAAGGATATCGAAAATAAATGAATAAAAATTCTCTCATTGTTCAGCTACGGATTGGAGAAGCAAAAGGATGTTAAGATAATTTGAAAATAGTTATGATTTCATCGTTAGACAAAACAATGTGAGGTATGACGTTTTGTCTGTTTCTCAACCAATTAAAAATCAATGCAATGAACGGGGGGAAATACACCAATTACCTGATGGCAAACGAATCACAGATTCCGAAATTTATATGTGTTTAAAACAATGTTTAACTACTGTACCAATTGTTCATACAATCGTTCAATCTCTAACTGAACTCCAGAAACTAAAAGAAACAAAAGGGGTATTTTACAGTTTTCGTGAAGAATAATCAATCAATTGTCCGATTAATTTATAAGGAGAAATTTATAACTAATTGATCGAAGGGAGAACTCTTTCGTGGATAATATTGTATGAAATGTTTATTTGCATAAATATTGTGAATGTTACTTTTTTCTTACGTAGTCAGTAAACAGGATAGAATGATAACTTTAGATTAAGTATTTACGTGTTAATTAGCACATTGATAAAGCTCTTGGGTGATTGTTGAGCATTTATATGAGCTCGAATGATGATATAAAATTACACACATTGAAAAATTCTTTATGAATATGCAATAAGTCCGAATAAACATGTGTTTTTGATTATAAATTACGTGTTTAGGTGTTCATTTTGGGTGCTCATATGTAAGATACAGTTTTTTATGTCACGACCCATTCAGCGATTGAAATCTTCAACTTTTAACTAATTATTAATTAATGAGCAATATTTCAAGCGCTTGGGAATGAAAAATTAATTATTGAGATTAGAAAATTGAAAAAAATTCATGGAAGTTCCCTATTACTATTTTTCCCATAAGTTCTCCTCATTGATAATTATTTGATTGTTTCTCTCACATAGAGGTTCGGAAGCTGATGAACACCATTATAGCATTCTGCTTTCCATGTAATTTATACCTTAGAAAAACATCTAGGGTTGACCGAGTAGATAGCCCTGGGAATAATATAGAATATGACTATAGCAGCCGAAAAATAATTTGATGTGCTAGGTGTTGTATTATGGAAATAAATTCAAGGCTTTACATGGTTAGGTTAGCTTCATTGGTTGTTTCATATAGAAACATTGAAGGAAAAAAATCGCATGTAGCATCCCTCCTTCATAACATGTGTATGTATATATGACCGTATTATGGCCGAATAATCAATTAGTAAAAAATGAAACGGTTGAATAGAATCTCGAATCATGTTTAGTTCCTCCTCACTCTACATTCGAGCTTTGCGCTAAAAGTAGTGAACATGGGGGATTACCTAGGGTCCCTGATCGCCGCCAGTTTTGCTACCGTACGGTTCAAAGTCCTCCGATTCAACGTGACGTTGATGTCGTGTGAATGGAAACACATCTTTAACGCATCCCCTTGATTCCCTACACCTCGAGAAGATCAGCGCCGAGGCAAAAGAATATTTTTTATTACTCATCTGTTTCTAGTGACTAAATCCTTCTTTTTTGTAAAATGTTGGCCATTATTTCAAAGACCGTGAGAAGCCAAACAAAAGTGAGTGTTTTCTGCATTGAAATTTAAGCATCAATCAATGAAAATTTGTATGTTGTTCTCTAAAACAAATATTATAGTTACGTAATTACATTTACACTAATATTATGAATGATTCGATATATAATTTCAGTTCAGCTCTCTGTCGCGGTTGAATTCCACTTTAGTGATAGCTGAACACAACAATGAGACAGTCGCAGCTGTCACTCAAGCAACACTGACTGCAGCAAAAAAAATTGGCGGTGAAGTTACAGTTCTTGTAGCTGGGACAAAGTGCGGACCAGCTGCTGAAGCACTGTGCAAGGCTAATGGCATTAGCAAGGTTCTGGTGGCTGAGAGTGAGGCTTTCAAGGGCTCAGTACCAGAGTCGTTGACTCCCTTGATCTTAGCAACACAGAAACAGTTCAATTTCAGTCACATTTTAGCGGGGGCCAGTGCTTTTGGCAAAGCTTTGTTACCAAGGGTGCGAATATTTCATTTCTTTCAATCGAATGGGCATTATTTTTTTACTATAAAATTAATAAATATACTCCTTTCCTTCGGAAGCAACAAACGAGAATTTTAATGGGATTTCGGTATTATTTTCCAACTGTGAATAATAAAGGATGATAATCTGAATAAAAAATCACCGAATGCGGTGTTGCATGGTGCAGAGAACCGCAAAAAACAGATGTTTATTTGTTTGTTGGGCTTTAACGCCACATCAACAGCTAGGTTATTAGTGACGGGCTCTCGACTCTTTCCTGTCGTTCGAGCTCACGACTATCTCCTCTGTAACTTGTAGGTTACGATGTTATGACAGTATTTCAAGTAAATGATCGGAATGCAATCACACATGGTGGCGAGAATCAACTGTAGTCAGTTAATCTTTCGAGATACGTGAGACTGTAGGTTATATGTACATGATTCGAACATGCTCAATTCTATTTTCTCTCGGTATCTTCACGTTTTTATTTCAGACACTCTCAATGGTGTTCTTATATTATTTGGCTAAATCAAATAATCCAGAAATAATTCGCCGGTGCCAGGTTGCGAACCCAGGACCCCTGACTGTGTAGGCGGACACCTTACCGACTCGGCTATACACCTGACTAAATTCAAATGTATACATAAAAAAAAGTTTAAAAAAATTGAAAATTTTGAAAGAGCGTTTTTAACTTTTATTGAGGAGTAATACAAATAATGAGAAAATTCGAAATGTATTATTTATTTTTTGAGTATACATTTATATTTTTTGCGTCACGCAAAACCGAATGGACCCCTCATATTTTTTACTAAATCAATTCTATGCCTTTAAATAATAGATAGCTGCTAAACTGGATGTTTCTCCAGTCAGTGACATCATTGGCATAAAGTCCCCAGATACATTTATCCGAACAATTTACGCTGGAAATGCTATCCAGACAGTGAAGTCGAAGGACAACGTAAAAGTGGTGTCGGTTCGAGGGACTTCTTTCGAACCTCTTCCCTTAGAAGGTGGTAGTGGCAAGGCCGAGCCCGCACCAGCTGGTGACTACAAATCAAATCAAGTTGATTTTGTTAAGCAGGACCTGAGTAAATCTGACAGGCCCGACTTAACGTCCGCCAAAATTGTTGTTTCGGGCGGACGTGGACTGAAGTCTGGAGAGAACTTCAAATTACTTTATACCCTTGCTGATAAGCTCAATGCTGCTGTTGGCGCATCTCGTGCAGCTGTTGATGCTGGGTACGTCCCCAATGACCTACAGGTCGGACAGACTGGAAAAATTGTGGCCCCTGTAAGTTGCTCGATCTCAATCCGTTGTCTGACGAAAAAATGAAATGAATAATGGTTCGAACAATCGTCAATTATTGGTATGGTTTTGTACCTTCAAAAAATTAATTTTGCTGAGACTTCTTACATGGCTTTCTTATCATTCAAAAGGCCTAAAAGATTTAAAAAAATTGTCTGCACTAATTATTTGTTTTTAGACATTTGTAGTCGATCTTCAATGTATTAGAAATTTTATTGCAATAGCCCGGGACTTTTAAAACTCGCAGTAGTCATCCCTTAAACTCCTCGTGCTGAAGCTGAACATTACCCTTTTGTTTTCCAGGAACTATACATCGCTGTAGGAATCTCCGGAGCCATCCAACATCTTGCAGGAATGAAAGACTCGAAAGTCATTGTCGCTATAAATAAAGATCCAGAGGCGCCAATTTTCCAGGTTGCGGACTACGGTTTAGTTGCAGATTTGTTCAAAGCTGTCCCCGAACTTAACGAAAAATTGTAAGATTCTTCCCACCCATCGATATTCCGGCAGAAATGCAAAATATTTTTGTAAATAAACCATTCCTTTTCTCTCTGTTAATATTAATTCGGCCTAAAAATTAATTCGGCGTATTTTAATGGATAAATCATGTGCGGAAATTATCCGGGAGCATCAAATGGAAAACCACCGAACACTTCACATGTAAATAATGAAAAAAATTATTGTTGATGAATTTATAATAAACGGATTTTATAACTGACCTTGTATTTTAATGTTGAGCATGGAATTCGCCAATCTCTAAAATGAAATAAACATCAAACTTGGTTCAATGTCAACGGGTTTGTAAACTCGATGGAACCGCGGCATAATGAAACGAGCAAAAATAGGTATACAGGCAATACTGACCAGTCTGTGCACCTCAACCGTGGATTCGTCTGTCGGTGTTCTTGAGTCACAGTCCAACCACGAACGAAAGGGAAAGCACTGCGAGAGCCGCTCAAAGTTTAAGATAGACTAGTATGAGCGCACCGTCAACGTGGAACAATCACGCTTAATTTTTTGGCTATTGTGTTTTTTCAACACTACTGTACGTATTTCTCCACATAAAAATTGATACTGTAGTATTCCTTAATTGTTCAGTGTTGTAGAAAAGTGCAGTGATGCCACTATATTTTTTTGAACGATTTGAAAATGTTATCTGTAACGATTTTTATGGCAGACAATAAAAAATGAGTAAAAAAGTGATGAGGGAATCATTTGATGGAATGATTTACGGTACTAATATCAAAAATATTCAAAGATTCTTCTCTTCGAAAGTTTTGTTTCGTGCGCTCGAAAGAAATTGCCTTTTTAACTTGTCTCCATCACGCGTCTTACGTAGGCTTGAATAATAGCATTATGCGTTATTGCAGTTGCGCAATCGTGAAAATTTCTCTTCTATTATGTGTGATTATGACGTGCTATTATCAAAGAAAAAAGGAGTATAATCGAAAAGTTGCATTTGATGCTTTTTTGCTGTTAAATAATAAAAGCTTGATTTTTCTGGTGATCGAAAACATCGCTGCACACTTCTATCGAGTACTCCGGCCACAATTGCCTCATTCCCTCTTTCGTCAGTCTTTGCTACGGTATGTTACAAGGACAACCGCATCTCACATACTTTCAACTGTACTGTACAACTATTACTGGACTTCGCTTTGAGTTTATGTTGTGCCCAGAAATGAGAACACTCAAAACTCAATTTATGAATAAAGAAAATTCGAATATATGAATATAAATAAAATAATCTTATTCATTTCATTTTTTACAGATCTGAATTTTGACAATTCTCATACTTGGATATGAATCGAGAGACGGGAAGGAGGGCGATGTTCTGCGATCCGCAGCGATTCAGCAGATGATCCCATGGCCTCAGCAAAAAAGGCGAAATTACGGAACTCAATTTTTTTTCACCAAAGATGCTCTACCCAATTCTCGGCCTATCACCCGTCTGGTGGCTCATTTTATACGCGAGTTTGCTCCTCATGCTGTCCCCTTTCGTTCTCGTTATTGCCATTTTCCTCCCCAATTTCCCTCTTTTACTTTTACGACGCATGTGTTACATACCGATAGAATCTATATAACGTATTAATGTATTCTTGATGAAAGTATCAGATCACTGGGTGTGAAATGCAGACTACGTGTCTGTGTGGGTCAAGGTCGCAAATGTGTTAAACTGGTGAATGATATTGGATAACATTGTTGCAGAGACATTTCTTCCTGCTTTTACCACGATAAATCGAACTTTGGATCTGAACTGGATTAAATACAAATCAAGAATTGTATCAATAATTATTTCACGATAGTGAATACTAAGGATACGAATTTATGTACTCTGTCATTCTCACAATTGGAATAAATGTATTGTATTGTTTTCTTCGTGAAAATCAATCCAGAGATTCCCTACGACGACTGCATTGAATTACCATATTCCAATTAATTTTTGTCATTCATTCCATTTATTCTATCGACAGACAAGGATAGAAATCGAATTCATGGGTATTCTTTCGCTATTCGAAAAAATATATCGATTTTAAAACTTTCCGGGGACATTGAAGAATTAAATTTTTTATTTCTTCCCGCCCCCAGTACTTTGCATTTTTTCATTTCTTCTCGTTGAAATGATAACATAAAACTTGAAAATATTCATATCCTTCCCATACCTGAAGAAAAACAAATTTTTCCATTTTCTAGCCGATTATTCCTTTTTAAAAATTTTCAGTCCCCAATTCGTGATTTTTGATATTCAATGCCATTTGTCACGTTCTTCATTCTATCAAGACAAGGATAGACATCAAGTTGATGGGTATTGCTTCATTATTCGAAAAGATATTTGATGGGGTTACGAATAGGTCAGTGGGGCCGTAAAAGGTGCAGTTTTACAGTTGTCAAAAACATATATCAAGAATAAGAATGAATCGAAGTAACTTAATGTAATCCTGAAAGCGGAAAAGGCGAAAAAATAGAATAAAATAATATAACATGGACTAATCTAGTAATAAAGAATGCGCTGGTAATCAAAAATTTAATGTAAAGTTTTGTAGTTAGAGATGAGACATGTTGTAACTCCTGCAAATACGTGCATCGCTGATAATAACAGAATGTTACTACATTGAATACTCTGAGCAGACAAAGGTACATATCGAACAGTTTGTCTGGACTTGTACTTTCGCCAAGTGGGGCCCAAAGTGGGAGTTGGTTCTGAGTAGAGGCCCGCGTGTCTTCATGGTCACGTATATATACACCAGATCGGTCGGTGATTTCTGTTTATTCATCGTCCTGTGCTCCAACTGATTCATCAATTTGATAGAACTGCAACTAAGCATCGGGACTGATTTGAATCATGATGATTCGCGCACTGGTGAGTACTGCTTTCGACAGAAATTTTAATATTTAGCGCATGTCTGGGGCACAGAAAGGGTCACATCCGGTTTCTCACCTTCTGTTCTAATTGTCGGTCTCGTGCGCCGATAGACAGGCGTTGAAAGCACTAACGCGGGTGAACCTTGTTGATCGCTCAATTTGGAAAAATCCATTTGCACCGATTTTAAGGTATATCCTAAGATAATCGGACTCAGAAAATAGTCCACGTATGGAAAAATTTAATGGGAAAACTTGGCGAGTCCGCTAGAAAATTCTACTGGGATTCTATTGAAATTCTGGGGAATTCTCGTTAAAATTCTATTTGTCTCAAAACGAAAAAATTAAAATACCTCAAAATTTCTTATAAAAAAGTGCATATTTTGATTGATTCTGATAGAAGGAATTTTTATTGAATAAAACTGAAGCGATTATCGAAATAAGAAAAAAATTATGTTTTTGGAAGTATTCGACTTTTTGGAAATTCCGTGCAATTTGTAATAATCTTTAAAAGCGAGGTGTGTTCGTGTTAATTTTATTGAAGAACAGAATTGAAGGAAATTTATTTTCTATGTGAGAATAATCTACATTTGGTGATTTTTTTATTTACGCGTTCTCAACCCTTCTATAGAGTTATAAAAAAAATACATAGTGAATACAATATTTTACGATACATAAATGAATTCAGTTTTCACTCAGACGATAATGTCATTTTTATTAAGAACAGTCAAACGTTTTCAAGGATCGGACGGGCAGAATAATCAGAAGGGTCAAACGAATTTCCCCTTCTAATTAGGCGGCCTTTTCCATTTTTACTAAAAATTGTGAGATTACATCAAAGTAATTCTTCTTCAAGTTTTGGAAATAATAAGGTATCCAAGATTCATCTGAATTCATTTGAAAAAATTCAACAGAAAAACCTAGCAAATTCGTTACAAAATTCTATTGAATTTCTATTAAAATGTTCATAGAAAATATTCAGTAGAAAAAATCAATAGAATTCGATTTTTCTGTGTAACATATTCTCGTCAGATATTTTCTATATAATTTCCCCGGCTGAAATTTTCCAAGTTCTTTTCATTCTATTTTTCTGTTCTTTTCATCAAGTAAATCAAACAAAAAACTTGGAAATTCTGCGGAAAATATCTCAATAAAATGACTTACATAAAAAAATCGAATTCTCTCGAATGTTTTCAACAGAAATCGACCACAATTTTCTGACGAATCCGCTAGATTTTTCCATTAAATTTTATCCTCCGTGTCTTCGCCTTGAACAAATCAATTCATAGCTGCAAAATAACGCACCGCAGTAAGAACAGTAATAGTGCGCAATGCGTAATAAGAATATTATGTGCCCCTACCGGACGTAAAAAAAACATCAGGTCAGATGAGCAGATCCGCCCCATATCCTTGTGCTTCGCAGCGCACCGATGCTTTTGAACCCATCAATCATCATCGACAACCCTATTAAACCCAGTAATAGTGACAGTGACAGAGTTTAAATGTCTTCAATTTCCTCCGCAGGCCTGGATTTTGCTGAGTTGTCAAGCAGCCTTGGTCGCGCTGGGCGATCCCCTGCTCAAGGTCCCGAAGGTGTACAATGCCTTGATAACAACTGACCAAAACTTAGCGCCATCGAGAGCGATTCCAGTTATTCAGCCAGTGATTCACAGAACAGCGATTGGCTACTCTCCACCGTTTTATTATCAGCCCGGAGCGCCGGGATATGGAGCCGGATATGTCCCCAGTTACGAACCTAATTACGAGCCAGGGATTTACAATTCCGGAGGTCCCGACCAGTCGGAATCCCCGAGTCCTGATGTCAGCGATACCTCGAATCCTGACGTTGAGAGTGTCGATGTCGATCAGGAAAGGAGGGAAGGGGAAGGAAAAGAGGAGAACGATTACGACGACAGATGCAAGGAGGTTGGCAGGAAGACTAAGGGCCAAGTTCCACTGAACTTCTACCCCAATTTCCGATCTGTATACTATGACCCTTATTTATACGGGTTCAATGCGTACCCGGCATTCCCCACTCCAGGGAATTATTACTTGAATTATCAGCCTCAGGGGTTTCCCTCGCCTGGACCCCAGGGAATGCCACCACCGCCCGGTTATCAACCTGGGTATTCCGGGCCGGAGAGACCACAGAATCCGCAGTCTAAGGATGACAAGAGGGAGGAGACTAAAGCGGAGGGAAAATCCGAACGAATTCCGGATGTCCCCCCGCCCCCCGTCCCCGCGAGGAGGACAGTTAGCAAAAATCATTGATGTAATTCTGTTTGATCATCAGTTTTTCAGTGGAGTCAGGAGGGAAGTGATGAAATTACTTGTCTTAGGCCCGGTTGCACCAGCTCAGGGTAACGAAAACGTCAGATGAGAAAAAAAGTAAATTTGGATGTTCGATGAATTATTTTACTCGGAGACAATCTCAAATTTATTCCAGGACGAAAAATAAAATTCAATCCCGAGGTTAAATCAGTGTTAATTGAAATGGGGCTGCAGGATAAATAAAAAATTATTCTTCGGGTGAAATGTTGAGGAATTATGGGCCTTACGATTTGATTGACCCCGAGGATAAATTTTTCCCTGGGGTTTATTTGGATAACAGGGCTTGGTGCAATGGGCTTTAGTCTATAACTTTTGCCCAATCGAGGAGATATCGCAGAAATGGCTGTCAATGAAAAATATTTAGACATTTGGCCACGGGATCAACTGTCGCGAAGGCCAGTGCGCAATTTTATCACTTCGCTGTCTAGTTCTTAGAATCAGCCCCACCGTTATATCGCTAAATATTAAACACGCACGAAAAAATTTCATAGAATGTAAATGGAAAATCTAGCGAAATCGTTAGAAAACTTAATTTTATTTCTGTTAAACGTCCAACAGATGATATTCAATAGAAAAAGTCAATAGAATTCGATTTTTCTGCGTAACTTATTCTCGTCAGATATTTTCCATCGAATTTCCTAGGCGCAAACTTTCTAAATTTTTTCGTTCTATTTTTCTTTAAAAAAAATGGGAAAATTTGAGTCGAGGAAAAATCGAATTCTATTGACTTTTTCGATTGAACATTTTCCGTCAAATTTTTTCATCCGTGAACTCATGATTTCGAGCACTCGACAGTTCACAATCGTTTTACACAAAATAAACCTGGAAAGTTGTTACGATGGTAAAAGAATGGAATAATTTATCGACTTGTTATTTGGAATTCACCCCCCATATTTTAATGGTGTAGGACAGTCCTCGGTTCGGCTCTGGCGTGAATTTCAACTTGACGTAGTTAAATCCACGACCACCGGAGAGACGTTGAACATCTGCGATGGAATTGTTGAATGGTTTCAACTCAATGCACGTTATTGTTATCGGTTCGTCCAGGAGAACTTCAATGGCGGCGTCCAGATCCGATTCTCCTTTCAGGCCTATTTCAATGTTGTGCTGATACACCAGACTTTCTTCTGATGAATATTTACAATCTCCAAGTCGATAATAACCCAGCGCAGTCGTATCCTGAAATTGTATTCTTCATTTTATTAGATAGGTTTGGGCGCAGACTGTCGAGTGATTCCGGAAATATTTTGGGAATATTCAGTAGAATGGAAAATTATGGAGAAATTTAGACGGGAGACCCAGAGTGGGATTCATCAGTGGAGACAGTCGATCAGTAATTTTTTCGCACCGCGTGTTCTCTTCTTCCGAATATAAAATTATTATTCTCATCAGTACTCCCAATAATAAAAAAAGTTGCTAAAACCCTTTCTCCCTTTTTCTTACCGCATTATTCGAAGGCGCGTCGTGTTGAGGTCTCGGGGAAGTTTCGTAGAAATATTTGGTCTTGTCGGTAGTGGAGAGAACATAAGGTCTTGACGTGATTGATTTTCCCCTGAATTTCTCAGCGATTTCCTTTTGTCTTGCATGATACCTGTCCATGACTGCTTTCCTTTGCGCATAATAATCTGTGATGCTGTCATTGACTTCCCGTTCATAAGCCTCACGCCTCAACTGATAATTATCACTCGGAACTTCTCGCTCCAATCGTTTCAACAAAAGATTGTCCCGTAGGGCTGTGAACTTTGACTCACGGCGATTGTCTTTGGTAAGATTATGATTTTTTGGAAATGACAGGCAGGAGAGCAATGATATGTTCAGGAATATCTGTGTGGGATACATTATCACTTGATTTTTTCCACGGATCTTTATATTAACGATTTTTAATATTTTTGTCGACTGACAATGGCACTTGCGAGAATGCTGCTGACTTCTGTGATAAATTAAAGTGCACTCGAATGCCGGGAGTTCTGCACTGACCCCTTTATCTTCTAGATTGAGCCATCGGGTAACGAACTCTTGTGATGATAATGCAACAGAATTTATTGGGTACCGACCTCACAGAGATTCTATGCACATGTTAGATCATTTCCATAGCAAACTCACAATTTGGTGGTTCCACGTCTATTTCTTCTGCTTTCCTTTTGCCCTTTTATCGGAGATGTTGCGCGAGGAAAGAATTAGAGAAAAATTACGAAACAAGTCAAGTAATTGGGGGGCAACCTCCATTTCCAGTATTTTTTCACGTTAAATAGGAGAAAAAGTGCGAGATTAATAGCGAATTTTACTCCGGCCCGGGAAATTTTACTAAACGCTTCAGACGAGTCCAAAACAATCCCTTGTCAGTGTGGGAAACTTTACTATACAGGAGGATAATTTTTGCAACCACAGATGTATTTTTTTACCGAAAAAAATCGTAAGAAATCCACTGAAATCCATTCGTGTTGTAAAATTTGTTACCATTTTCGAGGTAATTTTTATTCAACTTTTCTCTTCGTTTTATTTTTTTTTTATGAATACAAAACATGTAAAGAATACATTAATCTGGGAATTGTTAAATGGCATCAATTATAACACTGTCATCATCATTTTCAGTTTGATTTGCGCTGCCACTGAAGTTACTTGACATCTCTGTATCAACCTTTTGATCCATCTTCTCACCTCCATCATCCTCTGATAAAGGTCTTCCTTGTGGTGGCTTGAAAGGAAGTTCTTGGAGACCGTAGCTCGGTATCGTTTGTTGGTAGTTCGGAAACAGCTGGAGAAATTGTAAATTAATTTAGAGTCATAAGAATCCCAATACTTTTACTTCATTCTTGAAATTTGCTGAAGTACTACCGGTCTTAGATAAATTCTGTAACCATATAGCGGCCCGGAAAAATAGTGGAGTGAAGATTGGAGTTGCGAAATGCCAGGTCTTCCTCCAGAAATGAGTCCCGTCGAGGTGGGATGGTTGGGATCCACCTAGAGCCATTAATTAACATAAAAATTAGGCAGAGATCCATTTTTCTTAGCGATTGTGAATTGCCTTTGATGCAAAGACGTCCTTCTTGAAAACAATTTTTTTCGTTTAAGTTGATGATTCGAAAATAAAATGCTTAATGTAAAGTACGCGACTTTAAATTTTAAAAATTACCCTTAACATGTTTAAAATAGATTCTCGATTTTTTCAGAACCATTTTTCGGACTGTTTTACATGAATGGTGCCATTTTTGAATGGAGCAATAAACAATTAATTTTTTTTGCACTAATTATTCGTTTTTAGACATATATAATCAATTTTTAATGAGAAATATCAATCCAATAGCCTCTGACTTTCAAAACTCATAGTAATCTCCCCTTAAACGGGAAATCTGAGGTCCAGTGGATGAAATTTGGTGTAAATTTGATGGGATTGTCTTAAAATATTGCCCAACAATTAAAAACTCATGTTTTTTTGTTACGCAGTATTATTTATTTTTCAATTAAAAATCAGTCTTTAAAAGTGCAATTCCGAATAAAAATTGTGGAGGGTAATTTTCTCTTTCTGATCTCCAAATACACCAATGATCATTCTTCAAATTTCTTTTTTTATGGGTATGAATAAAATCAACTGATACCTGGGAAACTTCATGAAGTATATAATTCGGGTAGTACGCAGGATGGAAAGGACCCTCTGGTACGAATCCCAGGTTGACAAATTGCCGGGGAACTCTAACAGCACTGCAGGTCCCCAACAGGAAAAGAACCTTGAGCATCTTCAACCGAAAAGCTGAATAATATTACAATCGTTTTGCGAAAGTTTGCGAGACTCTCACCTTAGACATCTGAAATCGCAAAGCGTTTCACCACTCGAGCCGAGCTTAGGTACGGTTTCACTAACTGAAATTCCACCCCGTCCAGCGTTTATATATTCCCCGTGGGCCCAAAATCCCCCCTCATCTGCCAATTCTTTTTCTCAATTTTTTACATCTCTCTTTCTTCGTTATTTCTCTCATCTCCGCCCAGTGTCCTCTATATGGATTACATATCGGTAGAGGTGGTACTCGATACCTGGGTCGTTAATTTCTCAGTGAAAAAATGATAAATGTAACTGTATTCCTGCTTCTCCTTATATGTTTATTCAACGGCAAATGAACAAAAAATGGAAAATGCAGCAAGTCGGCAAACTCCAACCTTAATCACAGATAACATCATACTCTTATGAACAAATAATACGATAAAAAATATAGGTGATCATATTGAAGGAAGAAATTAATGGGAAAAATTTTCCAATTGAAAATCTGATGATCGAATCTCGCGACGTTTCGATTAAAATTCAGTAGCGAAGTGGTAAAACGGTTTCAGTCGACTTATCTCCCAATTGAATTTTCGCGGAATATTTCCGAATCTAAGGGAGATAGCGAAATTTTCGTATTGACATTTGTCGTAGTACTCAATCAGCTCTACAAAAAAGGTTATAACAAGAATTTTACTATCTTCCTTAGATTCCGAGATATTCATTGAAAACGGGTCAATAGTCAAAATTGACTTGTACCATTTACCACTTCGTTACTGAATTTAATCTTCATCAGGCTCCAGAAATGGGGATGTTCCCAGCATTCTTGGAAGCTCCAAGCGAACATTATTATCGGAGAATGAAATGACCATTGGCCGAGTAAACAATGAGCTCAACGAAATTATTCTTGAAGAAATGTACAAAAGATCAAGCATTCAGCATTTTAATTGGAGAGAGCTGCGTTAATCTAGCCTTGAGTATAGAGCAATCCAACTCTTCCCTCACTAATTGGCATTCAAGAGCCGTCTAGATGTCACTACAAATTGATGCCCGATCGATTGAACATGAAACAGGGTAACGTGTACCGAGAGATATATGATATGACAATCCCCATAAATCATAATTACGTGCATATTTTTATGGACATCGTCTAAAAGAGGAGGAAATTCCGTCTGCGTTGCAAGAGGACAGGGGAAAAGCCAATGCCGTGGACTTGAGCAGAGTGTGGCCGAAGGGCGCTCGTTAAATTCCGCGTGAAGGTTATCGCAACCTGCGCCTTCAACCCTAGTTGGTCGCCATATGAGGTAAACACTGTAGCTTTTTTTAATCCCTCCAGACGGGGTCCTTCTGATACCAAGCGTAGTGTGGGCTCGATACGACTCGAATTCGATTATTTCTAGTGAATGGAAAATTATGAAACTGAAAATTATGAAAATTACGAAAATTATGAAAATTAATTTTGAAAACAAGCTTTCCCATTCGCATGGATCGATACCATACAAATTAAAGTTCTCAAATGGCTCGAGATACTGCAAGCGAACTAGCTATTTTCATCCCAAGGACGAAAAAAAGTTGTTTTCGGCCGAGTGTCGAACATAATTTTTCTTCGCGGATGAAATTTCCTCTATCAGCTAGCCCCATTAACAACTTCACCGGTAGTACAAAATGAGCTTCCGCTATCCTAAGGCTATTTTCAATTTCGGGATAAACGATTTTCAGTCAGTCCGCAACTGAACTGAATCCAAAGTTCACGAACTTTGTGTGAAATCGTTTGAGATCGTGAAGAGTGATTGCAACCGTTGCAGGCGTACAATGCGGTTCTCTCACTGAATTAAGGACAATGCACCCTCTGAACCCCTTTCACATGGAGTTACCAAACAGTTTGCACATTCGTGTCTGACGATTATTTGTCTAGGGTAACGTTTAAAGCTTCATCGCCAGGTGGACTCTGCAGAGAACGCAAGTCGATCGAGAGCATTGGCAGGCGCAGCAGCCCCGACACTGGTTTCGTATGTAGAATCGCCCTCAAATTTTTTCCAACACGCCTAGCTGTTTTTGTTTGATTATACAGAACATTCCCCCCACCTCATGAGTGCGCCATGCCGTGCTTACTTCTAGTCAGTAGTCACTTATCCATTCCGATTTGGTTCAGTTACTCACTTGTACCTCAGCTTTACATGCAAATTCACTCGTCTCGAGTACATTCTATTTCATTCTATTCTATTTCGGAGGAGATTACAACCGAAATCATTAGTATAACGAGTTTTCAATCATCAACATCATTGGAATGCAGACAATTGGCAGAAGAAGATTGGAAATGCTGGGTGCCGAGGAGATTATCTATCGGGCGGAGAATCAGAGAAAAATTATGAGACTTAACGAACATGTACTGCGAAGCGACAGGTGAATATTATAATATATAAATATTCTGCGTTGACCCTCTAGTCTGATTAACGCCTTTGCTTGCCTTCTCGGTGCTGGAGTGGGGAGAGCCCGATCGCACGCTACGCAGGAACCGTGGGGAAGAGCTTAGTCAGGTAAGAGGGTTCAAGTGCGGAACTCGAGCCAACTTGTATTACCTAATTCTGTTAGTAATACGGGAGGAGGATCTCCTAAAATGTTATGCTAGAACCCCTCTTCTTCGAGATAAACGAAAATGCGCATTTTGGCAGGAGGCGATCGCAGCAGCAGTGACAGAGCCATAATTTACCAACTGGTTGAGTAAAATGCCGTAATCTTATTGCTCGTTGCCTCGCTGATATGAACGTCGAGCTCAAATTAAGGTGTTTCGTGCGAAAAAGGTGAATAATGACATTCATCTGGAATTCATGGAGACTAATTATAATCACAACGAAATCTATGAATTTTCCCAGAATTTTTTCAGACTTTCTTTTCAAGTTATTATGATTGAAGTCGCTTCTTATACCTGGGTTATGCCGAACAGAAAAATCTCCATAAGAGCCCGTATATCAGAAGCGACTTCAATCGTTAATAACTTGAAATGAACATCTGAAAAAATTCCAGGAAAATTCATAGATAAGTCAATTGTAATTACAAACATTCCATGTGAATTCCAGATGAATGTCATTATTTACCTTTTTCGCAGGAAAAAACGTTTTAATGGGATCGAAAATGATCGTGGAACGTCGATAATCCCTGAAATTCAAACACTACCGCTCTCCCTAGTAAATCGATACTCTCTCGCCATGTTACGGTGTGCGAGAAATTGCACTCTGCATACAGGATATTCGCTGTCCTCCCTTATTCCTCAACCCCTTCTCAATTCCCTCCGAATGTGATCAAGCAAACCTCCACCGGGGAAATATCACTTTAACGTTTCCGCGGCTGTTTATCAACAAGTGTTACATGCGGTGTTTCTTCATAATCGGGGGAGTGTTGGTCACATCAGATCAAATAAATTGTGTGAAAATGCAAGATGGTGAATAAATTGAGACTGTCTGTCACGCGATGACAGATTGTTTCGACTCAGTTTCTTAGAAAAAATGAAGGTAACGCGGTAAAAGCAAATAGCGGGGAAGGGGTGAAGGAATTTTTAGTAGTTTGCGTGTTCCTTGTGTTTGAAGGTTTTGAGGAGAACAATGGGTGCAATCTACAACGCGTTGATACACTATTTTTGGTTCTCGAGGGAATAAAAGTGCCAAGGGATGCAACAAAATGTGTAAGTTTAACCATTTTTGATCGTAAAGAAAAAATTAAAGAACGCTGATGATGAGGAAGATAATTACCTGGCACCGATCGAAATTATTGATTAGACACCTAAACATTCTTGCTCTGAATTTCCAAGGAAGTCCCGGCTGTGTAATTTCCGCAATTTCCTGGTGGAGAAAAAAACAAAACAAATGAAGAAAATACGTGTACATTTTTATCGGTTAACTTTAAATTCTCCTAATATTTCTCCATAATGTAAACATGGAGGATTGTCCGTTGCGAAATTTTGAACGTCAAAAATGTAATTAATACTTTGGAATTATTGCCAAAACTTTTACATCAAGCGTCGTTCTTCATGTCCACCTGTTCAACGTTTACTCCATTGATACGCCCACATTTTGGCGTTACTAACAATACGGAAATGAGATTGGGAGGTTTTTTTTTTTTTTAATTTTCAGATGGAAAAATAAATTCCCCGTCGTCATTTTCGCGTTTAGAGGCATTAATCTTCAATTAAGGACATTAATAATAATAGATGGAGGTTATCAACCTTCGCTGCGAAGACAAAAGATAAACAGAAAACAACGGAAATAGAGTAATAAAAGAGTCGCGGAAGGGGAGGGGTAGATTTGATGAAATCTTTGTGGTTTTTTTTGCAGAAACTGAGAGATGTGTTATATTAATAGCGGGGTGTGCTGTGCGGTGAGCAGTCGGTGGGGATTTAAACATAGTTTTGGCAAAGCAAAACGTCAAAGCACCTCGACGAGGCGTTGGACGCAGTTGTACGCGTTCTGGGAAACGATTTACATCGAAGAAATCCAATAAATTTTTTTCAGAGTTCGAACTGCATGGGAAAAGGGAGAGAAACAGTTTTTTAGTTCAGTAATTCTGAAAATAGAAGTCGTAAAATAGCGGGGAAGAGAGCTAGTGTAGAGCCTAGGTGTAATTTGAATTCTGAGCGATTCGAGGGAGGCAAGTTGAGGCTTATGATTTTCGAGGCATATTCGTGCGTTCCATTTACTCACATTGTTTGCAAGGTGGTTTGGGGGTTATTTATAGAAATATCGTATGAGAAATTGTGGATAAATGAGTGGACGCTGCGTATAACTGGATATTCAGGAGTGAAGTGGTGAGACGGTTCAGGTCCTTTTAATCTTCATTATATATTTTTTTTAACTTTCCCATTACCGTATATCTACCGTATTAATTCCTAATGCTTCTTCCAACTTTCGAAAAATTCGAACCCTTCCGGAGGTGTTCCCTCGCGGCCACCCATCCCTCTAGTGACCACGCTCAGCGCTGCTTAGGCTTTCCAAAGCTGAGCCGGCCCACCACCGCCGTTTTTTTTTTAAAGAATGTTTATTTAGACCAAGTTGAAGAATTACAGGTATTATGTCGCAGTGGACATGTTATTTCCGTATAAACAAACAAATAAGAACGGAATTATATTTTTTTATAAGTAATTAAGAGATATTATATGAACACAGTTGTGTTGCTCGTAATAATCATATGACGGAATTTGTGCTGTGCACTATATTATTGAATATTCATTCAGGTTTGTTGTTTAGAGTCATCAAACAAATCTTTTTCATATCATGTTAAATTAACATTAGAAAATTGGTCAGTAAAAACTGGTGGCTTATCACCGCGGTGCGGCCCCGCAGAGCAATCTTCGTTATATTTTGCAGGATTATCTCGTCGATGGGTCGTGTTTTTGGGAGGAATTGCCCCAAGACCTTTTTTATTATGGAAAATCGAATTTTCTAGAGAGTTTGCTTGAATTATTTCAGAAGGTGCTCACTCTCGAGTTGATCACAAAAAACAAAAACAAAATTCTCTACCACTTTATTGCTGTTTAACTCCCGTTCAGTACACGAGACTCAAAAAAGAATTTTTCTCCAAGAAACGATGGGAAGTATGGGGAAATGTGACAAGGAAAACTGGAGTCCCGAGGTCGTTTCTAAGAGCAAAGCGTAAATATCACTGGAATACTCGGCTTTCATTGCTTTGATGAATTTGCATATTGAATGCTGAATTTTATTTCCACGTTTAACGGTCAATTAGTCCCAAGCATTGACTGTCAAGTCCGAACATTAGTCCCTGACATTAAACTCGAACAGAATACTAACCATCAATCTCTCCTGAAAGTACCTGAGCTAGTGTTAGCTGGCTTTTTGCCCAATTGCAATACAATTGATGTTTTATGTATAATACCATCCCCTTGTAACCAGCCCGTGATATCTGAAATCTCTAAATCAATTCCTGGCTCGAATAAGTTGTGGTCGGTACTGCCTGCGATAGTGTCATAAAGTACGGCTCTAACAATATTAATTTTCTGTCGTACACTGCAGAACAATGTCGAGGAGCAGAAACGTAGACGATGCAATGAATGAAATTCTTTTGGAGAAAATGAGAGGATGCTTGCCGAAGATTCAGGAAAATACCGAGACCATCAGAACTACATTGGCAAAATTCCACGCCCGTGCTACATCTTCTGGTAATTAATCGAGAAAATGGTATTGGAGAACAAAGAGACGAGAGAATATTTACTAAAAGGGAAGATACCAGAAGGGTTGAGATTTAGAGAATTCCGTCAAAATATCGAAATGAGAAAATCAGGAAATCTTTTTTACACTTTAGCGTAAACATATCGGGCATATTTTGAGCATAAATTCAATTTTTTATTCATCTTTGATTAAGAAACTATTCGTTTCATGAAAGTGTTACTCACAAGAAGTATGAATTCATCTCATTCTGTCATTTGGAAAACCCGAGGTAAATTTGAAGAGTTGGAAGCGTTAACACAGTTTGGAAAGCAGTCGGTTGGATTATATCCAATTGATTATGGAGATAATACATTTCCCTGGTTTTTTTGTCGCAACATTGAGTGCTTGCCAATTTTGCAAAGTATTTATCAAAGGATTCGCATTTTAATTTATTCCTATCCTGATATCCACGCGGAGAGAGTCCACTTTGTCAGATCTAGATTCCAAGATATTTCCGGTTTTCAATTTAGTAATTTTACGTAGTTTTAGGTGTATAATCAATTGTTTCTCCCGACTGTAAATTACCTTAATGAAAGCGTAATTTACGTTTTCATGCAGGTAATTTACGCTTAACGCTAATGTGATGTCTGATGAGCTCATTTAGGCTCATCAATTGATATTTTTCTGTCTCAACCTTCTAGATCGTAAAATCCGTGAAAAAGTTTTGGGGATACTCTGGTCTAAAGAGGCAGGAGCTGTTGAAATGTTCATAATTTTATTAGAGGTAATTCATTATTAAGTGATGCGTCTTGCGAGAGGAACTTACGGAGATGTTTTTTTGAAGGTTTTAACTTTTCCGAATCGATTTTAGGCGTCGAAAGATAACGTGGCGTGTTGTAGCATCCTCGGAATTCTCCACGAATGCATATCTCCTCGTTTAACGAAAGTCAAAGCCAAAGGAGCCAAGAATAAGAATTCAATGAAGGCTTTCAGCAGAGCTACCATCAATCAATTAATTTCCAGTGGTGGAACTCAAGTATTGATTAAGTTATTAATGAACTCCCAGTACACTGACAGTCTGATGTGCGAAGTTCTGACGCAAGAGGTGTTATGGATCTTGGGACAAATTGCTCAGAAAGATCAGAAGTTTGTGACCAAAGTCAAACTGCTCAGTGCCACCAAAGTGTTTTGTACGTTGCTCAAGGCGCATTACAACGACGCTAGAATGCTGCTACCGTTACTGTTGATCTTCAAGAGTTTCTCGAAAAACAGTAATTATACTTGTGTAGTCAATCATTATCAAATTTTCATTATAATAAAAATTTTGCTCTCTCCCTTGGATGACATTTCATTTTGGGACACCCTGTATAGAAGATTCAAGTCTAGGAATGGCTGAGACATGATACACAGTCAAAGCCGTACCTAGTCCTAAGCATCCTTTTTGGATACTTAGAACCAGTTTCCCGACTTGCACCTTAAACCGCATAATTTTATTTTTATTGAGACAAAATTGTCTCGATGATTCTGTCAGCTGTCTCTGAATAATTCGAAGAAATTCGTTTTAATCTATATAAATTGCAGCGTCAACTGTTCAGACACTTGTTAAGGAAGGTATTGCTGCCATTTTTGAGAAAACATTTGTGTGCATCGGCTATACACCTCACTTGAAGTTAAAAATTCTGTTGGAGAGTTTCAAGCATTTCACACTGAACAGTAAGTAAATTAAATCAATGGAAAAATTCATGAAATTCCACTTGCACACATACATGGACAATATAAAAATCGCATATTCGGAATTGTTAAACCATATTAGTAGAGAACTAATTGATAACGAAATAAGAACAACAAAATTAATTCAATGTTTCAACATCGTCATGAATTTTGAACGATCTTTTAAGGACTCTTCTGTGCCAAATTCGTCAAAGTGGGTATGGTCCACCTTCTCATGCGTATATTCGACAGATGGGACAGATACGACGGCTCACTAAGATTAAAAATTGCCAACTGCGCTCTCTACACCCTCTACCACTTGTGTTCAATAAGTAAGTTCATTAGATCAGACGATTAAATGATGAATTTACAATCTGCTACGTGATAACATCAAGTGAGTTGTCCCCCAGTGAAAAATATTCAGGGTGTGTCGTCCAGCATATTTTCCTCGCCTCTGTTCCTTCCCTCCTCTCCTCCAATCCATCCTCTCCTTTTTAGTTGTATTAAAACCCGCGTCTAACTACATTGGAGATGAAACCTCACCGAAGTAGCCTCGAAGCTTAAAGGATATCCCAGTGCATGATGCGATGAATTATTCATCGCACCTTTGTCAGAGGGAATTTCTCATCCCTATTCATAAATAGCTGTAGGCATATCTCCGATGACGTTCGTCTCTGTCCGTTCCCGCCGTATTCTTTATATCTCTCGAGTAATATTTTGAATATTTTTAGAAACAGGTAGAAGAGCCATCAAAGCTAACAACGGATTACAACTTCTATATCGATTCTGTATAAATTGTCCGGAGGACAGAGCCTATGATTTTCTTCTCTCCAGGGTGTGTGGGATAATAAATCAGTGCCTTGAAAAAAAAGAACTGCCTGTACCTGAAAAGTCACCGGCTAGGTACGATATCTGGAGGGAAATGAGAAAAATTGTAAAAAGTATAAGACGTTTTGTTGTTGTGGCAACGCCGTGTGAAATATTTCCACGACACGGTCAGTCGTGTCGCGGCGCCGTATTTTTTATTTCCAGTTACAATAAGAGCGAATTCTCTCCAATCAGGGACTTTGGCCGTGGTTGGAAATTGCAGAATGTGCTTTTAGATGAAATCAGGGAGGCGTACAATTTTTTTCATATTTTTTAATGAGTTTTTTCGGAAGTTGTACTAAAAAATCGAATTTCACCCGTAAGGGGTAACCACCGTTGCCTCGAGATTTTCTAACAAATTTCCTGCTCAAAGTTATTAATATTTTTCGAACCCAACGCACAGTGATCTTCATCATCAGCTTCTGTAGATAATGTGCTTCGATTTATAAAAATATTGATAACTTTCGGGAGGAAATTTGTCCGAAAATTTGGAAACTTGCAGTATTCTGTTACCCTTTAAGGACAATTTGAGGTCCGTCAAGAGATCAAAAATTGATGAATCATGATCTCTTTTATTATCTTTACCTAAAATGAGGGCCGCCATCAACGGAATTCTTCTCAACAGATTCGATCTGCCAACGACCAACGGAAGCCACGTCAGCAACGTGGACAGCTGCAGCGACGCTGACAGCCCCGCGAATAGCGTTCACTCCCTTGGCGGAATTTGCAGCGATTTAGATTCTGGTGAAGATGACGATGACTGTCCCTCTGGCAATGACAATAAAAAATTCGAAGAAGTTAGCGAAGTGGACGAGGGGCAGTTTTTCGCTGGAGTAGTGACATCCCAAAGAACAGTCGACGATCTTCTAATTTATAACAATCACTTCAAGGAATTGGAGAATATCCAGACCCAAATAAAAAGCGAGGGTGCGTTCACAGCACCTCCCGAGAAAATACGACCGCTGAGGGCCAGACGAGATTCCGGAAAATCAGCAAAAATCGACTTCGGACCGAGTCAACACGCAAGAAAGCTCAAGGCCCTCCAAATCGACGAGAATACAGATCCCAGGACCGCCTATTGCATGATAGCGAGCAAAATTAGGAGCATAATTCCGTTCGTAAAAGTCGCATATCCTGATTTGGTCAATAGTGGAGGTCGCGGTCTGCCTGAGCCCCTGAACGACAAAGACCGCAAGGTTTGTCGCGCCAAACTCCTGACAAATGTTGACCGCAGTCTGCGCCCGAGTTCAATCAGTCCCGAGACGATATTTGATCTCGACACATTGGTAAATACACCTCAGTCTGGAAACGCCGAGAAAAAAATCCTGAATAACGTCGACGAACACAGAGTTGGGTATGCAAATCTCGAGACAAAGAGTCTGCAGTTCGAGTCCCGCTTTGAGAGCGGTAATTTGAGGAGAGCCGTGCAAATTGGGACGAGAGAATACGATTTAATTTTGTCGCCGGATGTCAACAGCGGATCTAGACACCAGTGGTTTTACTTCGAAGTATTCAATATGGAGGCTAACATTCCTTACACCTTTAATATCGTAAACTGCGAAAAGGCAAATTCGCAGTTCAACTTCGGCATGAAGCCGATCATGTTCAGTGTTATTGAGGCGCAATTGGGAAGAGCCGGGTGGGTCAGGACGGGAAGTGATATATGTTACTACAGGAATTCGTACAGGAGACCGGGCAGGGGAAAGAATTACATGACAACCTCGTTCACTGTCAATTTTCCGCATTCGCACGATGTCTGTTATCTCGCGTATCATTTCCCGTTTACGTACAGTGGATTGTTGTGGCACATTTGGAGGTGGCGGAAGAATTCTTCCAAGGGCTCGATCCACTTCAATGCTGATGTTTTATGTGATACCCTTAATGAAAATGAGTGCCCTGTACTCACGATTACCTCGCCGAATTCCAGGGGATGTCCGATCAACGTAAGTGCTGTTTATTTTCAGGAATTTTCAGGAATGTCTTGGAGAATGAGGAATTAGGATTGACGAAAAGTCGGATAAGGATTGGCAAAAACTTCTCTATGAAATGAGACAATTCTTTCATAGAATTTTTTTTTCCAATCCTTACTCGACGTCTGATCGTACCCTGTGGCCTTTTTTCCATTTCTTTCTATTTTTCAAAAATTCTCTGTAGAAAGAAGAAAGAAGAATAGGAATTTGATGCCATTCCACACAGTTTCACTGACAATTCCTCTTTATAATGCGGTCAAAAATTTCAAAAATTCATTCGTTACTTTTTTTTCTTTATTGCAGAACAGGAAAATGATCTTCATAACTTCCCGAGTGCATCCGGGGGAGAGTAACGCATCTTGGGTGATGCATGGAACCCTGGAAACTCTCCTCGACAATTCCACCTACATGAGAAGTCTTCGGAACGACTACATTTTCAAAATAGTTCCGATGCTCAACATCGAAGGTGTCATCAATGGATGGTGAGGCATTGTGGATTCCTATTATCAAATCTAATAATTTTAAGATAATGATATTTAATTTTATTAATCACTCATACGTAATTACTTCATAATTCCTCTCGCACTTGTCTCGCGTTCCGTATTTATTGATTAAAAAAACATAAATGGAGAAATCTTACAATACATTTCTAATCGTGAGGGGAATACGACTGGATGACAGAAACGTTGCAGTACAAGGAGACGAAGAATATTTCGGCAGTGTTGATTTTCCTTCAACTTTCAAAATTTTCCCAAAGAACATTTCGTCTTGCACTCGTATTCCTAATTGACGGCAGAGGTCGATTGTTTCATACAAAACTTGATCTTACGTGACATCGTATCATACTTCGTTTTACACATAAAAAGTGATTTCACACGATTTTTCTTCATGAAAATACTGAATCATATAAGAATCATTGTTCACAATCAAAATTATTTCCTGATAATTTCAAAGGAGTGAAGTCCCGAAATTGTCGATTATTTCAAATTATTTTGGGAATATCACTGGAACAATTACGTTTCTTCCTGAATTACTCAAACTCCCTTCTTCCAGAGATATTAATGAAAATAATAAGAAAATCAATTTTCAAGTTTGAAAAATCGTCAAAAAATTCTACGAAATACTCTTAAATGATAACTTGTAAATGATTAAAAAGTATATTACTTGGACGGAGGGTCTAATACTTTGCCGTTACTGCGGACTTTGATGTTGTATCTGTAGGCTGGCTCGGCATCCGGTAAAATGGTACTTGTGTCCTCTTCCTGACCCTTAGAGGCATCATGGCCCGTTAATGTTTCCGGCTGATCGTTGACGTAATCCTGGTTGCTATCGTAAGGGCCAATAGTCTTCGCATCCTCTAGGCCATTATCTGGCATTTCAGTTTTCGTATCGACGTTTTCATAATCAGATGATTCGGGATGCTCGGAGATTTTTTCTTGATTCTGCTGATTTTTGCGCTGGAGGGAACGAATCTCGTGGGTCTCTAGACCATCGAAGAGTGTCTCAATGCGTGGCTGCACGCCCGGGCCTTTCGTGAAAAGACTCGCTATGTTCGGAATGTCTTCGGGCCTAGTGGTTTTCTCAACTGGCAGGACTTGTTCTTTTTTCGTGGATGATGCACTCAGTGTACTCATGAGTCTACCAACCACGGGATCTTCGGAAATGGCAGATGCCTCGGATGACACTTCGGTATTCTCCGGTTCTTCGTGGTCGTCTGATTTTGATTCAGTAATTTCGTCATTTGTGGGAGACGTGTCCAGCCTGTCCGCTTCATCTCGGTCAGTTTCCGGTACGGTTGTCGTTGTTGCGTAAGGCCTACGGTTTCTAGAATATTACAAGGGATATGCTAGATTTATTCTTATAAACTCAATATAAACTCAATTGTGAAGTGTTCGAACATTTTGATACGATGGGATCCAATCAAGGAGTGCAGTGGATTTGAAAATTATCTTCGAAGGGGAGACTTTTTTTGCATTCACGGAGAGAAATATTCAATAAAAATTACGTATTTTTACTGTCACGGAACTGTCACGGAAATTTTTCGGAGCGTTCCTTAATTTTTATCTGAATCTCCTGTGAAAAAATACGGTACCTTCACTTGAATCTTCTGAGGCGATTCCGTAATCGGCGAACGAATTGTGAGTTCCGTAATTTTTACTGAATATTTCTCTCCGTGTATCGGCCATCGTACTGTGTACATTGTGTTCTGCGTTATCTAATCCCTTGAACTACGATTGATGAACTACTGTGACTCCCGTGAATCTACAGATCATCTCGATCAAGACTTTAATCAGTGTAAATATTGATTGAGTTGACAATTAAAGTGACGCTATTGCCCGACGTCCACGTGCAGTGATTTATCGCCCTGCTCTCCATATTTCGCAAAAACCAGATCCGGTATCGAACATTTTTCTCTACATTTTTTGTCTACCTGCCAGTTCCAGAGAAATAATTTCGAAGTAATCATTTGAAGGTGTTTTTTGATGTATTAGTATTGTTAATTTTCTTATTTATATTCCGGTGGCGAAGCGGTAAACAGATTCAAGTCGATTTAGACTATTGGTCAGTTTGTAATGAATATCTCGGAAGCTGAGAGAGATAAGAAATTTTTTAGTGTCTCGAGAGCTGCAAAAATGGTTTTAACGAAAACGCAGCGCCGAGCTAAGTCGACTTAAATCGGTTTCCCGCCTCGCCACCGCTTCGGAGATAAATTTAATTCGTTAGAATGTGTTAGGGTGATGAAAATTGCGCACCCTGCATATCTAACGCGATTCTTCTGCGGGTAGTTTCTAATTGAAACTAAAAATTAATCGTGATAAATATCTTCCTAGACTAGGAATCTTATCGCAGTTAATAGAAAATACGACTATAGCAAATAAGTTATCGCTTTGCACATCCATCTAACCCATTTACCAACTACTTTAATTGAACTATCTATGATAAATACATGAGCTGCGCTTAATTGATAATTTACAAGCAGGCGCGCGCCTTTTTCATATACCGTCGATAAAAGGTCTCACCTCTTACCCCTGAGTTGCCGAAACTGGTATGCTCCCGTAATTGTAATAGTAGCATCTCGTTTGCTCGCAGATGAAATCTTTGACGTGTGTACAATCCTCTGTGTCCCATGCCAGTGTCGGCGCCATCATTGCGACACAAGCGTCTGCGCTACCACTGGCATCACTGAAATCGACAAATTAGAAAACGATGATTATACGCAAACGCAAAATTAGATATTTTATATTTTATACATTCTGAAAATTATATATTATATATATATGGCATTGGCCTGATTTATATATTAAAATTATATGAAATATAAATTTATATCTGTCTCATATATATTTTTAATATTTTTCCATGGGTATATTGTTACATATAATTATCTTGACCGTTCTTCATGTTTAGACCATTTCTCATCGAAAACCCTGCTTGATAGTTTTTTTTAAACAATTCTTATTTTGAGATACAGTCCAATCTCCGTACAAAATACTGACGATTTTAATTTTTCATGATCAAGAGTAAGATTTGTGATGTGAAATACGAATGTTTGATTAGAAGGTATTCTTTTTCAAAAAATAATTTAGAAACTCGGAATAAGTTAATTCGAAAAAAGTCAATCTGAAAAAACTCATTAAACAATATGAAAAAAATTGTATACCTCACTGATTTTATCTAAAACCATATTCTGCATTTCTAACCACGGCCAATTCCCCAAAGCCCCTGATTAGAGAAAATTTCCTCCTATGTTAATTGTAAATAAAAAATACGGCGCCGTGCGGCGACGCGACTGATGGAGTCGTGGAAATATTCCGCACGGTGTTGCCACACTTGTGGGTGCCGGGGCGGCCGGGAGATCAGCGAGTCCACTCTCCGAAAGAATTGTGGCAACGGTGCGCTCAGATTTACCGATGCGTTAAATTTTTTTATCAAAGATCATCGATATTTCGAATAATTTCTGCAATATTTTAACTTCATTCGAGAATACGCAACGCAAAGCGGATTCAGACCTAGTATCTTATACGAAAGTATCTTGTATGAAGATTGGGCTGTACTTGAATAATACTGAAATATATTTGACAAAGTATTAACCTCTCGCGTGCCACCCTCTGGGGTTCAGTTCCCGGCGGGACATCGGCGGGTCTGTTTGCTCGTCTTGCCATGTAATCAAACGTCGCATTAAACGGCAGACCTGTGCTCAGCCACAATAGCATATCAGTTCCCAATTTATTTCCCGATGTCCAGAAATCGTATTTCGTGTATCCTGCATTCTTCAGATACTGCGTCATCGTGTCAGCTTTTTCTTTAGTCTCGAATGACGCCAATTGCAGGCCCAATGAGCGGCAGTACTGGTATGCCAGGAAGTAGTTCAATTCTGGACTGTATGGATTCATTCTTGACACAAAGTACTGAACCCCGTCCAATTGAATCGTTGTTATTCTTTGCCCTGAAATTGTTCAGCATCCATTGAGAATTTTTATAAGAATTTCCTGACGGAAATCTGAAAAGTCAAAGGCATTATAAAAGGAACGCCGATGTATGAAACTTTCACACAAAATACTGGAATAATTTATGAGTTTCAATTGCTGCCGAAAATCGTAAAATGGCCGGGGTGAGGAGAAGATAGGGGAGGATGGGGCAAAACGGCCCCCCTTCAATCGTCAATATTTTCCGATTCAATAATCCGATTGGGATGAGTTAGAGCTCGTTTTGAAGAATGAAAAATTATCTTCAAAATGAAGTTGAAACTGGGAATTTTCACAATGTCATTCACAAGTTATTGACAATTGAAGGGGGGCCGTTTTGCCCCACCCTCCCCTATTTAAATATGTACGATAACGGTAACGATAATGGAAAAAACATAATAATTCTGTTGGAATAATTTCGTCTGCCGATTTTTCACGAATGTTAGCGCCTTAAACTATAGGGCCTTCAGTGCCCAACTGTCTTACGACCGGCGGTAGATGATGCGATAGCGTGTGAGGGTCTCCGCAGTACAGAGATCCGGCCCATAGAACAGACTAGGGGTCCCCCATACGTTATACTTGAGGGGTTAAGAGAATTTCCGTTTTTCTTATTAGAAAGACGGCTTTCTATGTTCTCTAAACCTCGTACAGTGTCAGAAGGAAATTTACATTTTATGAGCTATTCTCTTCATCTGAATGTCACTGAATAGAAATGCAGCATTTTATATTTTGCTTGCGGTTAGTCCGTAGTGATCTGTGATAACATTAAATAATAGCATTTTCTTGTAGATTATTTAAGCTTTTTTCTCTTCTATTGTTAAGAAAGGAATGTTTGACTAGGTGTTGCGTCGGGGCTTGAGTGAATGTGAAGAACTCTTCTCGAATGAAATTAGAGAAAACGGAATGAATGAGTCACAGTCAATCATTTTTCTACGCACGTTTCTTCCTGCCACTTCCGAACAGTGACGGTTAACGGGTGGATGACGATGAATTGTAATATCGTAATTTCCGATGTAGAATTATCCGTTGGATTTTTCATTCGAAAAGTTAAATTGAATTTGCATGCTGAAGTGTTGGATTTTCATCAAGTAGCGTAACCAGACCAATAGACAGACGGTTAAGGACAATTTGAGGCTCGTCATGAAAGCAAAAATTGATAAATCACCTAAATACGCCGACGATGGGTTCTGTACCTGAAAAAATATATTAATAATGGGAACATGATGATTTTAAGTAGAAGCAATGAAGGAATAAATTACATAGACGGCCAATAGATAGACATTAATATTTAATGGTTATTCAAACAAATTCATCCTTTTGCATGTTTAAAAATGAAGAATGATCCTTTCCAATAGTAATAATCGAACTGTTTTTTCACATTGTACGGTCAACACTGCGTGACTGTTGTCTGACTACTCACACCGCCACCGAGGGCCAATAGTTCAAAATGTATTATTTTATGTCGATGTTCAGCGATAAAAAATAAGAAAATCATCGTATTATCCATTAGTTTTATTATCAAAAATGGAAATTTGTGATACGATTTCTATTATTTTTTATGGAATACTAAAAAAAGTTGAAGTCGGCTATCTATTGGTCTGGTTACCCTACGCCACGCAATGAATTAACGTTCGGTGGGGAGTGCTATAATCGTATACATGGGAATTCATTGAGACAATGAATTCAGTCAGGCTGGCACTTAGCACTCAAGAAACCCACGTTCAATTCATCGGCGTGAATCCTGTACGATTGTTTTTATCTTCACATATAGCTGAGATGAACCGAATGATTTTTTAAATGGAATGGAGTAGTAAAAACTGAAAGGGGGAGACCAGATGAAGATAATCGGTTATTGTAAACTCCCTCCGAGACGGTCTACAGTGTGGGCTCTACAGTCAACAGGTATGAAACAGGTGGTAATAACCCCAAGGCCTTGAGACGGGCTAGCCTGCTGCGAGTCGCGCGTAATGTAACATGCAACCGATTGTCCCCTAACAAGCCATTGTACATGACTAGACTAATTCACGGAAGGGTCAATGATCGTTATTTGATCTATTTTTCTCATCCGCATTGCAACTTACGAGTGCCCATTCAACAGTAATGTCGCCTCCGCCGGTCAATATTTTATATGAATGCATGAAAGTTGAATTATTCTCTGAATATTATTTAATATTTATGATATGAATCCCGACAGGTCAAAAAATATATCAAATAATGTACAAACCTGCAACAAGACACGTTGTAACAAAAAGTACCAGAGCAATCTTCATGTTCAGAATTTTTCTCGGGAGATCTTAAACTTAATGACTAATTCTTGAACAAAAACTCGGAAAAAAAACTGTTTGAGAATTTGAAATAAATGCCGGATGTTAGAGTTTAGGGTCGCGTTCTCGAACTGGCCTCGCGTAGCATCGTGAGCTCCCTTAAGAATCCTCTGGCGAGACGTCGGGGGAGAGCAAGTTGGGAGGGGGGAGAACTTAGTTGAAGATGATTCACTTGACTAATACCTTCGGGGGAGTCACGGTCAAAAAGATGGCCCGATCAGACTTTTGTCGACGGTCAATGAAAACCCTCCGAAAATTATGAAATTTTTAAATTTATGACAATTTTTTTTATAACAATGAAATCGAACTGGAGGAATTGATCATCTTCATTCAAGTCTTCATTCATGTGTTACACCCTTTGAACGTTGTATTCTTTGAAGATTCATAGGTCTAAATAACGCGCAGGTGCAATTCAATATTCTCTTAAACAAAGCGTCAGAGAGAAAAATGTTATTAGAGTTTTCGTCTGCAAATCAGCCCCCGAACTTCCCTCACGAGGATGACATTTCATTTTGGGATTTCTCACCTTTCGCTGCCCGATAAATTCGATGAATTTATCCGATTTTTTACGTAACATCAATGACATGACAAAAATATCCTGCAATTTTTAGCCCTTGATATCGATTTATGGTAAAATGTTTTTAAAGTTTTTAACGTTTTGAAATTTTTTGGGATATTTTCCTTCTTTCCAAGAGTAAAATCTGTCTCTTGTCTTGCCTCTTGTAGCAGTACTCTTGCGCTCTTGCGGCATCACTAGTCCTAAGGGTGAGACGATGCGAATGGAATCACAGGGGTGAAATCACAATGATATCGCGAGGGTTGAAACCTATAAGAGTATTGTAATGGCGGATTGTAGAGGGTAAAATTTTAGAGGTGCAATGTAAAGATAAAATAGTCGAGTGGCATTGAAGGCATTGAAATCACACGTTATTCGCTGATTATCAAAAAGAAATGAAGAATCGTCGTCTATAATAAATAGAAATGCCCTCCTTACCGTCTCAGCGATCTGGCACCACTGTAAAGTCCCGAATGAATGATCTAACCACCTCTTCGAATAGATCGCTTTCAAGAGCCAACAATATCAGCGCCCCATAATTCATCTCCGTTAATTCCCTCTATTTTCACCATTCTCCACACATTATTCGTGAATTATTGGTCTCCATTAATCCTGATATTCATTAGGGACAATTAATTGAGCATATTTATCACTGAATGTAATTCAATGAAAAAACACCGGAATCATCTATTTGAGCAAATGATGAGGGAGACTTCCAACGTGGTACTTTATATAATATCAGACTAAATACAGTGAGAAGACCAGTTTTCATGTACAACTATTGATAAACGCTTGAAGATGAATCGAAACGTGAATGCCTCCTGGGTACATTGGGATTCTCGTGTCTCATGGGAATGTACGTACGTGAAATACTATGATCGATAAGGGGAAGAGATCGGCAGGAGGGGGAGAGAGGGGGAGAAAGGCACTGAGGGAGAGAGGAGATACATGACATTACAGCCCTTTGCATGCGCAAGACTTCTGCATTGAGCCGATGTAGATACTGGTTTCTGTTTACGTTCGAAGGTTCGCCTCATAGCCTCTAGTGTTCATGTCTCCTGCGGCATCGATTAGGAGCCAGTTCTTTTTTCCATGAACACGAAAAATACTCGATATCGGGTTTGCCGTAGGGGCAGCGGAGATGAATAATCTTGACTGGAGTCGAGATATTTGGTGGCGAACATAGATTCGCAATCGAGTATTTTCGGATTCAATCAAGTAATTAGATCGGAACAATTTAATTTCATCAAGTAATTTATTTAATTAGTGAAATCAATTTAATTTCAATTCATTTCGTTATACTGAGGGGGAAGATTTTTAGTATCAAGCCCATTCTTGTTGCAATGTTTTCCGCGATTGGGTGCCGAGAGGAACTGGAAGATCAACAGAAAAAATTCCGATGCGGAAAAATCGACGGTTTTCTATTTAAATTCAAAGTTGACCTGTTTTGGAGTCAAGTTGATGTAACTATCGTTCCGCTCCTCCGCGCTCGGCTTTGTTTTCATATCGCTTGCTCATTTTTACACCTTTCAATTCAATTTGGGATCTTTGATATTCTCGCCCCGATTTACAATGACCCACTCCGCCATCGGAGTATTGTTAGTTGCGAAAAAGTTTATCGGCTGTATGAATGAAATATTGTGTTCTTATTTGATTCTCTAATTTTCTTTAATTATCTTGTAGTCACTTCCGTTGTAGTTGCACTTCCCCTTGATCGCTTTTTCACCAGCGCTCCCTCTCCCCACTCCCCGCCACTCTCCACTGCCGAATGTATACACATCGATGTTTTCTTAGATGCACTATTGTTTCGCCTTTCCAGGAGATCGTAAATGTAAATTACTCTGACAGTAAATTTTCGAAAAAACAGCGCGCATGGAGGAGTTATGGACATATAGTTGCATTCGCCGAATCGCCTTCCCCTACAGCCCCAGGTGTGCAACTTATCAATACGAATAAATTATTAATAATATTATTATTATTTTATTATTTTCGGATTCACTGAATTTTGTTGAAAAATTCAAAATTTGATGGGATTTTTCAATACGAACGTGTTGCAAGTGTTTGAAATTCATAAAATGAAGAGCAATTTTTCCGTCTGCTCTCTTCATATCTCCGTGCAAAGTCGTTACGAGCTTATACTCTCAATCACGGGTCGTTCACCCCATAAAGTTTGCAGAATCCCGAAAATCTGTCGAGATTGTTAAGTTGGTAGTCGCTGGAACCGATTAATTTCTATCAAAATTTCCAAAAAAATCCATCTTTCTTCCTTTTCACGCTGTTTCTCCCCTATTCTTTTTTTTTATTGTTTTAGAGTGCTGAAACCCATACATTAGGTTATTTACACTTTCATATATTAATCAATATTAATTCAATTACGTCTTCTTATTACACATTACTTAGACTAAACCTGGATTTTACAGTCTTTTAGGTATTTGCATATTTCTTCTATGTATTTAAAATCTGTCGCATTTACAAATTTTCTTGTGTTGACGGGCCTAGTACACGTTATTTTATTCAGTCTCTCTAAAAGTTTGTGTCTTTGTTGCTCGTACCTGGAGCAGTGCCACAATATGTGATCGAATTCTTCCCTATTCATTTTCAACTTTTAGCAGAATCAAGGTAAATACAAAAAAAGTAAATGTACAAAAGTGAGGGGGAGAGAGGAAAAAGGAAGGATGGAAGCCTCACGCCGGCGGTCAATAAGAAGAGCCCATGGGAATGCCATAGACGAGTGCGGCTGAGCGCTTGAGAAGAAAAGGGGGGAAGACGGAGGGATACCACAGCATTCAACGTTCATCCACAAGTTAATACATGAACATCTCGAGGTCTATTTCAGTCCATGCCGTGCTGGAATGGTTAGGCAAGGGGGGGGGGGCAGAGGAATCACCATGTACAGAACCGATCTTCTCCCGCTCGGTCTCGAATCTCTAGTTCGCGAACCGTCACGGACACGCAGGGACAAGAAAATACTGACCACAAGGGTCTCTAAGGACCTTCGGAATTGGTTGCTCTTCTTCTCTTTAATTTATTTTTAGGATATTTTTAGAAGGATATTCCGCTAAGATCTTGGGGCTTATGTGGACTGAATAATAATTGAACGGTTCTCCGGGCGATGATGATTTTTGAGGCGCGCGGGAACAAGTGGCGACCGCAAGCATGCGACTGCAGATATTCTACTTGGCTGTGCATAAGCCCTCGCGTACGGGCCCTTATGACGCTGCGCCTTCCCGCGCTCGATACCACTCGCATAACACATTTTGTGATGAATGAAAAGTTATATAAATAAATTTTTTTTATCGTTATTTTACGTATTCTTAATTTACGAATACACATTCCTAATTCAGGAACATATTCTCGACATATTCTCGATTCAAGAATACACATATTCCTGATTCGGTAGTCAGATATCCTTGATTCGAGTTATTTTTTTCGAGCGGGAGATAAGAATGAGTAATTCTATCCTGCAGCTCCGCTTAATGTGAACCCATTTTTGTTCCCCGTTTTTAATGCTCAAACATTCATACTGAACAAAGCCCCAGCATCACGATAATATTTCATTTGCAGACGCTACACCTAAGTTGGACGGCAAAACTTAGCGGTCAAGGCTCCTGCCCGGTGTCATTGACATCGTTGATGACCATTACTTACCGTTGGGAATAATCCACTAGTCATTAATTGAATTGACGTAAGACTCGTTCCCCAGTAAAGAGCATTGGATGGAGAATTACGTTCGCGAAGTTCTATCATTCGATCTTGATTACCCCATAGAGATATGTTGAGGAAGAAAAATGAGAGCGGAGAAAAAAATAAAGCCAGCTGAATGAAAGAATAGAGAATCCTTGGGCCCCAGAGTCGGCGTAGGATTGCAATGAACGGTAGAGCATTGACTCGGTCATCATAGTAATTTCAGGCTTCCGAGCTGTATCAATTTTCCACTCTGGACATATTGCTGCAATCTTCTCGCAGTGTGAGAGTTTATGATTGGCGTTCGATTGGCAGAATTACGTGGGAGGCAGCGGGAAAATTTCTCCCTCGGATTCTACGACTGTACGTGACCTCCAGGGATCTCCAACGAAACGAATACTAGCGCAAAGGGAATTTTTTTTCCTAGACGTCTTAGTAAATCAGTACTGTGTCATGAGGAAAGTAGAATATTTACTATGCATGTCACAGGAGCATCGCTTCCTTCGTGACGGACTTCCGGCGGCCGGAAACGTCCTTCTAACTGCGTCGGAATCCTTAAATGATGAGTCAACGATCCGTAGCATTCGTACAGTATTAATGCACTGGTGACGAGCGGTTGAAGTTGAACGAGATACTTTGAGTGATTGTACATTCATTTCGCGAAATTCTCTTCGAACTGCTGAAAATGTAGAAGATTTATTGTACGAATGAGAAAATTCGTTGGAACATTTTGCAAGAAAGTCAATACAGACTTAATTACGCAGACACATGTCAACGCTCGGCTTCAGCGTTTCCCACAATTAATTCTCTACCAATTTCTCTGCATAAATTAAATATAGCCTCTTGAATTGCCCGAGAATTCAGGCCAGTTATATTTAATGCTTGAACCGCACTTTTTACGACTCAACTTGAATTTCCTCTTTTTCGTACCGCGAAAGAGGGTAAAAAAAGGGCGCGTTTCATGGCGCATGCCATCGGTTGCAGTACAACGAACCTTGAGAGATCTTTTCCTCTCACAAACTCATCGGTTAACTTGGCTATGTACATGTTACTCTCAACTAAGGATTTAAAATGGTTTTCTATTTTTACACAGCAACCGGTATGGACTTACTAACGAGGATCTTAACCGTCGCTGGAGCAACCCCAACCGGGCGCTACACCCTGTAATATACCACACAAAGGGTCTTATGGAGTACTGCGTCAGGGTGTTACTGAGGCCACCTCACGTTTTCGTGGATTACCACGGGCACTCGAGAAGGAAAAACGTATTCCTCTTTGGTTGCTCAAGGTCAGGATCGTGGAGTGCAGCTGATCGTGCACTCTCGACAACCGATCAACCCGTTCAATATCTAGTAAATATTCTGCGCATTATTATTAGCCGAAGATGTAAAAATCATTTCTCCGTCTATTTTCAGTAAATAATTCTCCAATCATCGCTCTTGTATCATTTAATGTACAAAAGAATGCCGAAAGAACTGATTTCTTTCTTTATTTTTGCCACAAGATGCTTCCACGACTCATGCAGAAAACATCGGCTGCCTTTGCTCTGCCGTTGTGTTCATTCAAGGTCGAAAGGAACAAGGAATCCACGGCCAGGGTCGCCATATGGCGCCAACTCGGCGTTACAAGGTGAGGGGCCTTGATATTCTACTGGGTATCTCTAATTCCGACAGAAGTCGGAATTCCTTTCTGTAGTTCAGTTGAGGTGTTCCCACTTTTTCCCTAAAATTATATCACCGCTGTGTCTATCACAGAAGTTACACTATGGAAAGCAGCTTCTGTGGGTGTGATCAGGGTGCCCTTGCAGGTTTACATCTTGATACTGGTCATCTGAAGAATGTGGGGAAAGATTTTTGCGTCGCACTCGCGAAAATGAAGGATAATGACGAGGCTTGGACCACTGATGAGTGAGTATCGGGTTCATGTTTGTTTTCGTGATTTAAGGGCCGCGATGATGATCTTTTAAAGTAGCTCTACCCTTCGGCCGGGCTACGCTGTACTTTTGGATATTTTCAGTTTTTTAATTTTTCAAATAAATTGCATGGAAAAATTTTGAAAAAATCGTACCGTCAGTATTATCTAAATTACATTTTACAAAATATTGATATTTTTTCAAACACCTCCCTCTTATATATAAATAATAAAACTTGTTTGGAAAACGGTGGATTATTTTTTATGAGGTGAAACTCTTCTTTTTTGAAAAACCAAAACGATAATTAAATTGAGAAAAAAATTAGAATTCCGAATCTAATTGAGTTTTCTGCAAATTTTTTGCAGTTTTCAATAATCTTTGAATTTACCGTAAGGGTAGGGCTACTTTAAATGCAATGGGAACGAGAAGATGAAGAAGTTTTTGCGTAAATGTCGACAACTTGAGGATTTGAGAAGAAATGAACTGCCGAACGAAAAACAGAATAAGTCCTATCTATTTTGCGTATACATGGGAGTCCCAAGGACTTTTGAACGAATGTGATATCGACTATTGACTAAATCAGGTCGAAGTACAGATTTAGATCAGAGCGCAATATTTAAGGTCACGCGGTTCATTGGCAGCAGTTTTATTTCAGATATTGCTCACTGATTTTTTAATGTTACATACTAGCTCGTCAAGTGTGTAATCAAGCGAAAACTTTCTAAACTATCTGTCTGCGGAACATAATGTCGAAATTCGCATTAATTACTCCTCTCATTGCCCCGTCGAATATACCCTGTGACCTCGAATAATGCTCTCTCATTGTGAGAATATCCCAATCGAATTTTATATTACGTGGCACGACCTACACGCTTTAAGGTATATCCCAAGACAATCGGACCCAAAAGTTAGTCCCTATGGATTGCCGGAAAAAATTCTAAATAACTTGGTTTATTGCATTCTCATCAGATATTGAGTCTTTCTATTTTCATTTAGTGTTGATGCAGGCAGCGATGACTGTTTGAATCAAATACGAAATTATTTACTAATTAATTTTTTGAATCGAATAAGAAATGCTCTCACGAAATTTCCATTTTTTAGAGTTGAATATCTCAGAAACTATGTGGTACAAAATTTTACAAAAAATATCTCACATCACTGTTAGGAACTCTGAGGATTTTGAGGTGATATCACAATCCTGCTGTCCGCTTAATTGCATAATGGAGAAACGTAAGCGCCCAAAGTGCATTCAGGATAAACACGCGATTCAGCACACATTCAGGGGTTGGTAAAGACGAGAATTGCTCACACGCATTCATAACGCTTGAGTTTAATAACATTTTTCATGAACTACCAGCTTCGTAATCCCAGAAAAGCGTTGCAAAATTAACATCTATCTCTTACCAATTTTCATTAATTGCAACTACACTTAATTTTTGGTATTTTTACAGTATAATTATGAGCGAAGAGACCGCGCTGCAAGAGAGGGATTCGGATACAGAATCGTCATTGAGCTCTGAATCAGAGGATTCAACATCGGATATTGATTAGGGAAGCTGCTTCTAATACAAGAATTCTACCAGTATTCTTCGAAAGAATAAACCCACATGATCTCGATTATTGTAATAAAAAAATTAATAGCGAATCGCGGAGAAAAATGGACACTTTAGAATCATTAATGTCTCCTTAACAAATCACTAGGGCACGGTAGAATGCGGTACTAAATTCCTGCAATTCAACCATTCTGATATGCGATCTTGATCCGTAATGAAATTAGCTCTCAAATGAATCAATTGAGCATAAAATTTCAGGACGCATTTTGTTGTCGATAAGGGAGCGTTCAGCGAGCTCGACTAGGTTGTGCTGTCACACCAACTTTTGGGAGTGATACGTAATATTGAAGACAAACAAATGAGGCAGAATGGATCGATGAAGATCGGATTTCTCCAGCGATGCTGCAGCAACGCCGCTCATTTCGATCGAAACCCATATTTTCAGTTTTTTAATTATTCAACTAAAAATTGATTAATTGATTAATTGATTGATTAATCAATTAATTAATTGCATGGAAAAACATTGAAAAATTTATACCCAGTCAGTATTATCTATTAAATTTCGCAAAATATTGATATTTTTTCAAACCTGTTCTTCTCATAAATAAATAATAGAACTTGTTTGCAAAACGGTGGATAATTTTTTATGAGGTGTCAAAAAATCTCTTGATTTCTTCACATCTAATGAAAATAAATTCAGATTTTAATCTTTGATTACAATGGAAATGCGATGGAACAACAGAAATTATGATCATATATTGCCTAGTATTTTGTACTAATTAATTGAAAATTGGCAGTTTTCCAAATAAATTTTTCGGTCACGACGTCAAACGCTCGGTTAGTCGAGTGTGAGATGAATAATTTGGCCGAGGAGCAGAGTCATGAGCGATTACCCAGCGTTTGAAGTCTTCAATCGCTTCGATTATTCATCTATCAATCATTAATAACTAAAATGAGCGATATACTCGAACCTTTACGATTGAAAAATTATTCATTTAGACCCTAAACTTGAGATTAGACGAATAAAAAAAATTATGCAAGTTCCCTATCACTGAATAATCTATTCGATTGCATTTCGTCTCAATCCTCATTCATTACAGAACTTTGATTTGCCATAAAGTCTCCCCAATTCTCCCCCATATCTTCAGAGATATTAATCACAATAAACTGTCCTTTTTACCTCAATCTCCTCTATTGCAGTATCAATACAGCTGTAAAATAACCCCACAACTATTATCATTTACATTAAAATCTTGTGTTGTTTACGTCGCTCATTGACAAAAATCTTCAGTTGTTCGTACGTCAGCCACAAAACAATATTCCAAGAAACAAGACGTGAAAAGCTGGGAATGAAGCCTTTGTAGAACGCGAGAACTCCCTCCTGCGTGAGCATTTTCATTGCCGCGTCCATGGCGCCTTTGTATTCACCGGGGCCGCTGTTCATGTAACGCGTCTTTACAACATCCACTGGACTAGCAACGATCGTTGTACAAAGACCAGCCCCAGCAGCCGCTGTAAAGTGGCACATTACTCCGTCGGACATTACTTGACTGTTCAGAATGCTTTCCTTCAAAATATCGTAACAAACGATCTCCGCAACATTGACGATTGCGTTCCGCGCCACATTCGGAATCGTTCCCCTCCAGAGTCCTGGAATTCCCTCATTCACTGCAATCTTTCTGTAGGCTTGTATCGTTGAGATGTATCTTGCTGTGGGGTTCCCCCGATTCCCTGCCTGCATCCGCACTTTGACGACGTCCGTAGGCTGCGCGACCAGCACTGCCAACCCTCCGGTCGTGATTCCCGCTGCCACGCAAATTCCGAAATTTAAGGAATTGTTCACCGGCTTTTCGCGGTCGAGAATGCTACCGTAGAAGGATTTCACACTGTCGTAGAGACCGATGCGCACACTGGCGAAACACATCTGACGCTGGAGACCCGCGGACAGCCCTCCGTACAGACTTCTGCGGAAAGAAAGTTTGCGAAATAAGTTTACTGCACGGAGAGAAATATTCAATAAAAATTACGCATCTTTTCCGTTATTCCACAATTTGATATCTATTTTTCTTAACACAAAATTTGAAGTGCGTTCTTGTATCATTTTTTCTTGTCTCGACGCTTAAAAATGCTGAAAAAATTGGAGCTCCTAGTCCGTTTTTTTCTCGGGAAATTTGTTCAACTAAAAAAAAAAGAAACGTCGAACGTTCCGTCGACCGCTCAACCGGCAGTGTTGCAACATTCACTGCCTCACTTGAAATGCGCGCGTAGCGCGCCTACCGCTAAGCGCCAACGCGGCACCAGCGCGTCCGGTTTAAGAACTTTTCTACCGCAGATAATCGCAAACTCATATTCGCCAGAATTTTTCTTCCGCCTAATGACGAAATGTACCATTGAATTTTATTGTTATTATAAGGCAACGTCAACGCTTAGAATATTTCATCCGATTCTGAAGCCTCGAAATCTATTTAAAACTTTTATACGACGGATTTTGTGACGAAGGTCATATTCTTCCGTTTTGTAAATACTGACATTGAGCAGTCGCTTGAACAACAACATTGAATGATACGAGTGATATCTTTTCAAATGTCTCTCTTCAGTCCAACAATTGATTAAGCATTAATTAAGTATTAATTAAGTATTAATTCAGTAGCGAAGTGGTAAAAGGAGATAAGTCGGTTTTGTCTATTGACCAGTTTTCAGTCAATATCTCGAAATCCAAGGGAGATACCAAAATTTTCGTTATGACCTTTTTTGTCGAGCCGATTGAGGGCTACAACAAATGTGATTACGAAAATTTCGCTATCCCCCTTAGATTCGGAAATATTCCTCAAAAACTGAACTGGGAGACAAGTCGACTCATCTCCGTTTACCACTTCACTCCTGAATTGATTAGGTATTGTTCTATTGATTAAGTACCTTGCTCCCTCAAGCCTGACAATATTTACTATCGTGCGAAGTAAACCAGGCTGAGCTGTGTTGATAGCCACAGGAGAGCCGCTCGTAGGTGTCAACAGAACACTGCGGGTCTCCCCAGCGATCTGTTAATTATCGAAATTAAGTAACAGCAGACGAAAAGTTGAATGAATAAGTGGATTAAAGTCTCACCTGCATACGGACTTTGGCTGTATCTAGCGGGAATGTCACCAAGTCAGCAAAACAAGCTGCCGATCCAGCCGTCAGCAGCTTCACAGCCAGTGGAATATTAGAATCATCTGAGGTCACCATTTCAGGTAATCCTTCACTTTTCCCTTTATTATTATTTTTATTCTACATCAAGTTTATTTATAGTCTATTATACTCTATTTACAATTCCAACGAGCGGCCGATTGCTCTCACTTATTTTTCATGATGGAAGGGAATGTCTCGACAAATTTTGGGAACTTTTCCTTGAAGTGGTCGGGGTAAGTGTGGAAAACCTCAGACTGCAAGCAGTCGCGTTCAGTGGCTCCTTTATTGTATTCTCTGAACATACTATTTATCTGTAATCATATCAATCGAACACTCTTACTTATTTTAAAATTAAAAATTGATGAATACGAATTTTCTTGAACAGTTTCTGAGAAATAATACTAAAAGGAGATTAGGAATTTATTGTAGACTAATTGTAGACTATTCCTAAGCTCTAAATGCCATCCGTACACAAATCGATATGAAAGATTATTTTTTTCCGTTGGATTCATAGATGTTCATTGAGAGCTCTGCACTCACCTGTTCTCAAATTAAGTCCACTTAGCTCTTTTTATCGCTTCGCTTATAATATTAATAATATTAATTAATTAAGAATACTTATCAGAAGTATTATTGAACCGTATCGATCCATCTTCCTGAAATGGGAAGAATATCCTTTGGCATATTCAACGAAATTGGCTGTGTTGACATGCCGTGAGGAGTAAAATCCATTCAATTCTTACTCTTCGATCTCTTGAAGCGGAAGTAAAAAATAAATCCCCCCGCAGAAGACCCTTTTTTAATTTTCAATTCCGTCTGCGAGAGAAATTCCTCCAAAAAATTCAACTCTTTCCTTTATATTCAAAGCTATTTATCGAGAACACGTCTGTTTGTGAATTAAATGTACTGGCAACTGCATCAACCGATAGATTGACACAAAATTCACGGGGCAAAGAGGATCGAAGCGATTCCATGATATATGTACCCACTACAGCGGCTATAATTAATAGATTGGATGCAAAGTCCATTCATTGAAACTATTTTTTTCATTTCAAGTGGTTCATATCACCCTTTTTGCACTATGAGCTGCGAAGTTGTTGTTTCCTACATTGTGGACATCATGATACTCACTAATTAATTCAATTAACGAGATAATGAGTATCACTTACCGAAACAATTTATTCTAGACATACAGACTGTTTATCGTAGAATATAAGGATAATTTCACGAGCGGCATTAAAATGAAATATCAGGCCACACGAGCGAGAAAAGACTGCGAGATTTCCAAGGAATGCTAATCTACTAGGTTTAATCCGACAAATTACAGATTTCATCGAGACTCTCGGGCGTTGTAATGTCTCGGCGGGCGAGGGATCAAGAATTCAAATCAAGCGCAGATTTTTCAATTATCAATTTATTTTGCGAGCGAAATGTTTTTGGAGAGAATAGCAAAGGAATTTTTTTAACGTTTTAATTACCGAAAGAGACACGGGACTCGCTGAAAGAAATGCAACAGACACATAAAAGTGTTCGATAAATTATCAGACGAATTTCGGAATTTTTTGCAATTCAAGGTAAAATATTTTCCCAAGCTGGGAAATTACAGATTTCATCGAGACTCTGGAGCGTTGTAATGTCTCGGCGGGCGAGGGATCAAGAATTCAAATCAAGCACAGATTTTTTAATTATCAATTTATTTTACGAGCGAAAAATTTTTGGGGAGAATAGCAAAGGAATTTTTTTAACGTTTTAATTACCGAAAGAGACAAGGGACTCGCTGAAACCGTTTTGCAAAAAACAAATCATGCAATTCATCGTGTGGAACTATAAAGAAATGCACAGACACATAAAAGTGTTCGATAAATTATCAGACGAATTTCGGGATTTTTTGCAATTCAAGGTAAAATACTTTCCCAAGCTGGAAAATTCTTCCCGGAGAGAATACGGAAGAAAAAAAAGAAACCGATTGAATTAACAGTGCGTTGAGCATTCACAGTCGCTGGACTTTGGACTTCAATCAGTTGAAAGACAGTGAGACGCATTGCATTCATCGCGGTGTCATATCGTAATCAAACCGAAAAAGTACGTTTCACTCTTTCATCCAGGGAGACAAAGATGACTCGTTCAATGACAATGCAAATCTCCGTCACTTTGTGCGGTTCAATGATATTCGACAATTGACGTACGCTTTACTTCATGGCAAAGGAATTTATTCTATTGATCTTAATTATTGCTCCTATCTATTCCCTTCATTCTTCCAATGCACACAATTGTTTTCATTAATAATAACTCACCACGAGACTGTTGAACCAAGCACTAACGATACAAACTGAAAGTCCGATCACCGGAGGCCGCATTTATATGGACAATGTGAGGTCACCCGTTGACTTTAGAATATCACTCCCACTCATGGAAAATTAATCAATATCAAACTTTGAGCCTATCTGATTTCCACTTTATGAGAGACAAAATCGTGGATCCAGTATTGTCTTCTTCTTCTCCTCATAATCTTGAACATTGACAAATTGGGGACAGAAGAAAACGTGACAAAGTTCAGTGGCAAAATACAATGGTTCAAAGCGATGTAGACATGTTAAGAGATCTCTGTCGAAGGTGAATAAACTCCCCGTCAGGATTTTCATGATTTCGAACTTTTTCTATTGAGACATTTTCTATAGAATTTCTTCGGCTCCAATTTTCCAAGTTTTTTTCGTTCTATTTTTCTGTTCTTCTCTTTGATAAAATCAAACAAAAAACTTGAAATATCTGAAGAGAATAAGTTATATAGAAAAATTGAATTCTGTTGACTTTTTCTATTGAATATTTCCTATCAAAAATTCCCATGGAGTCGGCCAAAAATTAATGGAAAGTTCAACAGAAATCCAATGAATTTTTTAACGAACTCGTTGGGTTTTTCTACTAAATTTGAAATATTGAGTACGTAAATATTTTTAGTATTAAATACAAAAAATACAAAAAAGTCTAGGTATATATATATACTGTTACAAATTTTAAGACTGTTCTATTGCCAATTTCCCCTTCGCTTTAGATTTGCTAATTATAGAGATGTAGGGTAGGCAGACCAATAGATGACGGTTAAGGACAATTTAAGGTTCGTCAAGAGATTAAAAATTGATAAATCACCTAATTACGCCAACGATGGGTTCCATACTTAAAAAAAAATGAATTATGGGAGAATGATGATTTGAAGTGGAGACAATGAAGGAATAAATGATAAAATGACGAAAAAGTGGGATACAGCCCCAAACCCCCAATAGACAGACGGTCATACTTATTGGTTATTCAAAAAATTCATCCTTCTGCATGTTTAAAAATGAAGAATGATCCTTTTCGATAATAATAATCGAACAACTACCGTGTTTATTGGTCCTGATGACTGTTTCTCCACATTGTTCTGTCAACACTGCGTGACTGTCGTCTAACTACGCACACCGCCACTGAGGGCCGATACTGTACCTCGCGAGAAATTTTTTTACGTTCAAAATGTTCATCAATAAAAAATAAAATTATCGTATTATGATACATCGATTTTATTATCAAAAATGGAAATTTGTAATACAATTTCTATTATATTTTTTATAGAATACTAAAAAAAAGTTTAAAAAAATTTTAAAAAAAATCGCCTAAATGTTTTAAATTGTCAAAATGTTCATCAATAAAAATAAGAAAATCATCGTATTATTATACATCGGTTTTATCAAAAATGGAAATTTGTAATACAATTTCTATTATATTTTTTATAGAATACTAAAAAAAAGTTTAAAAAAATTTTAAAAAAAATCGCCTAAATGTTTTAAATTGTCAAAATGTTCATCAATAAAAATAAGAAAATCATCGTATTATTATACATCGGTTTTATCAAAAATGGAAATTTGTAATACAGTTTCTATTACATTTTTTATAGAATACTAAAAAAAAGTTTAAAAAAATTCTAAAAAAAATCGCCTAAATGTTTTAAATTGTCAAAATATTCATCAATAAAAATAAGAAAATCATCGTATTATTATACATCGGTTTTATCAAAAATGGAAATTTGTAATACAGTTTCTATTACATTTTTTATAGAATACTAAAAAAAAGTTTAAAAAAATTCTAAAAAAAATCGCCTAAATGTTTTAAATTGTCAAAATATTCATCAATAAAAATAAGAAAATCATCGTATTATTATACATCGGTTTTATCAAAAATGGAAATTTGTAATACAGTTTCTATTATATTTTTTATAGAATACTAAAAAAAAGCTTAAAAAAATTAAAAAAAAAATCGCCTAAATGTTTTAAATTGTCAAAATGTTCATCAATAAAAAATAAAATTATCGTATTATTATACATCGGTTTTATCAAAAATGGAAATTTGTAATACAGTTTCTATTATATTTTTTATAGAATACTAAAAAAAAGCTTAAAAAAATTAAAAAAAAAATCGCCTAAATGTTTTAAATTGTCAAAATGTTCATCAATAAAAAATAAAATTATCGTATTATTATACATCGGTTTTATCAAAAATGGAAATTTGTAATACAGTTTCTATTATATTTTTTATAGAATACTAAAAAAAAGCTTAAAAAAATTAAAAAAAAAATCGCCTAAATGTTTTAAATTGTCAAAATGTTCATCAATAAAAAATAAAATTATCGTATTATTATACATCGGTTTTATCAAAAATGGAAATTTGTAATACAGTTTCTATTATATTTTTTATAGAATACTAAAAAAAAGCTTAAAAAAATTAAAAAAAAAATCGCCTAAATGTTTTAAATTGTCAAAATGTTCATCAATAAAAAATAAAATTATCGTATTATTATACATCGGTTTTATCAAAAATGGAAATTTGTAATACAGTTTCTATTATATTTTTTATAGAATACTAAAAAAAAGCTTAAAAAAATTAAAAAAAAAATCGCCTAAATGTTTTAAATTGTCAAAATGTTCATCAATAAAAAATAAAATTATCGTATTATTATACATCGGTTTTATCAAAAATGGAAATTTGTAATACAGTTTCTATTATATTTTTTATAGAATACTAAAAAAAAGCTTAAAAAAATTAAAAAAAAAATCGCCTAAATGTTTTAAATTGTCAAAATGTTCATCAATAAAAAATAAAATTATCGTATTATTATACATCGGTTTTATCAAAAATGGAAATTTGTAATACAGTTTCTATTATATTTTTTATAGAATACTAAAAAAAAGCTTAAAAAAATTAAAAAAAAAATCGCCTAAATGTTTTAAATTGTCAAAATGTTCATCAATAAAAAATAAAATTATCGTATTATTATACATCGGTTTTATCAAAAATGGAAATTTGTAATACAGTTTCTATTATATTTTTTATAGAATACTAAAAAAAAGCTTAAAAAAATTAAAAAAAAAATCGCCTAAATGTTTTAAATTGTCAAAATGTTCATCAATAAAAAATAAAATTATCGTATTATTATACATCGGTTTTATCAAAAATGGAAATTTGTAATACAGTTTCTATTATATTTTTTATAGAATACTAAAAAAAAGCTTAAAAAAATTAAAAAAAAAATCGCCTAAATGTTTTAAATTGTCAAAATGTTCATCAATAAAAAATAAAATTATCGTATTATTATACATCGGTTTTATCAAAAATGGAAATTTGTAATACAGTTTCTATTATATTTTTTATAGAATACTAAAAAAAAGCTTAAAAAAATTAAAAAAAAAATCGCCTAAATGTTTTAAATTGTCAAAATGTTCATCAATAAAAAATAAAATTATCGTATTATTATACATCGGTTTTATCAAAAATGGAAATTTGTAATACAGTTTCTATTATATTTTTTATAGAATACTAAAAAAAAGCTTAAAAAAATTAAAAAAAAAATCGCCTAAATGTTTTAAATTGTCAAAATGTTCATCAATAAAAATAAGAAAATCATCGTATTATTATACATCGGTTTTATTATCAAAAATGGAAATTTGTAATACAGTTTCTATTATATTTTTTATAGAATACTAAAAAAAAGTTAAAAAAAAAGAAATCGTCTACCTTTTGGTCTGGTGACCCTAATATGCAAAGTGGCGAATGCCAGCCTAGTTAGTTCGACTATTCAGCAGGTTTGCAAGCTTTATGATCCAGGCAAATATCATAACAGCATTTTTCCCAGGGTCCACAGGCTTTGTCAGAGTCGCAGAGTTTGGGAGGATCGAAATTCCACGATCGAGGGCAGACGGATCTCGCTGGTGGACACCGGGATTTCGGAGTCTCGGGCTCGAGACTCCAGGACGCGTGATGCTCCTTGTGTTTGTGAGAGGTGCAATCCACCAGGAATCCTATTATGTGGGCCCAAAAATTTGCCGAAGCCCATTTTTCCTCTGATTTTGAGTGTTCGGGGTGACCACTTGGACAGCAGTAGTAGTGATCCTCATGAACTTTACACCAGTACCTGCACGGCCCACCATACGACGAGTCTAACAGTACTACGACTGTGACAATGAAGAACCACGATTTCTGCATTATTCTGAAAATACGAGAGGTACACAAATTATTGAACTGGTTGGGAAGGAAAATTTTCGTGAGAATGGAATTATTTATCATTACGCATGTAATGGGTCAGGAGTAATGAAGAATGAAGAAATGATGAAGAAATTCACCGGTTCAAATATTCTGATCGAAATTTAAAAAATAGTAAAATAACTGATAATCTAATTTCCAATTGATGAATTAAATATTAAAAAATACGAAACTATAAATTTTCTATTAAGTAGATAATACTAAATTTGTCATAAGGGATTTCCGATTATCCAAGTAATCGTCAATCTTCCTAACTTGATGCTGAAATGAATATATATAATTACCAAAATTTTACTTACGTCCAGTGCTTGACTTCACTCACGGATGAGTCCACTGGCTTCTGCATCGCCTTATAAACGAAGAAATTCGTTCTCGACTCAAATTCTTGTCGACGAAATATGCAAATCAGTAGCAACCAATGGCAGAATGTCAAATGAATCACGAAGACTCTAATGGTTCCATTCCCTCCCTTGTCACCGAAAGTACTGAATGTATCGTAATTTCGTCAAGACCATCAGGTGCACAAAGAAAGAAGAGTCTCCAATGTGTTCCTCTCAACATTCGCATTTTCCCTTCTTTAATTAAAATCAATACATCTGTCTGTATTTCCAGCATTATAATTACAACATTATCATAAATGCATTATAATTACATTCAATTCGCTCAATCAGATTGTCAATAAAATTCATATAACTCAGCCAAACTGATGAAATCACTTAAACTAAAATTTAATTCATTAATCGATTATCTCGAATTTAAATGACTTTATAAGCAAACGTGCGTCACATTACTCACTATTGAAGCAACTTCAACGTTGACAATGAAGTAAGTCAACTGATTTCACGTTTTACCAAGTCTGCAATAAATACAATATAACTCGTGTGACAGTTGGACGGCACGAGTGTGGAGTGATGTATGAAAATAAAAATTCATCGATAATCGATGGATGCTGAAGTTAATCTTTCAAATCTTGAAAGTATCACATGATAAGGCTATTCTTTTAATACTACCGAATTTGTTCGATTATTTGATGCTTATTCAATTGCGAATTTACGTTCTCGCTCGACGTTTTTTTTTAATCACACGGAGGCGTGATTTTTTGCAAAATTTTCAGTAAAATGTTTAAACGACAAATTGAAAATCCGTGAATCAGGATTAAAAGAATTGGCTGTGTGTACCAACTCTCTTCTCATCATGTGCCACTATTAATCCCTCTTGTACGGGGCCCTTTTGATACCAAGCGTAGCGTGCGCTCAATAAAACTCGAATTCATTGACTTCTAATGGACGGAAAATTATCATACGGATATGTAATTGAAGCTGGCGCTTTCCTCTTGCCAATAATATTTGTATGATTAACAACCAAATGATCGCTGGCTCAAATAAAATTCTCTTGATAAAATTAATTTTTTCTGTCAATCTACCATTCGGAATACGGATTTAGAAATAATGAATTTTGCACGGGTCAGTGGGTGGTATTGACCCCATCCTTGAGGGGTTAATCTACTAAATGCTCAACTCCACCGCCGATTTTCAGCAATAATTAATGATATAAAAGAATTGACATTCCGCTCAAAAATTCCTGAAGTGATTCCACACAGAGTCATTTATGAATATCTTAAAACCAAGTAAGTTTATAAAATTAATATGCAGCGGCTGAACGCAAGGTCCGCCGATTTGTGATGGAGATAATAACGAGTTGTAATGTTGATTTTTTTTTGTCATTAAACCCACAGTGGCCGCTTTTTCACGCATGGATTTTATGTAAAATTGTCTCAGCTTTTTGAAAAACAAATGAAAACAATTTTGGGGAAAGATTGTAAAATTACAAATTGTTGTAATTTAATTGACTATGAAGCTAGGGTGGGTGACACTGGTGTCCCCACTTGCTTGGCACGTCGCCGTTTATTCAACAGTGGATTATTGGTATGATCGAGCTGTTTCAAATTCGCTGTGTCATAATCCACACGCATTGTGGCGAGGGAGCGTGTCATTTCCTCTTGGACCTCGGGCCACAGTTCCTCACCCTCACGTAACACCCGACCGGTGTGCAGAGGTGTTGCAGGTACTTCAGTGTATTTCTAAAAATAAATTTCCAATGTTTGAGGGTCTATTAACACGTTTCTACATCCTTCGTTTCTACATCCTTTTTTATAGTTTTTTAGAAAACGCCCCCCAAGAGTCTTGTTTTTCCCATAAGAATGGCTGTACCATTACTATTGCGCAAATATTTTTTTACTTCATTCAAACAATTATTGTTGCCTCAATCAACACATGAGAATAGAAAGACTCAATAACTCCCGAGAATGAAATAAATTAAGTTACTTAGAATTTTTTCCGGAAATCCATAATGCACTCACCGAAATCCATTTGTTCTTCATAACTTCTTCAATTGATAGCCTCTTAGCAGGGTCTGTGCAGAGCATTCCTTTGATTAAATCCCTCGCTTCAGTACTGACACTAGTCCATTCAGGAGCTGGGAAGTCGTATTGTCCGAGACGTATTCTTTTCTTCATTCCTGGTGAAATCGCCAAGCCGTGATTACTGTAGAACGGAGGGAAGCCACACAATCTACAGATAAAATCATTCATTCAGCTAATAATCGCTAAAGGATAGAGCCTCTTCGAGATTTCCAGACCTAATTGAATCGGAGCATTCATTCAAGCCAAATTTTACACTAGATTAAAGGACATTCCGAAATTATTGGATTGAAACATTTTTAAGCCTCGGCTTGATTTTGCTTTTCCAAAAATTAGAGAATAGATTCAACGAACGAGAAAAATTTATTTCTTAGAATCTGATAATGATTTACTCACAAAATGTACATAATTACACCGAGTGACCAAATATCACAGCTTTTGTCATATTTCTCTGGACCCAAAACTTCAGGGGCTACGTAATAGGGAGTATAGCACGGTGTTTGCAGTGTATCCTTGATGTGTGTTTCCTTGGCAAATCCAAAGTCAGTTAATTTTAATATTCCTGCGTGATCTGAAAGAAGGAGCAAATTCAATAACAGAAAGTAAATTGACGTAGATAGTAAATTGGGTAAGATTTTGCCATGTGCTAAGAAATCATTATATTGAGAGTGAAAAAGGAAATCTCTTACTACAATTTTGTGCATTACTAGACATTTCATCGCAAAAACCCATTATAATGATTTAAACTGTTGTACCTAATCTCGAGTACAGAAGATTTTCAGGCTTAAGATCTCTGTGTGCGATGTTCATGTCATGAAGATGTTTAACTGCGATGCAAATTTCGTACATTACTTCTGCTGCCTCTCTTTCTGTGAATGCACCGTCCTGACGATCTTGTATTCGTTGGAAGAGCTCGCCCCCTTCCATACTGGAAGAAGAATATAAGTCATTACTCAATGAAAAGCGCTGGGAAGGTGGATTTTCCTCTAAATTATGCGATTATTGACAGTCAAGAAAGAAAAGATTGAGATTCAACGGGCTTTAAAATTTCTATTTTTATTCTGCACTAACGTGCGACTCGTTGGGTGAAAAGGACGATAACAAAGAAAAATGAAGATTGCGATAGACAAAAAGGCGATACCATTCCATAACGACAAGAAGACATTTGTTTCCGCTGTATGTATTCTCGTAAACATCTTTGACTTGCACAATGTGTTTGCAGTTGGAGGCCCTCCAGTGGAGTTCGACCTCTCGTCTTGCTTTGACACAGTCATGAAGAACCTGTTGACGTAAATAATGCATGGCTGACTATCAAAAAAGGTGCTACCAGGTAGGCGATTAAGAACGTGGATTACTGTCACCATCTTCTCGAGTAATTTTAGTCATTGAGCCGTTGTATTTTCCAGTTCGATTACCGAATCGATTGGAAAATCACCTGCGTTATATAAATAGATGATGACCCGTCCAGTCTTGTTTGGGCTTAATGAAAAGTCGTTATAGTTAGCTGTGATGAGGAACAATTGAGATCTTTTGAAAGGAATTTTTTCAAGGAATTTCTGGCAATTTCCAGGGAATTCGAGAAGTTTCAAAAAAATTCGAGGGGCTTCAAGATATTTTTATCGATAATTTCTCCTAGCCTCATTCATCAGTTGGCTAATCCGACAATCCACAAGATCAGTTGAGCCAAACAGAGCAGTTTCATGAATTGAAATTTGAAGTCAAAAAAATTTAAAAAATCCTTTTCTTGTGCCAAAACCAGTCAAGATTTTCTCTCAACAAAACTTATTACTGACATAATTAACGTTTGAGGTGAGGTACGTAAATTTAAACCAATTGATGACTTTACAGAATTTTAATTACCTTCAGCGCATACTTCTCCCTAGTCTCTCTGTCGTAACATTGCACGACTTTGCCATTAATTCCCAATCCGAGCACGTGATTACTTATTTCATAATCATCAGTTATTGGTGTTTCCTTAGGCACTCGCTCCTCTATTCTTGATACTGGAACTTCCATAATTCTTGTCAAGCTCGTTGTTGGTTTCGGCTTTTGAACAGTTTCTGTGGCTCTATACGAGGCTGTCTCCACCGGTAACTCTCGGTCAGCTGCACTGCGCTTTCGTTTTCCTTTTTTTTCGTCTTGCACGTCCAAACGCACAGACCTCTTCGACTTCCTATGAAAATAACCCAAAAATGTGCATTCGATTACTAGTTTACTGATTCTCATTCACTTCGTATTTGTTCAGTGAGGAAAAAAAATATGAGACATTCGTTTATATTTTGTTAACCACACGGAAATGAGTAAACTATGAAAATGCTGGATAAACAATTATTTCCGCGGTTTTTCATTTTCCAGTTTTTACAGTTTTCCTGTGACCGAATTGAAAAAAAAATCTATAGGTAATACCATTTTCCAAAATAACAAAACAAAAAAATATTAATATAAATATAAACAAAAAAATTTATCTAGGCCATATTTTTTTGTTTATTAAATGTCTATTAATAGAAAAAATAATCGATCACCGATTCGGTCACATGAAAACTGAAAAATGTTTCTCTGTTACTTACGCAGCAAGAGGTCTGAAATTGTCACAGTTTACTCACTTTACTGTGGCTAACAAAATATAAACGAAAATTCAAAATCGATATTTGGAGGCCCAAAACGCATGACACTTTTCGTGCAATGTCTCATATATTCTTGGATTAGATGACTGCACCCTGATGTATATTCCTACAACTGAGGACAAGCTGCGACACTGATTGCATTCACAAAAACCAACCGACTAATTGGATTAACATACTTGATGACTCATTTCAATGGCAGGCAATAATTGCGCCGAAAGAATTTGATTTGGTGAATCGTGAATTTGTGTATTAACTATGAAGAACTGCTTGATAATGATTATAAGCTGATCTGGACATTGGCGTTATTAAGGGTTATTATGCTGAAGCTGAATTCAGTATGGTAATTCAGTTATGAAAAGAGCCAAGTGGACAAATTACATTCACTGCCATTTTGTAAGTATCACGAAAGTTGGTGGGTTTGCAGAATTATATTAATAGCATTTTTTTGTAGAAATTTCGATGGGCTACACGCTGAAACCCTTTTCGATATCTCTTTCGACACGAGATTTAAATAATGAGTTGAATTGGATCAAATCTACTGTTTGGACTTCATGTGAAGATAATAAAACCAAACACATTGTCATAAGTTGTAACGTAAAGCAAAACCGAGGTGAAACAGGCACTTCGATTTCTTCCTCAATTTTTCATGTTTCAACAATATTTTTCAATTTCTGAAACACCAGTCACGACTACGATTTTCAAATTGATAAAAATAAATAATGTCAAAGTTATTTCAATAGTAAAACAGGAAATCCAAAGCTATTCTGTATTTCAAACTTCAGTGTAAAATTTAATTGAGTTGAAGTTTATTCGTTAATATCTCTTCCAACTCTAATTCTCTCTATAAAAATTTTTAGAAAATTGTTTGAGCATCCATTTTAGTTTATCCTGTACGGATTTATCAGGTGTTCATATTGCCCAATAAAACAATATTCAATAATTTTTGGAGTGTCCATTCACGACAATCAACGAATTAAATTATTTATCATTATTCAATGACAAAATCAAGAGGAGACCGTACTACATATGAAAGAGAAAGCACGTGAGGAGGTGATGATGAGGTATGAAAGATTAGCGTCTTTCCCCGATGATATTTCTCAACTTTTGTACGAATTGATGATAGATTAGATAAATATCACAACTGATACATAGGCGTTAAGCGAATGTCAATATTTGACATTGTTTCCTGCTTGAACTAGTAAAAAAGATGTTGAGAGAAAAAAATATGACCTCCAGAAGGTCCAATTAGTGACAGGCTTCGACATCGATGTTGCGTGATTCCTTTAGCGATTTTTTTTATATTGTTTGAATATTCCCTTGGGCTCTCGTGTGAGCCTGTTGGACGAACAATAACGTTGGGTTTTCGGTAACTTCACGAGTGGTTAAGATTATTGCAACCGCAGTGTGTACAATTTTTCAAGGTTAAGTGATGTGAATTATCAGGGGAGTGAAGCTGAAAAAAAATAAAAAAAGCAAACATTTTTCTTCACCTTAGAATTCATTTTTCATATTACTATCAGCAAATGCCTAATCGCATTCGTTACTTGCTGTAGTCAGAAAAATTAATAACTGATGAGTATAGATTAAACATTAAGAGATCCATTCGCTTATTCTAGTTAAATAATTACTGATAAATTACGTAGAGTATAACTCAATCAATTTTGTTTTTAGAATATTTTCAGTTTTCAGATGACTCTCTCTTACTCCAAATTTCGGATACTCAATCATGACAACATACCTGAGGTTATAGTCAATATCTTCAGAATTTACACTATCCGGTAGTATAAATTTAACGATTTGTTCACGGCCATATCACTCGTTGTGCACGGTCGCAGCGATTATCGGTATTTTTTATTTCATTAGTTTATCGTGGGTAATAATCTACAGTACTCGCTGCAGTGGACGAAAAATAATGAGAAGACGGTTAAAATCAGGCGGCAGGTTCCTCCACTTCTCGCTGATAATCACCAACACATTTTTGTTTTAATGAGTTTATCTCTTTTTCTCACTTTCACTCGAACGAATTTCAATCGTAAGTACCGTCGCCCCGGATTTTTTACTTCAATTTTTTTCACTCAAATTTGAGGGATAATCATAATAGTTTATCTACTAAGAGAAAATTTGTGGATGTGCCGTTCACCCAACTACTGCGGATATCGAATTGCGATCTCGTTCGTGATGGAAACGTGGGAGTGCACTACTGCCTCTAAATACTGGAAATCTCGGATCACATGAGTCATCCTTGTCGAACGTCAGGGGCGGTCAGGGCCGTAAGACCGAGGGAGGTAAAAGAAAGAGTCGTGCCCACGTGCAGAATCAGCCAATCGTCCATACGAATTCCATCGAATGGCATCGGTGAGGTACATCGCTTGTACTTATAGTCCTCGCCACAAAAGAATTAATGACTTGTGTTCACTTTGACCGTTACACAGTAAAAAAATATCAACTTTTGTGGAAAAAGAATCTATCCAGTGACTTATGGTGACTTATGGCATAGAAAAATGTGAAATTAATATAAGATCATCATCAAAATTGTGTGGCGAGAATCATTACTAAACTTTGGGCAAATTGCAGCAAGTAGAATTCAGATTTTATTAAGTTTATAATAGTTGAACAGATTACACATTTTTTTACTGCTCTTCATGAATCATCCATTGCTAGGCACATTTTATTATGTACAAGGTAATGAGGGTAAATATATTATTAAGAGCTCTCAAATTTTAGAAAATTAAAGGTCTCAAAAATTAATTGAAGGCTTCCAATTATTGTCTGTTTGTTATATTTATCTTCATCATCTATCCACCGTCAGAGACTTTTCTACTGTACGATCACGATTTATATCTATCGAGCTCCCAATTCTCTCGGAGTTGAAACATTAAAATTTATCGAAAATATTGGAAATAAAAATAAGAAAGTTTTAAATGTGTGTAAAAATTAATTTTTTCTCCCCCCAGAAGTTTTCTCCATATTTTGATATAAACCCGCCAGTTTTAGGAATAACTGTCTCCTGTTTCCCGATAATCTTTCATACCAATACTATGCTTTAAAAGAGCTTCATATTTTTGAGAACTGAAGAGTATTCAATACTGTTGTGAAATAATGAAAAGTAGTATTAAATTTTTGTAATTATAATTGTATGTTCCATCGAATGCCCATTTTTGTCATTCTAACAAGAAATGTTGAACAATCAAATTGGGTTTAGCCGAGCCTCTTATGAGAGAATAAATAATTGCTATCCTGTCCTCAGAAAATGTTTCTTATTTTCATAAAAATAAGGGAGAAATTTGCATATAACTGGATAAACATATTCTATCATTGTAATCCCTAAATCATGGAATCTTCACACTCGCTGAACCAAGCAAGAAAAAAATGTTATTCACCTCTTGAATAATTAATATTAGTAAATCAGAGTGCATGAGAAAAAAAATTACGTAACTAATATCTTTTAGCGTATGATGCTAGTGGATATAAGAGGATTATAGCTACAAATAATTAAAAAAAACTAATTCGACAGGTACAATACTATCAAGATGCCCCCCCCCATTAATTCTTGTTTAACATACATTAAGTAACTAAATCTCTAACTTGATTTTATCTCGTCTCAAAATCCGAGAAAATCAAAAAATTCTTCAAAATTCTCCAGAAATAGAAACGAAAGAAAATACAAAATTAAGTACTTTTACACCAGAAAAAAATTTTTGAATATCCAAATCAGGAGAGATATAGGTGATTCACACGTGTGTTTCAAAGATTCCTCGCACTCATATAATATAGTATAATAATAGGTAATATTGCTATAAACATTTCTCGTCATTTTTTTCAATTAATAAAAATATGTTAATTGAATACTTAACGCTTACATCTATCCCATACTCTTAGGTAACGATCGGTATTTTACAAGTAACAACTGTCATCCCATCTGGGCGTCCGTTTCAGTTTTACAGTCCTGCATACCGAGTATGTAAGGCACAACACTTGCTACGCTTACTCTACCAATTAGGCCAGCGAAGAAGAGATCTTCGAGAACACGAGGATTTATCGAACGCAATGGCGCAAGTCTTAATAATAATCTGGGGAGTCTCTCGGGTCCGACGCGTTGCTGTAGTTCACTCCAAGTAGCTTCTTGAAGAACCTCGACCTTCTTATGCCACGCATCTGCCAATATATTATCTGTAAATCCATCATATGGTCATATATGGGTTTTCAAGGGTCATATTACGTTAATTTAAGGGTAATATGGGTCATATGGGTATTTAAGGGTCATATAGGGGTTACATGGATCAAATGACCTTAATATGACCCCCACATGAGGCTCCTGTGACCTCTGTGTGACCCTCCCAAGGCCCTTACATAACATAAGGATGAGAATGAGGGCCAAAATAAGGATCACATGCGGTTCATGTGAGGGTCATATTAAGGTTCATATGGGGCTTTCATAAAAAAATGACAATTATTATATTACCAGCACTGAACAATGTCAAAGCTTTGAGATATGCATATTCCGTAGCGTCCACCTGCATTTTATGCAATGAGCTGACGCAATCCTGGAGCCTGCATATGTGTTCGGTTATGAGTTTTACTTTACTCGCTGTTATTTTTTCCTGGGCGATGCTCGCCTGCAGGTGATTAATTATCGACGTAAGAATACTCGGGAGTGACAGGGTGTAAGCACACTGGGCTAGCCCAAGAGTGAATAGTTGACCCCAAGAGCATCTCACTAAGGAAGTTTGAACGTCCGATCTGGAAATAATAAAATGGGCTCTTAAATATCTGTCGTCTCATTCAAGTGGGATGGGCCGATGCTTGTCGATTAATCGAAAACGTCGAATTTTTAGATAATTTCATAATTACTGGAATGTGACGTTGCTCATCTCTATCGAAAGCACAATAATATAACTCTGTTCATTTAAATTTGAGGCGGTTTGAGGGACTTACGGAAGTGCTTGGAAAGCAGGGATACCCCTGGCCCAGTGTATCGACAAGAACAAAAGTCTAGCTGCACTCTCACAAATGTAGTGTATCGACAGATAAGCTGGGGCTGGACTCGGAGCTCTCAATTCGAATACAGTATTCCTCTCGTACAGCAGTTGGCCAGTCCATTCTTCTTCGGGTTCATTCGATCCATTGACACTCTGCAACAAGGAGCACAAACAATTACATAATCAGCATGAATTTATTCTGAATATTCCACTGCAGACGAACAGCACTCATTGCTAGTAATAATAAATTTCTCTGTTAATCAATGAGAATTAAAAATTAATTCTGCGAGGCATTGTCGAAGTGAACGGGACAATTTAATTTTCTCATGTGAACACTTTCCACGAATATTCGTGGAAAATTGATACTCACATCGCCAATAAGCTTCGCCATCCCCTCAAGTGCATGGGAAATGAGCAGTCGCTCTCTAGCGAGCGTCAGTGCGTCACTGAGGTCACTATCACTGCTCTGATCCTCAACACTTGGACTCTCCGGTGGTTCCCAGATGGATGCAACCTCCGGTATAATTTGCTGTGGCTCTGGCTTCACCTTTGCCCCACGATTAGTCATTTTTGCACCAGCTGCCTCACCCAAAACTGGTTTCCGCTCATGCTGGACAGCTGTAAAACCCCAGGCTTGCTTATACTTCATTTTATCCCATAAATAATCATTCTCGTAATTAAATTCTTGATTGATAGTCTTTAAACTCACAGTCACTGCGCATTCCCATCGTCAGACATTTCTGGAGGCGACAATACTGACATCGATTGCGATGGTGTTTCGTTACTTCACAGGATTTGCTACCACGACACTGGTAACCCAGTTGTTTACGAATACTACGTTTGAAAAAGCCTTTGCAACCTTCACAGCTTATTGCACCGTAGTGACGACCACTCGCTCTGTCTCCGCAGACGACGCAGAGCTCTAGGGAAAGGCCGAGACCTAGAGAACCTCGTACATCACGTGATAACTTGACCTGTGGATAAAAATTTTTTCTATATGAATATCTGTATGAATTTTCACTTGGAATTTTTTATTATATTATTGTTATATTATTAAATATATAATAATGATAAAACGTACATTTTATTTTTATTATTATATTATGATAATAGAAATATATTATTTATTATAATGTAAAAATATATTATTTATTATAATGTAATAATATATAATATATTTTCATATGAATATGAAATATGTTATATATTATTATATATCAACCTCTCATGAATAACCACTTGTCAAAATCTATACCTCAATATCTGAGTTACTCAGATGCTCCATTCCACTGTGCATGTGCATCGCACTGCGGTGATGTCCAATATTACGAAAATCACGTCCAACTTTGTACTCAGCTCTTTCCTCAATCAGGTGATCATGGCTATTGTGGTCCACCTCGCCATCTCTCTAAACACAGGCCCATTAATTAACTTTTCCAACACGCATATGAAAAAATTCAGTAGAAAAGCTTACGAAATTCGCTAGAGAATTCTAAAAATCTCAAGAGAAAAATTTTAAACGGAAAAATTGAAATCTATTGACTTTTTCCTAGTAAATATTTAATAGGATTTGAGACAAAAACAAACAGAATTTTAATGAGAATTGCAATAGAATTTTCTAGCGAATTCGCTAATGTTTTCTATTGAATTTTTTTTTGAGGTGCATCATCTCAATTCATCACCTGTGTGGTCTTATCACAAACATACCTCTGCATTAGAATCTCCCGTGCAATCCATGCTCCTATGGAGTCTCAAATCGTGGTAATCCTCTCGTTTCCTGTCGTTATCAGCCTCATTTAAATTATCGCTGTCGCACTGCTCAAGATCCTTGTCCATGGCTGCTCATCAGCTAAACAGTAAAACAATAATTTCCTCAATTCAGTAACTGACAACTAAATATCGTCACAGAGTCGACACTAACAATCCAACCATTCTTAAGGATTGACGTAAGCAATTTTGGCGGGAGTTTTTCACAAGAGTAAATTTTTTTATGGTCAAATGCCAAGAAACTTTGGCAAAATGTTATTTGAACCATTATAAAATTATCGATCTATCTTAGCTCTTTGTCATATTGTCGATATCAACTAAAACATAAAAAATAAAAAAAATCGGTATTGACAATATGACGAAGAGCTGAGCGATAGATCGATCATTTTATAATAGTTCAAATAACGTTTTGCCAAAGTTTCATGGCATTTGACCATAAAAAAATTTACTCTTGTAAAAAAGATGCTTACGTCAATCCTTAACCCTGCAAAATCTCGTGTGAAACATTCCTCCAACTAGGCATTTGCTCTCCTTTCTGAGAGCTAAGAGTGTCTTCCCCCTCTCTATCACCCTTTTTTGGCCGTTCCCTTTGCTCTCATTTTCTCGCTCCGCTGCCACACTCACACATTTTGATCGTTCAAAAGAATTTCAAAAAACCGAGGGCACTATTTAGAATCTCCACATCTAATCATCCTCTCAATTGTAAATATTTACGTGAACGTCGGGCTATTTCACAGAAAATATGCATTCACTCTCGAAAATAGGATGGAACAATGGAGGTAAAAATATATTAATACGTCAGAGTTTGTGACCTGCTACACGTACATTTCCTCTTCCTTTCTCCCTCCCACTTGACGAGTGTCCATACACCTAACCACGAAAAAAAATCATGTAAAGGTCACAAGACGGTGGGTACTGTAAAAAAAACGGAGTTGCCATTCCGTGATGTAAAGTAACCGTATCGACTCGAAGAAAATGAAGAGAATAATGTAGATAACTGCAGACTATTCTAGCCCCTCCAAAATTATTTGCAATTTCTCCCACAGCAATGGAAACATTGAATTGAGATGAAAAATTGATTTACAAAATACACTACCTGTTGTGCGTGCCTACAAATTTGTGTCAGATGCCTAGAGTCGCATTTGCGTTTTCTATATTTCGAACACACGACACATACATCAATGTAACTAGTTTTCCCGACGAGAGGTGTTGAAATTTTCGTGTTTATAATTCACAAGTTTAGCGTCATTTTCTGTACGAAATTATCGGTCAGAGTTGTTTTTCTTCTTCTTCAATTATCGAGGTTGATTGAATTTGAGAATTTATCAGTCCCAGGTAGAATGATTGTTGTGTGGTTTTAACGGGGGCCAGGGAGGTACCAAGCAGGGGCAGAACATAGCGGAGTATAATATAGCCCAAACAACCTTGCACAGGTGGACGCGAGTTAAGTGTAGAGGGAATACGGTAGGGAATATTGAGGCGACCAGTCCCACCAGTCCACAGGTCACTCATCTACACTTGTTTGTCGCAACGGTTGGTAAGAGATCTGTGTCTTCTATACGCCGTTTATGTCTGACGAATGGGCGCCTCCTGCGGGAGAGACTTACGCGCATTCAACCCAAAGACCTTTTCATTCTGGAAATCTAGGGGAAATATTTATTTCGTTCATTCAACGAAAAAATCCCCGAAAAAACCATTGAAAATTCTGATAAATATTGAACTTTACAATGATATACACTTGAGCGCTCAAAAACCATGATTTATATGTAAATTCGATAGTGTCCACAAATCCTAGGCGAATTAACGTGGGAAAAAAAGGCCGCAAATCTAGTGACTCTCAGAATGAAAAGGTCTATTCAACCTGACCAAAATTATGACCATATGAACAAATTTACGGTCTTGTGACGGTCATAAATGACAAAAATTGTTTTATTCTTAGAGATGAAAAATAAGCGTGATTTTCGTTTTGAAAAACGCATATGGGGCTGATACAAAATGAATTCAGATAAACATTGATACAGAAAAAATGACATTGCATCTGTGTAGATGAAAAATGACTGTCATATTTTTTTTAGTCACATTAGTGCAGCGGCACGTCAAGAGATGGCGAGATTATTCTCATTTTAGCGGAATAACCGAATCACCAGATCAAGGAATGGTTTTGACCGAAAAATTCAGCCAAAATTGGTGATTTTAGTGACTATGTACGGCAGTTACCATCAGAGTAGAAAATTAAAAATCAATTTTTTTCTAGAGTTAAACGATCATTTTCAAAAAATCGAATTATTACGCGCTTCATAACGCTTCATCCCCGAAAAAAATTGGATTGAAATTTTCTGCTCCGATGGTAAATGCCGTCCGATTAGGTTACAATTTCACAATTTTTTCCGTGAGAATCGCAGTAAATTACCTAGTTTATCTCATTCATAACATTAAAGAGTTAAATATTCGAGGGTTTTCAAGCCCTTATACGCATTAATGCATTGAGTTTTCGGCATCCTGATTCGTTCAACGATTGGAACTCGGCAAGTCAGGCCCCGCGCTTCCCTCGCCCCCACAAGCTCAATCTTACAAACGTGTTGCTGCGTGTCGGTGCTCGCACGGAAGCTACTTCCTTTTTACGTCTTTCTACTATACTATGGTGTGCGTACTCTGAGCGATCGTACGGGAGACCTTGAGTGTTTTTTGGCCGCCCTTTCATATAAAAACGAACCGAGTGACCAAGCCTCACGTCGAGTTCACACTCAAGCCCAAGCCTAAAATCATTTAATCGAGAAATGAGTCTAGCAACACCGTTGAAACGCTCGGCGTCTGGTATGTACACTCAACAAATTCATGAAGAGCATAATCCACCAAAGACAGACAACGATAATTATTTGTTCAATCCAATATTCAGCCTCGATTAGTCCTGGAGTGTGGGAGGCACGAGGATCCGATGAGGATGGTGAGTCCATTTTTTATTTTGTTAAATTCACTCATTCATAAGGTAAAATTGATTTAGTGCCAAAAATGTAAATTTCCGGGGTTAAATGTGGAAAAGGAAACCGTTGGAGATTTTTTTTGTGCATTATTTATCGTCCCTGTCCAGGGGAAATGGAAAAATGGATCGTTTGTAATTTTTAGTGACACGAGATTCACCATTTTTCCTTAATTTTAGTGTTATTTTTTTAATGAGAATTGATTCATTTAAATCAGAGCATTCGTTAGGGAAATATCCATCATTTACGGAATCTTTTAACTCATCTAGTTTAAAAATGTGACATTGAGGAAATTGAAAGAAAAAACTACGGCCAATTTTTTCGTGTATTATTTTTCTAGGGGGAATGGCAAAATGGATGGTTTTTAATCGTTAATGACAGGAGATTCATTTTAATGTTATTTTTTTAAAGAGACTTGATTTATTCAAATAGGTGCACTCGTTAGGGAGATATTCATCATTTACTGAACTCCATTTTACCTCACCTAGTTTAAAAATGTGAATTTGAGAAAATTATTTGGGTGTTGATGTGTCTTTAATTGTTTCTTCGATATTCAGAACAAGGTAATAAGCCAGAGTCGAAGAAGCCAAAGTACTCGTGGTACGTGACGCTGGAGAGTGAAACGCCAGATGGTACATCTGAGGATGAAACTGATAATGAATCTGTTTACAGTGTGCAGGGCCAGGAGACTGGTGAGTATTATTTTATTATTAAATGGTTCTTCGGAGTTTTTCGATGGTTGCGAGACTCAATCTGTTGCTCATCGTTGCAGAGTATGCTCGTGACACATCGGATACATCAACCAACACATGGATCAGCACCGACAATGGAGACGTGTCTCTGCAGGTCGAGTATGAGGTGGCATCGATGTCTGAGTCAGACAATCCGTTTTTGGATAGTTTGACATCGTCAGATCCTGAGGTATTTTTTCCATTTGACTTGGGCATTTATTGATTTGATTTGCGAATTTAATTATTTTCTAAATCATTTTGAATTTTAACAGCTCGTTTTTATTTTTATTTTTTTGTATGAGACTTCATTTCAAATTGTTCATCTTCATCTGGAGCGATAATATTTTTTGAATAATTTATGGAACAAACTTGATGATTTTTAATGTTTTTTTCTCCTTGATGTACTGGAGAATTAATTAATTTTATTGAGATGTTCAAGTATTACAGTACTTTATTAATATTAAGAATATTTATTATTCATTCACAAGAATGAAATGTAAAAAAAACATGTTTGGAATTATTTTAAAAATTGATTTAATTGGAAACAAGAAAATGAAAGATAACTTATTCAATTATCAACTGAATTTATTTGAAATTTTCCTGTTACCACAGATGTTGACTATTGCGTTCAAATATTTCTCACAGAATTAAAAATCCAATGTATTTGAAAATGAAAAAATTATTGATTAAAACGCATTACCATCCCCGCAGGACGTACTCCCCCAAGGAATGCTCGCCGACATAATCGAATCCGACCTGGACCCAGCCGACAACAGCGACGACTCTCGTTCCTCAATCGACAGTGAGATCGGCCGTGCAGATTACTGGACATGTTTGCAGTGCAGCACGAAGAAGAACAACCCCCTGTTCCCCTACTGCGAGAAGTGTTTCCAGATAAGAAAGAACTTCTACCCCCCTCGGCCAAAGTGGAAGAGACAAAGGAGTAAAAAGATCCTGAAACCCACGAAGAAGTCGAGTCCAGAGCGAAAAGACTCCCAAGAGGACCTCGTGAAGATGGACTCTGGATTGGGCTCGAGTCAAGGCAGCCAGTCGATATCAGAGTTTGATTCTGAGAGTGTCACGTCGTCCCAGTGCACAGCCACGACCCTAGCAGCATCTCCGTCGTTCCTGAAGGACTCTGTTGACTCTGTCGATGGTGTCCCCAGCAGTTTTCTTCCCCTCAAAACCTCGAGCCAGTGCTCAACCCCAAAAGACTTGCCATCCGATGTCGAGAACAAAATAGACATTATTCGCGATAGAGAACAGCCTGACGACGATGGGGACAATAAAAACTGCAATATGTGCACGGTTAATCCTAAAGATGGGGTTTTCGTTCATGGCAAGGCGTCGCACATATGCTGCTGCTACAGGTGTGCTGTTAAAACGTGGAAAACAACGAAGTACTGTCCCATTTGTAATAGGAAAGTAACAAATGTCTTGAAGGTTTATATCGTTTAATAGTGCTGTGTGGAATACAGTCTCTTTTGCCAAAATGTGTTCTTTATCTCGATGATGTCTTTCTTGTTCGGAAAGATTTTATTGGATCCGGGGAGAGGTGGGGACCTGACCAACAGTCGATTTTATGGTTCATTCATTTTTATACGCTGAATTTCATTAAAAATGCCTTTTTTTCTATTGATTGAAATTTATGCGGCAAAATGGGTACTTTTCACGGTTTTTGAAATGTCAATAGTTCAGTTAATTGTTAATGAAATGAGATAATTTTTTTTTTTCAGTTATGAATATTTGAAAAAATATTAGGATTGTCCATTTTGCTTCACTCACCCCCACTCTGGGGACGATGAAATAAGAATTATTGATGAAAAATTATCGTTTTCCCCCAAATACACCTTTATTTTTTTTTTCAGTCAATATTTTTTTTCATAATTTGTATATATTTTTTTATACTTAACTCATAATTCATTCACCTTCAAGCTTTAAACGGATATTAAATTTTGATCAATCAATCGATTCATTGGTCGGGTTGCCCTAGGTGAGAGATAGTTCTTTAAAATGGAAAATTATGAAAAGAGAAATTTATTCGATTGATGTAATATTTATGATATAGGCAGATCAAATTGAAAGTTGTTATTGTGGATTTACTTACAAACCAAAAATTAATAGGGTCTTGGATTTTTCCTGCTATCTTCTATTGCTTTGGATAGAGAAAGAAATTTCTAGGAATTGAGCAACGAATTGTGGGTTTAGGGAGATTCTAATTGCGAGCTTCGATTTCTTCATGATCGTTTTCTCGAATTTCTACTGTTCTAGATTAGGTAGGAGATTAATAAATGAAATGCCTTGGATTATTATTAGAAGAGAAGAGAATAAAATTTTATCATGTATTAATGCGTGTTTTTTTACCTGGGATCATTCAACCAATTTATTCATTCATTTTTTACTCGCTTTAAGCATTGTTAATGGAGGAAAATATTTTTTTTACAGAATTAATTCAAATGAATGCGTTATGACTTTTTTTTTTTCAATTTTCGGATTTTATTCGTATTCGATTATTCAATCCAATTATTTAAATTTGATTTGAGAAAACATTGATACATTGATAAATAAAAATGGCGTGGATTATTATTGAAAGAATAATGTTTCATTTTATTATTGCGAATTATTCATTGTAAATTGGAAAATATTTTTTTTGAAAGAATTAAATTAGGAGAATGGAGTATGACGTCATAATGCAGGCGTTTTTTCAATTGGTCTTTTGATATTTCATTATTTTTTAAAACAAAAAAATTCGTGTTTCACGTTTTTTTCTCTAATTTTCGTAGTTCATTATTTCATTGAAAAAAAAGTAATGTTCAATTATCAGATCCAATTATTTCATGCTCGATTCGAAAAAAAATCGCCAGGTGGCGCTGTGCCCTCGAATAACCTGAAGTTACTAACTTCAAGTTATCGGTTTGATCCGCCGGATGGCCGGAAAGTCCCGGTTTTTCTGTCGGCTCTGCACTCTCCAATTACTCGTCATTATCAAAAAAAAAGTTTCTGCAAGTGGCCTGTGGATTTTTTAAAACAAAAAATTAGTGTTTCGTGTTTTTCTCTCCAATTTTCGTATGTCAACACTTCATTAAATAGAAAACTCAATGTTCAATTATCGAATCGAATTATTTCATACTCGATTTGAGAAAAAATCGCCAGGTGGCGCTGTGCCCTCGAACAACCTGAAGTTACTAACTTCAAGTCGTCGGTTTGAGACGCCGGATGGCCGGACAGTCCCGCGTTTTCTGCAAACTCTTCTCTCCGCTCGCTTTTCAGTACAAAAACACGCGTCGGTTCGCAGAATATTTATTGAAATGATCGAGAACACAGTGGAAAGCTCGACATGAGTAGTTACTGTATTGAATTTCCTGAATTAATCGATTCCGTTCGGGCATTGAGTGATTTCGACACAGGGGCCTCCGGTCTCGCGTCTCACGGTTCCTTGATTGCAAAAACAGTCCGGGTGACATATCTGAAAGGCCGTATTCGTTATTAGTGAAGACAATCGGGTGTGAAAAGGTCGTAAGTGTTGGATTCGCGAAAAATTCTCACTTTAGGACACATGGGGTGTTTCTTGGCACAGGTTGCATGACAGCCACCGCAGTCGTTCCAGTGTTCTCCTCGGGGGCAAGGACGCGCGGCCTCTGCACACGCTGGGGATGAAGAAGAGAAGAAATATTCAGTGTAAAGATTCATTAGTGAAAGGTGTGCATTAGTGCGGAGCGGGATGACGCGATTTAACCTCAGGGTGAGTTTTTCTTTCATGAATGTCTCTGAGTCTAAGGGAGATTACCAAAGTTCCATAAGGATGTTTTCGGAGGTATTACATTTGTCAACAAAACTCTCGGTAATTTCTTCCTTAGTGAGTCGCTCCTGAGATGAATCCACTATTAATTCTCGTGACAGATTGGCAAAACCTGATGAGCCTCAAGGATATCCGATTATTTTGGCTATTTTTCCTCCAGTAAAATGATTTTCTGCTTTTGTAGAACATCAGAACTTCCATTTGAGCCCCATTTTGAAAATCGAATTGAAAACATTTTAAAAATCATAAAAAATATAGAAAGTTTAATCTTGGAGGAAAGTTGATGAAATCAACGTGAATTTTAAGACGTGAATTTTTTTAAAAATAATTTTTTAAAAATTACGAGCATTTTCTATAAATAGTTTCTAAGCAATAAATTTTCCATCATAAAAATCATTGTTCGGAATCGGAAATTTGATAATATTCTGAATTTTACCAGTAATCGATTTTATGTCTGAAAAAATAAGGCCTCCGAACCTTTAAACAATTTCAGTTAGTTATTTGTAAGCCACGAATATTAAAAAAAAAATTCTGTGCAAAATGTTTCCCCTTAATTGACAAATTTGATGATTAAAAATGGTTGAATCTACAGTGCAGTCTGTACCAAACTGTAAAAAATTAATTCAATTTATTTAGTATAGGGCGTAGGAAGTGGAAAAACGCAATTCTGAGCCGTCCATCTGCCTATAGGGAACCCAAATTT